GAATACATCTCAGCTTCTTAAACTAAGTAATAAAATTCAATATAATAAATACTAAATTCTTTATTTTTTTATTTTAAATAATATAGTTTAAGTCAGATATTACAGGCATGGTCAAGATCACTGAATATATTTTTTTAAAAATCTAAGATTATAAGATAATTGATTAAAGTATATATTCTATTTTTATATATAGCTAAATATAATTATAGAATACTGTTTCCAAGATAATTAGTAATATAGAATATACATGCTGAAGAAGATAGATAATAATTATATTTTATAATTATCTTTTCTTAAATCTAGATAATAAATCAATTAAGATTAACTTAATTACTTTTAAACTTATTAGGATCAGGTAATTATTTAGAGAGCATAAAAATAAAATAATATTAATTAGCTTGAATAATAATTCTTTTCAAAAGATTCTTAGATTTTTAAAAATAAGTTTAGAAGTGCTGGTAACAGATATAATTAATTATATTATTTTAACAAGTCTAACTATAATTTAATTCTTTTACTAAATAGTAATCTTTTTCTTAATAAGTATTTTCACGAGTCAATTACCGGCTATATTAGTTTTTTAATTCTAATATTTAATCAAAATATTCTTAATTTTAAGATTATTTTATAACTAATTTTATTTATATTATAGATAATTTTACTCACAGTCTGCTGTTATAATAAAAACAGAGACTTATTTACAGTAGTTATACTATTTTTAGATATATTTTAAGATATAATAGACTAGCTTATCTAGCCTGCTTAGATTATATAAAGATAGCAGGATTATAGATATTTTAAAGTAGTTTTTTATTTTAAGAAAAAGCTATGTAGTATCAAGATACAGGCTAGTAAGATAATAAAATAAAAGACTTAGATAAACAGATTTAAATAAAAGAACTTATATCCAGGCGGATAATTAGTTAAATTATATATAAATTAATAGATAAGATATAGCTCAAGGCTACAAACAAGATCACAGGAATAAAAGACTTTTTAACAGTGCGTGGAGTCACGTGTGAAGCTTTAGTGAGGGTGTGCCCTAGTCGCACTGTGACAAGCAAGCTGAAGTAGTCAATTGTTTATAATACTTAGAAAGAAACTTTAAAAGATGTAATTCAGTGTTGTTTTTTACGTGACATAGCTGGTAAGATAGATAGATTAAGCAAGATTACTAAGAAAAAAATAGATTATGTGATTATAATTGCTATCTTTGCTTAGTGTGAGTGGGTGGGGCCGGTGCTAGTTTAATACTGGTAATCTGTAGAGTCTGTTTAGATTACGTAGAGTCTAAACAGCATTTGCCTTTCCATATCTGGTAAAGAGTCACGTGACAAAAGTTGCTTGGTTGCCACCACGAAGACCAACCGTCTCCGAACCGCTCAACAGGCTTTTGATTTTGTCCTCATAACCCCTGCACATATTTCGAAGATTGGCACTTTCTGTCTAAATATTTTATACTAATATCGTGCTCTCCATTAGGATACCTATGTATTGGTGATTATACCGATCAATTTGACCGCGGCACAGATTGTCTCCTATCCCAGAAGCCTCCTTTGGCATCTTTCGCAGACCCCTTCGCCATTTTCTTTACCTAGTCACCTCGTCCTATTTCTTTTCTCCAGCTGCATTCACTTGGTTCAACTTTGTCTGTTCAAAGCCGGCGTGATCATCTGAACATTGCTTACAGCAATTATCTCAAGGAGTCATTACCCGTTGAGCCTGATTACTTGCCAGTGCGAATTAGATGGGTCCGGGAGTCTGATGCAGTTCGATAGATTGGAAAGCCTGTGAAGCTTTCTACAACACACCCTCTCTTACTGCAGAATACTAGCTGGCCTCATCTCTGTATCCACCAGACTTTACCTTGTTTGTATGCAGTGGTTCGAACACTTACCTTCCCGTCCGGCACTCGAGACGCGTTTCAAACCTACTGAGTTCGAGCAACGTCCTTGATAGGTACTGGGCTACCGATCTCTAAGCATTTAAGACAGGAAAGAGGCTGCACGTCATAACTGTCATCTGCAATTTGCCAACCATTCCGATTGTTGCTTGTTATCCTTTGTCTGCCTTTGTTCCTCGTGTATCTCTTGTGAAAGTGGCACCCCTCTATTGATCTAATTACATTCACAACACCATCATTGGACGTGCAATTGAATACAATGTCATCCTCTGTTCACTTCAAGTTCAAGTCTCAAAAAGAGCCCTCAAGGGTAACCTTTGATGGCACCGGTATCTCTGTCTTCGAATTGAAACGAGAAATTATCAATCAGAGTAGACTGGGTGATGGGACTGACTTCGAGCTGTCTATTTACAATGAAGATACTGGAGAAGGTTAGTTGCTTCTGGAAACTGATTTGATATGGTTTTACTGCTCTTGTCCTCCCCCACCCCCCGTCTCCCGGGCGCGGCAGTGCGGGGAAGGCTCGTGATGAGTGTCAAATAACAGTGGCACGAGGACTAACTGTTAAAACTACAACAGAATACGATGATGACACTAGCATAATTCCGCGTTCGACGTCCGTCATAGCTCGGAGACTACCTGCATCGCGCCCGGGGAAGGGCGGCGCTGCTCGTTATGTTTCCGGGAAGATGCCAGTCAATGCACGCAGTGCCCCCCGTAATGATCAGCTTCCGTTAAATCGAGCAGCTCCCAATACTAGCTATCCGGTTAGCAATGGCTTCTTAGAGCTCAATAATGCCCAGACGGAAGAAGAGAAGATCAACGCATTGTTTAACCTGCAAGCCAACCAATGGAAGGAACAGCAGCAGGAGATGGCAAAGTAAGTCTCTGTGGATATCGTATTTTTTAATGTACTAACGAGTGCTTTCCCCCTCCTTTAGTGCTACGCCTGTTCCATTCGGCCGTGGAAGGGGCAGACCTATGAATGTTCCTGATCACCCCCCTCCACCGGGGTACCTTTGTTACCGCTGTCGCGAGAAAGGCAAGCTGCCATTGATTAACATATCAGAAGCCAGCTAACTGTGTATGTTTAGGCCACTGGATCCAAGCTTGTCCTACAAATAACGACCCAAAGTTTGATGGGAAATACAGAGTAAAGCGATCAACTGGGATACCTCGCTCACTCCAAACCAAAGTCGAGAAGCCGGAGTCCCTCACCCTGGACGGTTCAAATGAAGATCCAAGGAACACAGGCGTCATGGTAAATGCTGATGGTGACTTTGTTATTGCTAAGCCTGACAAGGCAGCTTGGGAATTGTACCAAGAAAAGGCCAAAGCCTCTGCGGCGGCGGCGGCGGAAGCAGCAGCAGCAGAGTACAGCAAAGAACTACAAGCACGTGGTTTGGAGTGTCCGATTGACAAGCGAATGTTTCTAGAACCTACAAGAACACCGTGCTGCCAAAGGACATACTGCAATGATTGTATTACCAATGCATTGATCGAAAGTGATTTTGTATGCCCTGGCTGTGGAATGGAGGGGGTACTACTTGATAACCTTTCCATTGACGATGAGGCTAGCAGAAAGATTAAAGAGTATGAGGCGGAAAAAGCGGATTCGAAGAAAGAGAAAGAGAAACAACCCACAGTCGAAACCGGTCAGTCTAACGACAAAACAGTCATTTCAGGTGGAGGCTCTGCGTCAACAAAAGAGCCCTCATCACCAGTTCCGGCTACCCAGCCTGCCCCTTCGAACAAAAGGTCTGCAGAGGATGAACCCCCTCGTACTGCTCCTGGTGGATCAAGCCCTAGTCTGTTATCCAAAAAACCGAAGACAGGCGAGAAGGTCGATGCACAAAGCCCGCAGATCAACGGGTCTGCGACCGGATTTCCAACGTTCCCTTTCGGCCAGCAGATGCCATTCGGGAGTTTTGGATTTATGCAGAATCAGGGCATGCCTGTGATGCCATTGTCCGATCCTAGCTTTACGAACGAGAGACTGGGGTTTATGAATGTCATGGGAGTGCCTCCATCTAATGGATTCACACCTAACGTGGACCAGACGTGGAACCCCATGAATGCTATGAATTTCAATAATGTCCAAGGACTGTATGGCGATAATGTTAACGGCTATCAGACTCCGAGTATCTACAATGGTGTCGGGGAACCGTCTATGAATATGTTTCACATGCCCCAAATGGTGGGACTTCAGTCAAATCCTGGTCTTCCACAAGGGTCGGGGGTAGGTCGCTTCTCAAATCAACAGCGGACGACGTTTAGTACGCCATTTGCCAGGGAAGAAGACACAGCATATTTTCGGCAGCCTGTTAACCCGCAAAGGCACCAAGCGAGACATCGGAGAATAAGGCCAAGCGATTATCGAGAGCTATGAATGACCTCTGGAAGATTATGGCTCTTGGAAATATCCGCGTTTGTTATCCCCGGTCTCCTATCTTACTGTTTCGAACTTTTCTATCGTACTTCATTTCCGCCTGAATTCGCCGTTGCAGTTTGTTTCATGATTATGTGTGGAAGTGAGCATTGCAGCCTATGTTTCCTTGATTATCTACACTGTTGGAGTTGAAGTGGAGGGAGGGTGGTTCTGGCTGTAGTAGGATTGCTATTGATGAAGCCATTGATTGACAAATGTAATATTAGCATAACACCAGCAATTTATCTTAATATTAGTTTGGTGTAGAGAGACTGCTAATACATCGATGGATTGCCTGTGAGCCTTAATGGCGCCTTAGGCGGGAGAGGTCAGATGACATGCCTCCTTTCCCACTTGGGTCCACCTGTCACTTGAGTTCTCCAGAGTCCGCGAACGACTATCTATCCAGACGCAGTTTACCCATCCCTACGGTGCAGTTTGTCATCTTTATTACACTCACAACCTGGAATCACTCTACCATATTCTGTCCACTTATCTGTGAAACGTCTTGTTACTGTTTGTCAAGGATCCTTGTCTGCAACACACCTAGTCAGCCCGAACTTTTAACTTATCCCCAAGGAGCGCTCGCCTGTCCAGCAAGATAAACATACTAGGTTCTGTTCTAGACTATCCAGCATCATGGCCAAGTCCTTGAATTGCAGCAGTAGTACCCGCAAACAGTTGCAGTGTACCCTCGATAAAGCTCCTCAGGTACTTGCCAGTTGCTATAGCGTCCACGTTTCGACATCCGTGATTGATGGGTTTCACTACTGCACTACCACGGGGGCAGGTAAGATACTCTTCGGTCCGATTTAATGGTCTGCCCTCATTTGTTTTCGAAGCGCATGCTAATACCCGTCTTTTGCTTTTCAGGAACACAGTGGTATCCCTGAGGTCCCTTCGGGGCCCAAGATATCTCCAAGTCCTCCCTTTGAACTATCCATCACTCCAGGCATGGGGGTTAGTCGACCGGGCAACGTATTACCGGAATACAAAGCGGAGGCAATGCATACTATTCCGGAAGAGTGTGAGAGGCTCTTCTGTGACATATTGTCTGCGATTTTCCTTGGTGAGAGGAGATTATCTAGACAAGAGTTGCTTGGGGTAGATGTGTCTCAAGGCCGGCTGAATAAGAATATGCCGGTCCAAAAGTGGTTTGAACTGTTGGATTACACCAGTGACACCATCCATCGAGGGTTTGTAACCAACCTGAGCGGTGAACAAACATTGTTTGTTTTCCTTGCAGAGAATGCACTCGGCCACGGCCTGAAAACTGGGTATGTACGCCAAAACTTTCCTCTAGAATATATAGAAGGCATGGCACTGGGGATATTACTGACACGCTACAATTCTTGCTTTCAAAGGTTAATTGCCCTGTTTGAGCTTGCTAATCTATCTGCTTTTGGGTGTGCCCAAATTGTTGCCTGCGTACCCCGCTCTCACGATGGAGTTGAACTTGAGGCTGTAAGGAACCTTGGTTGGTGTGGATTCAATTTGACTACCTTGCAGCCGTGGAGTGGTGGAAGCGGTATCGAATGCTCTCTTAGCACCAAGTGGCTCTTTTTGGATGTTGAAGTTTAGGTGTTCATGATTTAACAGCTAGCTTGTATATGGTGAAAGGAAAAGGGTTTCAATATATTTTTTCTCAGACGGCATATACTGAGTGTAGTATGTTCTAGTTCCGTAAGCCTGGATTGCGTACAGTCTACTTACGTAGTAGTACCTACTCCGTACCTAGTACCTACCAGATGATCTCCAACGCTAGACTGCCAAGAAGCGGGTGATGACCTCAGAATGAGACCCACCTTGAGATAATTGTACCTACCATAGTAAATATCTACACAGTACTATCTATGGTACTACATAGTATCTAGTGTGCGTTAAATTGTCGCACTCATAACTCCGAGCCTTATTCTCCCCTCTCTGCTATAGTTTCGGATTGAATATTCTTGTGTTCCACACTTTCATGTGCTGACTAGGACATAACTCCTCATGTTTGCTGAATTTCTGCTCCGACCTACTGTCTTCCGTAACATGCAGCCAAATATGGGGACCAGGGCTTCGTTTTCGGAAATAGTGTCTGGGTCGTCCCTGGAATCGCATGACACCAATTACTTGAATGGCCATATCTCACGTATCCGCTGTTCGTGCTGCGCAGCAGACATTTGCTTGACATCGCAGATAATCAGCAAAGGGTTCACAGGCCGCCATGGCCGCGCATTTCTTGTGTCCGGGGAACCCATCATCAGCGCACTTGCGATGAAGTCTTCGCCAACTGATTCCCTTCCAAATACCATCATACAAAAGCCCGTACCACGACGGTTGGTCACGGGTGCGCACACAGTAGGCGATATCAGCTGCGCTCTTTGTGGAAATGTACTCGGTTGGAAATATGTCGCTGCTGAAGAAGGATCACAACGATACAAGGTCGGCAAGTTCATCTTGGAGACCGAAAGAATTATGACATCTTCGTCTTGGGAATCCCCCTCTTACGTCGACCCAGCAATGCTATCTGTACCTTTGGGCTCTGGCGAGTCAGTGTTTGAAACTTCAGAAAATGGTACAGAATTTGACAGCCAGAATGAAGATGAATGCGAAGACTTGTTTGCCGGGATTTGGAGCCCTGGTTTGGCTAAGCGCCGGAGGAATCGCAAACTGCCCGGACGCCGGCCTTCTCTATTCGGAATTAAGACCCTGTAATCTTTTCGTTCCCCAAGGGTGATAAAGTATGATGTGACAGCCTAGGATTTCAGCTCTCGTGGAAAGAGCCCTGGTACTAATAACCCTACTTCGCCTTCTGCGCTTTGCGTTTCTCTTTTGGTCTCCGTTTTTCTCCTTTTTTTCGGCCTTTCCCTTGTTTTACGCACTGGAATGTAGTGATGAAAGATATTTGTGATGGTTGAGCGAAAATTGCTGCTTATACCCCTCAGCCCGTTCCTTGTGCCTCGCTCAACTGGGTATCATAGTATCATATCAGAATTTATGCTCAATTCGAGCAAATATCAACATGACCGTCTTAGACATTTCATCCTAGGTGTTACAACGAGTGTTAGACAGAACACGAAGGGTGAGGGGCGAACAGTTCGACATCTCTGGCGATCAACATACTGAGGATTATTGACGCCCATCATCTGTGTCATTCACTCGGGGTTTTTTCGCATCACTGCCCTCAGCTTCCTCCTGAGCCGGTCGCTTCGCTAGAGCTTCACTCTTCTGGTTTGGTTTGTTGGCTGAAGGCTTCCTTTTGACGAATGCAGAAAGGTCATTAGCCTCTCTCGTGACAGCGTCGAGCCGAGCCTTTTGCTCGGACGCGGACTGCCCCACGATTTGACCCAAGATACCCTTCAGCATAGTGTCGTTGGTATCACCATTTTCGGTAATCGATACTGGTGGGCGTCGGAGATCGGTAAGCTGTCAATGGTGAGAAACTGAAGTTGAAGTATACATGTTGGAAAGAAAAGCAGGGCGAGCAGGCCGCTTACCCTTTGCTCCATGTCTGCTATGATTTCTTTAACATTTGCTATTCTTCTCTTCATAGCGGTCACCTTATCTTCGTCCAGGGTATAATTGCAGTCTAGCTTTTTTTGCTCCTGATTCATCCTCAACCGGCAGCTTTCAATGGCCTTTTCCATTTGTGTTGCAGCTTCCTTTCTCATTTCCTCGTCAACCTGCCCCGGGTTACCACTGTCCTCTTGAGAATCATCATTCCCATTATTGACCGACCCAAATTCTAGGGCAAGTGAAAGCTTATAGTGACATTCGGCAACAGAAGGATCTTCCATCGGAAATAGAGACTGTCTTAAGTCAAGGGCAGTTCTCAAATCAATCACTGCATCCAGGAATCTCTCCGCTTCCAACGAGATCTCTGCTTGTAGATCATAGGTGTCCGCGAGACGTTCTTTGACATGCTTGAGATCCGAGGATAGATCTGTAGATTTTCCTTTACCAGATTCCCCCTCTATCGTATCCAGTCTCTTGTGATATAGTATGCGTGCCAAGTCAAGGACCTCAAAAGCATTGGCAAAATCATCTTCGTCATCAGCAGTAGCTTCCTCGCTGTCTCCATCATCTTGAGAATCCGAATCATCAAAATTCTCATCACCCGTAAATTGAAAATACGGCTTGGTTGGAACATCTTCAGATTTTGTATCCTGGGCTTCTGAGATATTTTTAGGTACGCCCTGGGCATTTGCCTTCTGAACAAATGCCGTGGTTGATGCCGATCCAGCGGATGGTCTCCCGACAGGTGCACTGTTTGGTTGTGCTTGGGGCTCTCCAGCTACTTTTGACCCAAGCACATCGCTTTTGCTAACAGCAACATTGTATAGGGCTTTTCCGTACGCAAATAGTAAGTCGGCATTGTCAAGCGCCAATTCTCCGTTTAGCGAGGCCTGAAGCTCCGTGGCCTCGGAATATAGCTCGGCAGCGGCGTTAAAATCCTTGATGGCATCCTTAGCGGCAGCTTGCTTGATAAGTTCATCCAATGATGCTTGGGACTTGGCACTGCTGTCTTCCGGGGGTGCGCTTGGCTCCATTTTGTATTTGGCGCAGAAGGTTGATGAGGGGACGGGGGGGACCGACTGCGGACCAGACGGAGAGAAGAGCCCTAAACAGAAGTAAAAAAAGACAAGAAGTCTAGGAAGGAGAAGCGTAAGCCTGCTAAGGCTTAGGAATGCTTTGACGGGTCGTGCGCGTGTTGGAGGGGGGGGGGACTGGCTGGCATAAAAGAAAGGTGGGTGTGTAGTAGTACTCCGTACGCCGGAGGTATTATTGGGGCAAGTGAAGACGACTGACCCTTGGCCCCAAAGTGGAACAGATCACGTAGGCGACGCGCCGCCGCCATCACCGCCATCACCACGACGCGTTCTGCTCGATCCGGTCCACACACTCCACCCAGGGTAGGTAGGTTTAATAGCTACCTAGACAACCAGCACTAGCAGGAACGCCCTGTACTGGCAGCGGATCTTACGGATTTGGTGGTCTTGGTATTCAACGTTTTTTTTCCTTTCCTTTCCACTCTCCTTTCATCATATCTATTCCGAGTACTTCGGGACTCTTGCTTATCGGCGTTGCTTCCACTGGAGATATCGCCAGCAATGGTGGACTCGGACCCCGTACCTTCATCATCGCCCGGGTTTGGAACTTCCGTCTTTCCCTTTCGAAAGAGCAGGCCCAATGCGCTTCCTACAAGGACATCGATCCTCCCCATACTGCTTCCTCCCTCGACTCTCCGGCCCGTGGCCTTCCGTACCTTCACCCGCAAGCACAACCTGACGATTTCTTCCTCCGCGCTTCAAACCTTAGCAACCTTCGTGGGAAAGCATTGTGGCTCGGGATGGCGCGAAGAAGGTCTCGCAGAAAGGGTACTCGATGAAGTGGCAAAGGGCTGGAAGAAAGCTGGTGGCGGCGTCATTGTCGATGAAGGCAAAGGGGCCTCATTGAGAGCTATCCTACAGACCTTGGAGGGCAATATGAGTGGGGGAAGGGTTGTTTCCGGAAAGCAGACTTCGGCAGATGAGGCTCTTGCGAGAACGACAAGCCCGGGTCAGGGTTGCAGACGCTCGAAGGCAGAGACACCATTGTCTGCGGTGATGGCGCCGGAAGGTGAAAAATCGATAGAGAGTCCCGACTCGGCTTCACATCCGAGACATTGGATCAGGGTCATCGAGGCATTTGATATACCCCGGTTGACGTATAATGTGGACAAGAAATACTTTGAAGTCGCGAGATCGAAACCCACCCTATTCCCCCCATCCTCTCACAGGACCAACCTGTTCAGAGACCGTTACAATGTTGTTCATCAACGTTTGCTTCGGCACGAGTCATTCCAGTCACCATCCGGACTTCCCAGCATGCTGCGACAATCTCCATCTTCCTTAGCGTTCAGTCAAGGCTACAAGCTTACACCAATCGCAAATCTACTGGGGAGGAATGGTACATCACACTTGATTCTTGGCTTACTTTCTGTGTCGCCCACGGGAGATCTTACGGTGAGTGACTTGACTGGGAACATTGCTCTGGATCTTAAACACGCGCGAATAGTGCCTGGAGATGGTGCCTGGCTTGCTCCGGGCATGTTCGTACTCGTCGATGGAATTTATGAAGAAGAGGAAAATATTAGGGGGTCTACTCTGGGCGGTAATTCCGGGGTGGGGGGAGCCATAGGGGGAGTTTTCGTGGGCGTTTCCATATGTGGCCCTCCCTGTGAGCGACGGGAGACATCGCTGGGGATGAATAATCAACAAAGTGGCAGGGAGGTCAGCTCTAGTGGAGGCCTTGGGTGGATTGACTTTCTGGGCGTCGGAAGTGAGCGCGCACGTGGTCCAAAAATGAGACAGATCGAGGCCAATTATCTGCAAGACGTACATGGGAGTGCAAAGGGTGGTCGCCGGTTAAGAGTGGCCGTTCTGGGTGAAGTGAACCTTGATAACATGCGGACTTTCGATGCATTGAGGAGGGTTTTCAGCGTCTACAATGATTTGCGCCTGGACGACCGGCCAAATATATTTATCCTGACCGGAAACTTCGTACAGAAGGCCATCATAAACAGCAGTGGCCAGGCAGGCAGCATCGAGTACAAGGAATATTTTGATGCGCTTTCAGTGACACTCTCTGACTTCCCTACATTGTTGCAGCACTCAACATTCATCTTCGTTCCAGGTGATAATGACCCATGGTCAGCGGCTTTTTCAGCCGGTGCTGCTTCCCCAATACCACGCCATGCGATCCCTGAGTTGTTCACTACCAGGGTGAAACGTGCATTCGCCGCTGCCAACTCACAGATGGACCCAACCCAGTCATCTGAGCCACCTGGCGAAGCAATCTGGACATCAAACCCTTCCCGCCTTACCCTGTTCGGGCCCGTCCATGATATTGCGATATTCCGGGACGACATATCAAATCGACTCAGACGCAGTGCCGTGAATCTTTCGTATGACCAAGACAGCGCTATGGCTGAAGATGTGAACACTGGCCCTAGAGAAACCAACACTCCCAAATACAGCGATCAGACTAGCGATCAGACTAGCGACCAAAGCCTACAGGTAGACACAAACTCCAATATAGCCTCATCTGCTATACTCTCTGCTCGAAAGCTTGTGAAATCAGTCCTGGACCAAGGAAATTTGTCCCCCTTTCCGCTTTCTCTACGGCCTGTTCTGTGGGACTATGGTTCCTCATTGCAACTATATCCGCTACCCACTGCCCTAATATTGGCGGATCCAGAGGCGGCACCATTCTGTATAACGTATGAAGGCTGTCATGTGATGAATCCCGGGAGGCTTGTTCCGGATGGAGAGCTACCCACTGTTCGTTGGGTGGAATATGATGTCCTCAAGAATCGGGGCAAGGTGAAGCAAGAACGCTTCTAGCCCGCACACAACATGGAAGCTGGGGAGTTATGGAGCTGTTGGATGTTTAAGGAGGGACTAAGGCACTGAGTATTAGACATATTTTATGTTCTGTCCTCACCCCGAGGTATAGGCAACGAACCTTATGTACATATTCAACTTGACCGAAGTATGGCTGAACGATTACAACTACATGGGATGAAAGGGTGGTTTTTCATCGCTCATAAGAGACAATGGCAACATGTTTTTAATTTCTAGACCTCGGGCTTTATGACATTTTCCCACTCATTAAATTATGTAGCTCAGCCACAAGGGTATGCCGGTGTTTAGATACTACGTCAACCCGCAGAAAACAGGAGCTTCTAAGAACAAAGGGCTCGATTCTAGACACTGTACAAGTAGCAAATGGTAGGTGGCGTAGTAAACCACGTCTCAACGTGCAAGGAAAATCATCCTTGAGGGAAAAAGAGGTGCTCCCCAGCGTTAAAGTAAGTAGCAATAGAATGTTTTAGTCAATCATGATGACATCCTCTTTCTGCGTTGCAGGATTAGCCTGGGACTGGGTGCTCTTGTTGTTTGGAAGGGTTGCGAGTGAGTCCTGATGCGCAGATTTGGTGCCGTCCGTATTTCCCGTTGCTCTCGCCGACACCGAAAGCGCGGTAATGTTCGATGTGCCAGGGCTGGCGGCTCTGTCCGTAGGCTTGTGTCCGGAACCGTTTCGGCTGGCAGTGAAACACTTCTCAAGTGCTACCAGGAGGTTCCCGACTTGACTAGCTTCCGCAACGACACCACTCTCAAGCCCTCGCCAACCATCACCCTTTGAGGTATATAGTGTCTCTCGGAGACAGGTTGTAACCTTGTGGTTTCTATTGTTCCCTTGGCTGCCCGTGTCTTTGAGTACCCAGACCCAACGGCTTTGATGCGAAGCAGCGACCAATTGAAACAGGACCCCTTCACCAGGGTAGTGAATTTGATAAGTCCTGGCGTTACGCACTGTGACTTGCACCCTCAGAGGCTCGCTGTGAGACGAATTAACCATTAGCTGGTCCAAAGCCCTCATCAGAGGAAGTGTAAGCGTTAGAAGTTCAACAACGGACTCCAATCCCGCCTCGGTGGAAGCTTGATTAAGACTAGATGCAAGGGATTCTTGAATCCGACGATGTGGGTTATAGTGGCCGAACTGTATGTGTAGGCGAAGGCGAAATAATGACTCGAGGCTAGATGTAAGCTGGGTAGGATTGAGTTCCATAAGAGAGTCATCACTAGTCAGATCAATATTGATGCTAGCCGAGAGATCTCTCTCCGGGCCGTAAATGAAGGATATGCTCGATAACGAAAAGGTCCGGACCTCGATCTTTCTCCGTTGTAGAGATTCGAGAATTGAAAGCACGCACTCAAGTCTCTGTAAGCTTTCTATAAGACTGACGATGACGGGGTGACCAGCAGGCGCAAGCAAACGTATCGCAAAGCCACCGCCTGTCTTTTGAAACACTAGCGAGCGATCCCAGTTGGAGATAAGATGACCAAAAGCACCCGTAGGATTGGCCAAGCTACCATAGGCCACCATAATAGCGCACTTCTTGCGAGGATCAATTCCATGAAAAGCAAGGCGAATGGTGTCCTTGAAGAAGCTCTTTCTCTTTGCATTAACGGGCATGGCTACCCGAAAGACACTGGGGAGATTTGATGCATTGTATCGAACCAAGATGTCCGGGACTCCAAGGTCTGATTCGATCGTCAATTTGTGTGGAGGAGGATAGAATCTTATGGCCTGCAATTCTGACAGGTAGCGGGCATTTGAATGAATAGCCAAAATTCCTGAAAGACTGTGTCCAAGGTCTGCAAGCGAGGCGTCATCGCTCTTATCTTGCGCAGGGTAGAACCCATTTGTCACAGCCTGCGCGGAGCGGAGAACAGACTGGCCACGGCCGCTCGCATCAAGAAGGGAAGGGCCTTTCGCAAGAACCGTCGGGCGAAGTTGTACAACCCACCAGCTATCACCATCCATACTGCTAGTCGCTGCCACGATCCAATTACGCTCCCAAAGGTGATGGGAAAAGAACGCGAATCGCAGAACGTTTGATGGGAATATCTTGCGAAAATCAACCTTCCATGCCCTCGGATTCAGCGGCTCGAATCCTAGCATTTTAACCTTGGATTCAATTTCCTCTATAGCCGCGTTACAACGAAGTCGAGCAACACGGGAAACAATGTCATCGACGGGAGATCTTTCGAAACTGCGGTCGCCATCAATCCGTTCCGAGACACTTGGGGTGGTTGACAGGATAGAAATTCCGGACATCGGTTCAATGGAGACTCGAAGATACTTAGTTTCCGTGAGCTGGACATCGAGTAGACAATCGCCGGGCTCAGTCCTAGTGAGCCGAGCACGCAAGGATAGTAAGCCACTTGAAAAAAGTGAACTGTGTCCTATGTTTCTGTATGCCGAAGAAAGATTGTGAGAGACGTGTAAAGCAATGATACTTCGGAGAAGGCTCTCCATAGAGAGGTTTTCTGAATCGAAATCAATGTCATCACATGGAACCTCGTTACCATCTCTCATCCAACGACACCCCAAAACTGGCAGCCCAGAGCTTTCGCAGTTTGACCTGCGCTGGCCCCTATATATTCCAATCTCAAGCCAGCTTTTAGCTCCAGGTTTCAGTGTCCAGTACTGTACAACGAGAGTTCGGTGCAACAACTCAACGCGCAAAACGTCAGACCAGGAGCTTCTTGCCAATTCAGCAGCTTGCTTGAATAGTATGTTGACTTTATTGGTTAATACCAAGTTATGCAGTAGTTCGAAACACCCGGTCAAGCCGCTTTTCTGAAGCACATCATTGATCGTGATCTCAAGCTCATTCAGAAATCGACCCTTCGGAACAGGAGGTGAAGGAAAGAAGAGGAAACGAATGTCAACGAAGAAAAACTGTGAAGCTTCATCCTCTTCACCAATGGAAAGGTCAAGTTCGAATTCACCAGGGACAAGGAATGTGACCCGGCCGTCGTGGACACAGTAGGTTCTAAAAGACGGAGGTATCTCATCTCGCGCTACAAGTCGCACGCCGATCAATCGGTTAATTTTCTGTAACCTTTTGAGCGTTCCCCTGACCGTTAGGCGCCTGGGAGGCTTGTAACCGAGCTAAAGTACGACGAAAGACAAAATTAGAGAGAAGGACCCATAAAGTTGGATGGCGACCAGCTTACATTGGACATTGATTCCACCTTGCCTTTAGACAAGACCTCTAGTGCGGTTTTCAAATCGGGGTTGGCAACCTGGGCCTGTACAAGGTCTCTTTTCATATCTCCGACACATTGAAGAGCACCAGTGTAGGCTTGATGACGGGCGCGGATGAAATTTTGGATATCGATCAATTTACTCACATCAGCGGCTTGTCGACTCCATTGAGAAAGAACGAGAAGCTTAATGAATTCAGCTCTTTTCGCGTGTGAAAATTCGAGCATTCGAAGCTTCTTCCGTGTATTGTCCGGGGGCTGATTGCCAGGATATTTCCCGCTAGTGGGAACTGGCGAAGGGTGATATTCATGAGGATTCACTTGCATCTCTGCCAGTTCAGTGATCATGTCGGATAGATCGTTCCAGCACTGCTGCACGGATCTATTTATGAGCTTCGAGAACGGAAAGAAGCCCTGTGTTATGTGTGGCAAATCAGGCGGTCCTTTATTTCCCCTTAATGCATGATTGACTGGGGGTATCTCGATGGCTCGATTATGACTGGCGTTCTTTTCCACTCCATTAACATTAGGTGGGTCATTTTGTGAGTTGAACCGGACAGTTTCTCCTCGGGGGTACGACTGTCCATCCTGAGAATAATTGTTACCTGGCCCGTGTCTGAGCCCGCCAATACTGGCATCGTCCATGACGACTCCCGGCATGTTCTGTACACAGACTTGCTCTTCGTTGTTTTAAGCCCTCCCCTCCTTTACCCCTCGCACAGCACAAAGCGAGCGATCTATTGACGGGTCTATTCCGGTACTGGAGGAGCTGGCTCCGGGGTAGGGAGGGAAGCCGACTATGTGCACGTACGACGATCGAAGACTTCAGTATGATGCCATTTGTGTACCACCGACCAGAGCTCAACGAGTAGTTTGACTATTGAGTGTCTAATCAATAGACTGTAGCTAGAGCGTTATGTGCTCAATGTAGATAACAGTTGATAGCTGATATCGTGGGGAGTTGAGCTGTTGCGTTCTCCTTGCTCTTTGAGACCGAGGTAATGGCCCGGCGCATGAGTGCTGCGGACACGCACAAGCCGCAGGTCAATCCTGCCAGGCGCGTCTCCTGAATTAGATCACGAGGCGAAAGATATGCGACGCCAGCCCGGGATGACCGACCCCAGTGTCTTATGATGTAGGATATTGAACAACGAAGGCGGGGAGCTAAGCGATATCAGAATAATCCTTTTAGAATTAAAGGCAAAGAGGGGCAAAAGAGATGCGTGAAGCAAGAAATCAGGACGTATATACCATATATCACAGGCGATGTGAGGAATAACAACACACTTGTGGGGGGTCAAGGGTCGTTGGAAGTACTTGTGAATACTCGAGAGATGAGGCTTGCGCGATGCGATGCAAATGCATGAGCACGGGACCAGCCAATAGCTAAGAAGTAGTTAACGTAATCGGACACCGAGCCGGCGCGACACCGAGCCGGCGGCCGCCGCGCCGCGTCTTGCACCCTCAACATCTTGAAGTCGAAGAACTCGCCCAAACCGCCCTGTTTCGCAGTATTATCGTGATTCCTTGGTGTTTCTTTTCATACATCAATATGGCCGATACAAATGAACATTTAAATCTCACCGTCAAGGCCTTTAAGAGTGGGAAATTCTCTACAAAGACCGCTTGCGCTGCCGCGTTTGATATCAAGATAAGCACTTTTAAAGATTGTTTAAATAGCATCAAATCACATACTGAAAAAGATGCTAATTGTAGGAAGCTATCTATAATTAAAGAAAACACGTTAAAGCAGTGGCTTCTTGATATAGCCTACTGTAGACTGCCTCTTAAAATCTGCAATACTCGATTCTCTGCCCAGCTGCTTTATCAAGTAAAGTTGAAGCTAAATCAGTATAATACTATATCAGAATACTGGATTACTCACTTTATTAAACATTATCTGGAATTAACGTTTAAATTTATATTGAAGTATGATTATCAACATGTTAAATATGAGGATTCTTATCTTATTTAGAGATGGTTTAACCTTATTTATAAGACAGTCTAAAAATATAATATTCTTAATAAAGATATATAAAATATGGATGAAACTAGATTCTAACTAAAAGTTACTTTAATTATTTATATAATCTATAGCTCAGAAACACGAGAATCGCGTGCTAAGTATATATAACCAGAAAACCGTGAATAAATAACTTTAATTATTATAATCTCAGTCTTAAAAACAGTACTTTTACTGCAGATTATCTTTATAGTATAAAATCATTAATTAATATAATATGAAGTCTGCTTAAAATCTTATTATCTAAGTATCAGCGAAAATGGCTGAACTATTAATAAACTTGACTTTAACTGGCTTCAGAATGTGTTTGACCGGTATACAGCTTTAAAAACTATTAGCAAGTATTATATATTAATTCTTAATAATCATGGCAATCATGTAACTCAGTAGTTTAATCAGTTCTGTACAGTATATAAAATTATTTCTTTATATATATCTGCTTACTTATCCTATAAACTACAGTTACTTAACGTTGCTTGCTTTGGGCCATTAAAAAAGTTATATAGCCAGCATATATCTAAGACTATTTATTATAGAGAAGAATTAATTATTAAGCTTGATTTCTTATAGTTATATCACAGTATCCACGCCAAGGCCTTCTTTAATATTAATATACTCAGTGAATTCTATGCCACCGGCCTTGTTTCTTTAAATCCTTAAAAAATACTTTCAACGCTACAGATTTAATTAAAAACACTAACTCTATTAATATCCTTATATTTTAATCAGTCTTTCTATCTTGAAAAAACATCTGCAAATTTATATGAATTTAGAAGATAGAGACAAGAAATACAAGAACTTGTAGATCAAGGCCTGGCGTCAATAGTTTTATATGAAGTTATTAAAAAGATGATTAAGGCTATGAAATAGTCTATACAGAACGTAGTCCTGCTTTAACAACAAATTAAGCAGTTCCAGTCTATACAAGCAAATAAAAAAGAAAAGAGAAAAACCTTATATTGTTATATACAGCAGGGAGGCACTTTAACAGGCCAAGAGGGCTTTAATATAGCTCAGATACAAGAAAATGAAGCAATTCAGGCCGCAGCACCAAGGCCGGCCAGGGCACGCCGGCCAGCCCGCTGCAGTATATGTGGAAGTGAAGGACACAATCGTTTAAAATGCCCTCATGAAAACAACAAGAATTGATGTATATAGCCTTTTCTTGGTGGCTGAATAGCCTTAGGAAGCGGCCAGCGAGGCAGTCAGCGAGGCGGCGGCAGACCGCCGCCGGCTCGGTGTCCGATTACGTTAATAACGTAATCCACTACCGAGCCGCCACCTACTACCGAGCCGCCACCTCCGCTCCGATTTCCATGACTATGTTAGATTCAAGCACTGCTTTACTAATAAAACAATTGCATTTCTCTATAAAACTGATTACTAGATGGGTTAGGACATCTGACCCTAGTATGTCCCTAAATATGATAATTAGAACACTGTGATGGCGCGCGTACGCGTGGTCCAACTACAGAAAGCCCCAGATTCCTAGACCCAGTATCTTAAGCTTCAATAATCTGATTCTCTTGCTGGAATCGCTCCTAGCTTTTCTGGATAGAAAGACCTTCTGCAGCAGTAAACTATTTAATAAATAGCTTTTACTTTTGAAGCTTCTTCTTATGTGCGGCTTGTAGATCATGGTTTTCTTATACTAAAATAGTAGTACTATTTATTACTATTTTATACTCTTTAATAAGTTAATCTAGCACAGCCTTTGTAGAAGAGGAAGGACTCTGTGTACGCGTCTTAAGCAGCTTCTTAATTATAAATACTTGCTTCTCCAGCTATCTGATAGTATAGGATGTCTTAGGTACTGAATTGGTTGACCGGCTGCCTGGTGATATCAGGATATTTAGTTAAATATTTAACTAACTGAGCACTCACCCTAGATTATATAGAACTAGCCTAATAACAGAAAAATCACTGTAAATATTGCTAGTAGTATAGATATCTGTACGCGCCTGAAGGAAAGCTTCAAGGAAGTCAAGCTTATCAATATGATTAAATCCAAGATATATCTGCTTCTCCACTAAGCCTCTGTACACACATTTTAGCAGTGAAAAGCAGCCAATATCTAGAGGTTGCAGTAAATGCAAAGAATAAGCAAATATACAGATAGAAATAACATTATTCTTACTATATATCTGGTTGAATTGAGGTGTTAAATGACTGCCATGGCTATCAAGAACTAGAAGATGATAATTCCCAGTTGTACGGCCAGTAATAGCAGGAATAAAGAGGTTTTGAAGCTAGTAAAGGCTTATTTCATCACTAGTCTAGTCATTAGGACTAATTTTAATTCTCCAGTCATGTGGTAGATTGCTCTGATACCATCTCTCTATATAGACCTTTTCTTTAAAGATAATACACGGAGGAAGTGTTTAACCAGAAATATTTATATACTTAATTAAAGTAATCTATTCTTGATTACCTGGCTGTACAAGGCATGTTTTTCCATAGTAATCAGCTCTAGTAACTACTTGTGTAGTAGCTACTAGACCTATAGTAAAGCTAGTCTTATCAAAGTTATAGATATCTTTCTGTGTAATCCCTTGTTGTATTATAGTGATTTATATATGATTAAACTATTCTTATATAATCTTAGGATTCCTGTATTTAGTATGTTGATAATCATAGCATCAAGTATAGTGGGTTTTTAATTTATTGTATTGTTTAATAAACTTAGAGACCCAGTTCTCTCTAATAGTTTAAATAGGTATAGTTCCACGTTTAGCAAGCAGAATATTAGCTATTTCTTGTATATGAGATAGCCGGGGAGATGTTTTATAATAATCTAGTGATAAGATCTATTGTACAAGTGATTCCTCTTCATTTTGAGTCATTTTATGGGAGTTGGCGCGTGCTTTCTTGTGATAATTGCGGCCATGAAGATGGTCCTGTAGAGTTGAATGTGGAATATTATAGACCCGCGCAGCTTTAGTAATTTGGGAGATTTGCTTGTTTTCTATAGCAGAGATTGTTAATAGAATCCTGCCTTCTTGCTTGACTAGATTTCTTGAATTTTGACGCGCTTTTGGAGGCATGGTTGGTGGTTGAATTGAGCGAGGATTTTGACCGGTGTCAAAAACGCGTGAGGTGGCGGCTCGGTAGTGGATTACGTTATTACCTGATCTTACTAATATCAAACCAGCCACACCTGCCACACTGCCTTGAAAGGCACAATACGATGCATTCCAGACTCCACTGAGTCCACTCGCCAGCGAGCTAAGTACTCCAACTCGACCCAGACTTTCCAAGCTTCTTCCATTCTTGTTCAGGTATTAACCTACCCTGCTGGATACAGTGTAGCCCTCTAGGAATTTATTGTATCCTTGATCTTTCCCCAGCTATCTTGTCCTTGCTGCTTGTAGGCTTTGCTTTACTTTTCTGTCCCTTCCTTAAGCTCTACCTTGTCACTTCCCTTCAGGCCAGATTGTCAATACCACCATCGTCCTTCCTACCGTCCTCGGACATTCTCAATCTGACGGCAAAGCAATCTTAGTAATAGTTGGTGACTTCGGTTGCGTAGCGGCCATTCAGGTGTGTTGCATATGAGCCTATCATACCGCCAAAGCCAATGTGAACAGCTTTCCATATTCCCTGTATATTAACCAGCTTCTACGGAATACAGACAAGCGTGATAAGGTGTGCCTATTTCTGAGAGCCGATTCATCGGACATGTGAACAGCCCATAATGCCGTATTGCAACAATGCGCAGGAAGACCAGGTCGCTTCAACCTGCTCCCCACCACAATTTCCGGGGGATGACACCCGGCCAACGTCTAGAAAGGAACTGGTTGGGTGGTACAGCTATGGTTGGGCTGCAGAGGTTTTTGCAGTATGTGCTATGGGTATGAACTCGTTGTACAGGTCGACCAATTATGCCTTTTAATCTCTCTCTAACCTGTCATAGGGTCCTTTCTCCCCATAACACTAGAGCAGATGGCTCGAGAACGAGGAGTTCTTTTGTCGGACAAGACGACCCCATGTAGCGCTACTTGGAGCGCTCTACAATCTACTTCAGTATCCGAACCTCAGGATCAGCTTTCTTATGTCACAGCATATATGAAGTCTGGCGTACCGAAGTCAAGCCAGTGCATTGTTCATATCCTCGGTGTTGAAGTCAACACTGCAAGCTTCGCTATGTACACATTTTCAGTCAGTGTCCTTGTCCAAGCTATCCTGATCATATCAATGTCAGGAGCTGCAGACCACGGAAGCTACCGCAAACTGCTCTTGGTGACATTTGCTCTCATCGGCTCTGTTTCCACGATGCTGTTCCTTGCGGTCGTTCCAAGGCTATATATCCTTGGTGGGCTCTTCGCAATTATAGCTAATACCTGTTTTGGGGCTTCTTTTGTGCTCTTGAATTCATTCTTGCCTCTTCTGGTTCGCCATCATCCTTTGTTGGTCAGAGAACATAGTGACGAGGATCCGCTCGCCAGAACCAACGACAATCATAGTCCTACAGCCGATGTCCCAAGTCATAATGAAGATTCTGAGACAACAGCGCTGCTTCAACCCGAACAGAGTCACCATGGCTCTTCTCCAGACGACGCAACTCAACTCTTTGTCCAAAGAACTTCTCAGGAATTGAAGCTTTCCACAAAGCTATCATCGAATGGAATTGGTATTGGCTATATTGGTGCAGTGATATTGCAAGCAATTTGCATTCTTGTGGTTATCGAAACTCATCAGACAACCTTTTCGTTGCGACTTGTCCTTTTTCTCATTGGGCTCTGGTGGTTTATCTTTACAGTACCTGCGGCAATATGGCTAAGTCCCCGGCCCGGCCCGCCCCTACCACAAAGGAAGAAGCGTGGGACATGGGTCAGTTACATGGCATATGCTTGGGAGTCACTTGGTCGGACCGCAATGCGGACTCGACGTTTGAGGGATATAATGCTGTTTCTGGCAGCTTGGTTCCTTCTGAGTGATGGCATTGCGACAGTCAGTGGAACCGCTGTCCTTTTTGCGAAAACACAACTAGATATGCAGCCAGCTGCATTGGGGCTAATCAACGTGATAGCGATGATTGCGGGAGTACTTGGTGCGTTTTCTTGGAGCCTTGTGTCGCGAATATTCAATCTCCATGCATCGCAAACTATAATTGCCTGCATTGTTCTGTTCGAGCTTGTACCACTTTATGGCCTCTTGGGGTTTATCCCTGCGATCAAAAGGCTAGGTTACTTGGGTCTTCAGCAGCCATGGGAGATGTACCCATTGGGCGTCGTATACGGGCTTGTTATGGGCGGGCTTTCATCATATTGCCGGAGCTTTTTCGGGGAATTAATCCCCCCAGGTTATGAGGCAGCATTCTATGCTCTATACGCCATTACCGACAAAGGTTCCAGTGTTTTCGGGCCGGCGATTGTTGGAATAGTTACAGACCGTTATGGTGAAATCCGGCCCGCCTTTGTTTTCCTCGCTGTCTTGATACTGCTTCCTTTGCCGCTTATGCTCCTAGTTGATGTGGAGCGTGGAAAGAGAGACGCGCTTTCACTTGCAAAGGAACTTGGCGGCAAACAGAGTTTGGAGGTGGCTCCGGACTACGGAACCGTCTCTAATTGTTTGTCTCGTGGCGAGGACATTCTGGCACAAATTGAGTGATGACCATCAGACGGCGAGTGGATGATCCATGGTCTACCTCAGGTGAGGTAGCAATGTTTGGTCGAGATATTTCATTTCCCCAGTCACTCATCGTCTGCCCTTCTCGGGGCCCTCCGCGCCGGTTGGCAAAAGATTGGGTTGAAGCGTACATGTGTTTTCTATTTGTGGCTGAACATTGGCACGGTTAGTTGTACCGTCATACAATCAGGGATAAACAGCTACCTGCTTATCATGAACTGCATTTTCATTCATTATTGCAAATTCACATTATCGTAGTTGAAAATATCGAATGTCAGAGGAACAGAGCGGGAGCGGGGCCGTACGCAGATTCTCCAGCTAGTGAATACCTGAGACATTAGTATCATGGAATGTAGCTAGCTGGGCCATGTCTACCTATCTACTCCGTACTCCGTAGAGAAGCAGGCTTAAAGCTTGAAAGTCGAAGAATCACAAGCAAAGGTCGCTACATGATCTTTACTGAACTAAGTGGTTAGTCCCAAGAAATTCACGACCCCCAACGATCATTACTCACCCGATTTAAACTGTAGATAACTGCCTTGTTTCTGAATAGCCTATTTCTGAATAGCCTAGGAAGCCAGGGGTATGGATTCCTGTCGTTTGAGAATTTCAGCATACGTAGTAAGTAAATGACTAGTACCTGAGGCCCAAGGTACGGGGTAGTAAGGATGATTAGTTACGTAGGGTCCCCGTCGGCCAAGGCGGTACCGTTCACTGCGTTGGTACCAGGTACGTACCTACTACCTACACAGGAAGGTCCGTACCTTACCTACTTAAGTAGGTACTACTATAAGAGTGGATAAGCAGCTTACAGGGACGTATGGGCTAATGATAATACCATCTTGGAGCTTCAACAGCTGATGTACCAGGGGTACCTACTCCGTACTTTTTTTAACATAGTATATTACCATTCCCTTGGGTAAGTCCCTTGCTCTACTACTTGGCGGGTCCGATCGAGCCAGTCAGAATGCCCAGCAGGCAGCTGACTGCAGAAAGAACAGACTGTCCTCAACGCCTCCACTCAGTCCATACCTTAGCTAACCTAACCGACCGACCTACATTTAAGAACTATTTACCTTCCCATCGCTATTTTCCCCTTAGGTAGCTTCTGCTTCGCGCGTGGCCTGCCTTATATTCACCCCACCACAGGCAGTCTATTGGCTTACCATTCATTTTGTCCGTTCCCCTTCCTGACCGAAAGCACACGTACAACTTGCTGCAACATGCGCTCGTTCGCGCCCTGGCTTGTGAGCCTCCTCGGAGCATCGGCGGTGGTTGTGGCAGCCGATACCGAGTCGGATGTTATTTCGCTAAGTAAGGATACATTCGAAGATTTCATGAAGGAGCATGATCTTGTCCTGGCGGAATTCTTTGCTCCTTGGTGCGGTCATTGTAAGGCTCTTGCGCCTAAGTATGAGGAAGCAGCCAAAGAGCTGAAGACGAAGAATATTCCCTTAGTCAAGGTTGACTGTACTGCTGAAGAGGATCTATGCCGGGATCATGGCGTGGAAGGCTACCCTACCCTTAAGATTTTCCGTGGCGTTGATTCTAGCAAGCCTTACCAGGGAGCTCGTCAGACAGAATCGTGAGTTCCACCCCGCCCTGCTACTTGACAGAACAGAGCTTCAAGAGGGATGCGTGGCTCGATTAAAGTTATCATATATGCGACGGAGTACTGACGCATTGTGTCCTTGTTAGTATCGTATCCTACATGACCAAGCAGTCTCTCCCTGCGGTATCTTCTGTGAACGAGGAGAACCTGGAGGAGATCAAGGCTATGGACAAGATTGTTGTCATTGGTTATATCCCGACTGAGGACGAGGAAACCTATCAAGCATTCGAACATTATGCTGAATCCCAGAGAGACAATTACCTGTTTGCCGCGACAAATGATCCGGCCATTGCCAAGGCTGAGGGTGTTGATCAGCCGTCCCTCGTGCTTTACAAGGACTTCGATGAAAAGAAGGCTGTTTACAAGGGAGAAATCGAGCAGGAGGCTATCCATAACTGGGTCAAGTCCGCTAGCACTCCCCTTGTTGGCGAGATCGGCCCCGAGACCTATTCCGGCTATATCGGGGTGAGTACAGTCCAGACATCAAGAGAATATTGCTGCGGATTCCTGTGCAAGCTATTCCATATGATTCCTTCATTCGCTAATCTCCCTGTATAGGCTGGAATCCCTCTAGCATACATCTTTGCCGAGACTCAGGAGGAGCGCGAAAAATACACCGAAGTCTTCAAGCCCATTGCACAGAAGCACAAGGGTGCTATGAACATTGCTACTATTGACGCCAAAATGTTTGGTGCCCACGCCGGAAATCTCAATCTCGACCCCCAGACATTCCCGGCATTCGCTATCCAGGATCCTGCGAAGAATGCCAAATACCCCTATGATCAATCAAAGGAATTGAATGCCGACGAAGTGGACATGTTCATCCAAGATGTCATCGATGGGAAGGTTGACCCTAGCATCAAGTCGGAGCCGGTCCCCGAAACCCAGGAGGGTCCCGTCACAGTTGTTGTAGCCCACTCTTACAAAGAACTTGTCATTGATAACGAAAAGGATGTCTTGGTCGAATTTTACGCACCGTGGTGCGGGCACTGCAAAGCGTATGTCTTTTCCTTTTTCCGTACATGTCATGTTTGAAGTCCAGAAACTGACCAACCTCATAGTCTCGCTCCCAAGTACGACGAACTCGCAGGTCTCTATGTTGATCATCCCGACTTCGCGGCCAAGGTCACCATCGCCAAGATCGACGCCACGGCCAATGATGTTCCGGATCCAATTACTGGCTTCCCTACTATCAGACTTTACCCGGCTGGCGCCAAGGACTCTCCCATTGAATATTCTGGCTCACGCACTGTGGAAGATCTTGCAAATTTCGTGAAAGAGAATGGCAAACATAATATCGATGCGTTCGATGCCAGTCCCCAGGAGGCCCAGGAAAGCGGTGATGTTACCGATGCTTCTCCCTCTGCAACTCAGGCCGAAACTCCGGCTGCCACGGAGGACGAGACGGCGGGGCATGATGAATTGTAAAGGGGCCATTCAGATCTATTTCCACTTACTGTGCTGTATCCTACCACTAATTACCTAAATATTGAATCTCACTATTAATCTGTAATTTCTTGATCGACTACTCGTAGTTGACTGGGCTTGATCACCTACACCGATGAATTTTCATGTAACCAGATGATTAGTCGGCTATTAACTGGGTTCAAACATGCCAATTATGTGATATGTTGATGAGAAATCCCGGGTGCCAAAATTGAGTCTTCAAGGTGCGAGATCACTCAAATATATGTGCCCTCCCCTAGCAATGATACCTCGTTTCTAGATGCGAGAATTATAGCTGACCCTATGGTTCTTTCAGGATAAAGGCAGTGATGACGCCAGCGTGTTGCAACCAAGCATTAAATTTGTGAAGGCATTCAGAATTAGCAATTACCTGTTCGTTTCCGTTGCTGCTAGGGCTTCCAGCGCATCGAGGTCATCTTCAAATTCGTCAGCAGTGTCAGTAGACCTGGGGGGCTCTGTTGTCGCATGGTTATTTTCTTCTTCTGGAAAGCCAGCATCTGACTCTTCTGCGGCGGACGTCTTAGAGGTGTCCGTTGAAGCCGGGCTCTGAATGGTGGCAAGAGGGGCACTGGTTTTGTTCTTCGAAGTCAAGGCCCAGTCGATGATCTCGTCAACACCATAGCGTTCAGCAAGCCACTCGTTGCATTTCTTGAAATGCTGGTTTCCATACTGCCGAGCAAACTAACCATCAGGGGTTTATCACCAAAAAATGAGGTATAGGCTACTCACGAATCCTCTTGATGCACTTAGCGGACTTGGGTGCACTGATTGCAGGACATAATGCTTTGCTCTATTGATGCCTGTCACGCGCTTTCCTGCAGGCGTGCCCCATGCAAGGAAGACAACCCCACGTGTCCGAACTCGGGCCACCAACTCTATGGCTTTTTGCGTGAACAATTCCCACCCCTTGTTTGAATGACTAGCAGCCTGATGTGCACGAACGGTCAAGCAGGTGTTGAGCATTAATACACCACGCTCGGCCCAGGGAGTGAGAAGGCCGCCCTTGTTTGCAGGTCTTTGAAAGGAGGGATAGTCATTACGGATTTCGGTGAAGATATTGACGAGTGAAGGCGGAGCGGGAGTTGGGGGGCGGACGGAGAATGCAAGGCCGTGGGCCTGATTATGATTATGGTAAGGATCTTGGCCGATTATGACTACCTTCACTTTATGGAGAGGCGTATGACGGGACCTGAGACAGGGTTAGCGACGTAACGCTGCAACTGATACCTATACAAGAGATTATAGGGCTGTACCAAGAGTAAATTTCATCTTCAGGAGGAAAGACTTTAGTTCCTGATTGCTTTTCTTTCTGGAGAAAGCGTTTCAGTGCCAGGAACTCCGGTTTCACCACTTCCTCCTTTAGCTGTGCCAGCCAGCTCTCGTCCAGGGTGTCAATCTCAAGTTGAAGGAGCTTCTTTTGTTCTGGAGTTAATGAAGCCACCCATTTTTGCTTATTGAAGCTAGAGGATGACGACGTGATTGGCGACTTTGGATCATTCGACTTTGTCTTGGGAACCCCAAAAAATGAAGTGATGCTTCCATTGGCTTTGGGTTTCTTCGAGTCGGCCGCCGGTGCCGTCAAATGGTTAGCATCACGTTTGGCGCCCACTCGACCAGCCATGTTGCCGACAAATTCGTGCAAGCTGTCGCGGGCGATCGTGAGAATGAATAACTCGAGCAGCAAGTCTGCCAAAGGAAGTAGGGTTCTGGGATGGGAATGAGGAACAATGAGAAGACGAGGACCAAATAACCAAGCTTGGAAGGGAAAGACGTGACGTCCAAGGCAAGGGAGAGAAGAACAGGAGGAAGAGGAGTGAGAAATGACGATATATACGACAGACTCACCTGCCTGACTGTATCTTTCCGAAAAGTTGAGGCCTGGGGATGGGGAGATGTGTAAGAATGGATACTGGCTGGCAACGCGTCGCTGCGCGACCACGCGTAAATTGGCGTCCCCTGTCGTAGTCTCTGGCAGATCTGGGGGTGGGAATAAGATTCTCCGCCATTCTCCGGCAGACTCAGTTTCACGCTTTCAATGCATTAATTAGGACTCAGTACTGGGTGTCTGTGGGACTCTGGATAGGTACACGGTACTCCGTACATAGTAGTATTAATCAATGTTGAATATCTAGCTTAGCCCGTTGGGCTACATTCCTCTTTGTCTGCTCTCCTGACGTACCTACCGAGGTATGTACAAATCCAACCACGAGTCAGTCCTAGTCAGTTGATTATAACAGCTAGCTTACTGCAGGTGGGGTGAAGGCTAAAAGCACCTCCTGGGTAATGCTGTACTACCATTGAAGCAGTCAAAGAAGCAATGGAACTCACTTGGCTCGCCGATACCCCTCAGTCGAGACGTCGGACTCGGGCTCTGCGAGCATGTGCTACTTGCCAACGAAGAAAGGTGTGTGTCTACTTCCTACATCACTTTTCTTATGGTGGATGGGGAGCTAATTTACCGTCTCATGGAAACCAAAAGAAACGCTGCCGCCATCTGGATATACCAATCAGTTCAAGCCAAAACCACATACAGACAGGTGCCAGGAGCCATGTGCCTCCACAGCAGCAGCAGGATACAGCGCTCACAGATAACCTGAACACAACCCCTTCCCAAACAGAACGGTTTGTCGGGGATCTCAACCCGGAAGCTGTCATCCGTGAGAAATTAGATTCTACTGGTGGCAACCACCTGCGAGATCGGATCGGACTCTGGATCAGCTCCCCAGCCATTCGGAGCCATAGAGAGCATGTGTCTGAACCCGACCCTGAGTTGATTGGACACGGTCCCAAAGATGTCCTTGAATTACAAACTGTCGCATCCATGCTGAGCCAGCAGTATGCATTTTGTATGAACGCCTGTGGCCATTTGCCTTTTTCCACCAGAAGTCATTTGCTCTCTATCTTTTTCAACAAGGTCAATCATGTCCTGCCCCTTGTCGATCAAACCTCATTCTCTCAAGCCCACTCTGACGGCACCGCGTCCGTGTTTCTGGAAAGAGCAATCTGCCTTGTTGCAGCCAAAGACAGAGCGGCTAGCCCCCACCTTCGCCTGATCGATGGTGGACCCTCCATCTCATCTCGTTCCTTTTGCTCTGAACTCTACCAGGGCCTGATTGTCGCCTTAAATGTCGGAGTGGAACCCGATAGACTTAGTCGTATCCGTATCTTGGCACTTATGTCCCTGCATTGCGAATGTTACGAAGGCGCAGAGTCGGCGTCTATGCACCTCTGTCAGGCCATTCATCAAGCCCAAATGGTTGGCTTGCATCTTGAGCGTCCCGGTCGGACGCCGGGGGATTCTCTGTCTTGCCTCTTTTGGTGCCTGTGGAGCTTGGACCGAATGCATGCCTGTATAGGCGGTCGCCCAGTACTTCTTGCAGCCTGCGACATCGGAATTGAGAAGCCTAATGTTCGAGAGATGTCGCCCAAATCCGCCTTTGATATTTGATTTGCTATCTCAGATCTACTATCGGCCGTCATCTCATTTTATAGACCGTCTGCGGACCATACTGTTGGATGGGAAGGTGAATTCCCTGCTTTTGAAGCCATCACGGGTGACAAACTTCGGGATGACCTGGACCTCGCTACACTAGGTAAGTTTCTCTTGCGTATAACCTATTCACTTTGTCCAGGATTGGAATGCCCTGAGTGCATCAAGAGATCTACTTCCCAGGATGGATCGCTAAGAAAGCTGAAACCCAGGCTTCCTTGAGCTGTACTATCATGCAGTTGCTATACTGTCATGCAGATACAGAGTATCCCATAGGCCAGATGAGTCCAGGCCTTCGTACATCCGCCAAGGACTTGCTGCCATTCGAATCCACTCCATTGCTGCTACCGAGTGTTCTCAGGAGTTGCCGCCTCTGCCCATTGTTCCATACGCGTTAACCCTTTCTATGGGTGTGTCATACCAACAGTTCCGCTCAAGCAAGCTCATCACGCAACTTAATCGAGCAAAAACTAGTCTAGAAGCTTGTTGTACTCTGCTCGAACGCCTGGGCGGCTACTGGTATTCTGCAGAAGCCATGGCGCGACTGGGGCGAAAGGCATTGCATCAAATCGACGAGGTTCAACTTGGGCATCACCAATATAGTCGAGCTTCCAGCCTATCGATGCCGGGCACTACAAGAATGCCCGCACCTCCAAATCCAAGACATCTTCCCACCCTACCAAGTTCGTATATCGATGCTGCCCAAGGCGCATCGAGTAACATACGCAGCAACGCGCCCTCTACCGCGCTAGTGCAAGAACTTCCGTCCCGCCCGTTATGTACGCAAGAAATTTGCCCCCCCGACCCTAACCAGGACAAGTTTACCAACATCGACATGTTGTTTGGAGATTTTCTCAATCTTTCCCTGCCCACCAATTTCTGGGATCCTGTTTTCTTCACCGAGCAACCCCCGGGGACGTGATAGAGGTTTTTCTCAGGGTCATCAGAATGGCAGGAAAACATTGAGGCGCGCGACCCTGGCTTCCGCGGTTCGTCCTGGGTACTATGTTCGGGGACCGGCATCTTGGGTAGGGCTTGAATGCCAGAAAGGCATGGGGGCTGGCTGGGAAGTCTCGCCGATCGTTTCTCACTGCCGGTACTGGCAGTGTTACCATTGGACCGAAGTTGGTTAGTACCTACCTAATCGCTTCGTATGCATAGTATTAAGCAACCAAACCCCTCACAATTCTCCCTCTCCGGTGCCTGGGGTAGATGAGCAAGGAAAGGCAGCCATGGAGAATGCCACGCAGTCGCATGGCATGACGAGGCGGCAGGCTACGGGGTACGAACGAGTCTCGTACACAGTACGTCGCGGCCAAGTGGAGTCGCCCGGCGTCAGATCGTCATCTCCCGGCGATTTTCATCAAACGTCAGCCGCCGGAGGAATGTCATTGGTGTCCGCATTCCGCATTATCAATGGATATCTATGGATTTCTATGGTAATTACCACCGTCGACGGATTTGGACCCGGGCCGTGCTGTGATTCCTGGGCCTCTCTTGGGGAGGCTATGAGCGCTGCTGGATTGACTCTTGCGCCTTGGAGCAATTTTAATTATCTGCCTCCACTCTAACCAACAATCCCCCTCCCCCCTTTCTACCCGTCCCTGCGATGCTACGTATCAATACCTATTCTATTATTCTATAAGCTGGGATTGACCCGCCCTCCTACTCCGCACAAAAATTATATATCGTTCTTCTCTTCTTTCATGCTCCTCCCTGCTGTGCCCCCAAAGCTTCCTCCAGTTACCTCGGTTTCATCGGGAGAGCAGACAGTCAGCCCTAAGATCTGCGGGTGGGTTGGGCTTGAATTTCCACCTCTCGCTCAATCGTTAACTTCGCCTATATCCACTATCTCGACTTCGCGGCGGCCTTTTCGGGCATGCCATATCTACCTCCAGCGTGTATTATAATCTGCCCTTGAAGCCGCTCGTTGCTACCGCATTCTCATTCATTGTCGAGACTTGCACCCTCCACCCCCACCCCCACCCCTCTCTCTCATTACGTCTGCACGTGCGCGTTTGTGTATACGGGTACGTGTTTCCATCGATTGACAGCTTCGTGTATATGGAGACATGCGACCTCTGTCGTATGTTTTTGCTACAATAGATACTGCTTTTACTTCTACCTTCTTATTCGATCTGAGAAACCCGTCCATTCACTACAAGATGCTGCTATGAGCAATCCTTTTCTCACGTCCGAATATCCCGATGAGGGTCCAGCCGCGCGCAGCTTGATCGTGAGGAGGTAGTTACATATAATGCTTCTTCTGTGCAAAGTTGACAATACCAAACAATCTTTCACTTACGAGTTGGATCCGAGAAAGACGGAGAGTGTGTCATTAACATCACCCTGTCTCTACACACATTTATGGCGGCCCTGGCTAAAGAGACAGAACGATTGGCAGTCTCTGCCAACGCCCGACCAGGGAAAGGATTCAAACTAGCCACGGAAGAGCGCCCTGGCCAATTCTCAAGACATCCGATTCCTCAGCTGCAAGGCCCTTTCGAGGAGTCGATCCAAGAATCTATTGAAACTGGAAAGAGCGATTGGGTAGCCGATCTTGATGCTCAATCCAGGCGCAAGAACCTACTCGAAACCCCCGAGTACGAGCGACTTTGTGGTCGGAAATGGCTCCAGAGAGCCGACGAAAGGCAAGAATTTGACCATGCTTTAGTCTGTTGAACTTCCTTAGCGAAATTGGGCACTAACCAACCGTAGGTATCATCCTTTGTGGAAACTTATCGCCCAGATGTCCTTTGGGGTCTACCTTCTTGTTGAAACGCTCGCCAAATCGGACGTAGAGGTCTCGAAAATCCTCCAGAGTCATGTGGATGAGATGGATGGATTTCTAGGTAGGACCTCGGAAGACTTTCATATTATCCAGATCGACGTGCGCACGCGGACTCAGTATCTCAGCCTACCTCTCAAAAATTTAATGATATTCGATGAGATGCTGGAGGAACGCAGTTTTCGTTCCTCTATGATCGAATATAATGATAGAATCGAGCACGCCATCGAACGATTCGCAACTGCCATTGAGGATTCTCTCAAAGACATACAGAAAGGCCGGGAAGCAATTGGTGCTTTATGGACGTACCTGCAACAGTCTGCAAAAAAGCACAATCCATTACCTGCCAAAATGCTCGCTGTCTACAACGCCATGCTGGCAAATGTGGAGGGCTGGAACATCGCATTTTCAAAGCTTCGCCGGAAAGGCCTCGCTCTTCAATCAGCCCTTCTTCAGCTTGGCTTAGCCATTATGGAAATGCAGCGACGCGTAGGAGTAGCAAGCCGGAAAGCCGTTGTTAGTCATAAGGAACTGCCAAACCCATGACCATGTACCAAAGCTGATAATTTACTAGGTGTCTTACATGCAGAGTTCTACAGGGACTTCCCGAGGAAGGTCACTGCGACAACGATTCATTGAGAAAGGCTCATTCGTTAGTACAACAGCTTCGTCTCCGGATAAACCACTTCCCCGTGCCCCAAACGGTCCGGCAACGGCGACCTTCTCTAAGCCGACTGAGCGTCATAGACTTACGCAGAAAAGTGTTCCGAATCTAAAAGCGGCCAGGGAGAAGGACAAGCGCAATGCGGACACAAAGCCACCGGGCCGAGCAATGTCTGTCAATGGCGCTGCCGACGGCCTCGACTCTGAAAACTTTGTCCTCAAGCTTCGCCGGCTCTCGAGAGCTAGGCTGAGAACTAAGGAATCGGCGAGCGAAGACCTTGACGCTGACTTGCCGGTAGCGCGCCCTTCCACAGCACCATCCAGAGCATCAAGAGCTCGAAGTATATCTCTAGAGCCACTGAAATCCCTGCATAAGAACAGAAAAGGAGAAGTTCAAAGAGCCCAGGCAACAGTGGTGGCGGCTCAAGCGGAATGGTCGACAGTGTCTCAAACTTCGGTCCAACATCAACTGCTGCAGTATTTCAAGTCTGATAGAGTGATAGATGCCTGGGAAGATGCGGCACAGAAAGAGAAAAAGGACAACCGGCAATCCTCCCAAGTCCAGAAGGATGGGCTTTGGAGTAAGTTTTGCGCCGAGTCATCATCCATCAATGCCGACGGCACCCTGCGTCTGAAAACAGACATGGTCGAATCCCAATCGAACAAGGACATGGCCTGGCTCCAGGAGGATGATAGTATGATGAATACGTATTCGTTAAAGCCCAAAAGGGACGTGGGTCCTCGAATCCACGTTCTTTCGGTCCAGTTCAGTCGGGGTCAGGACGGAACTGCAGCAGGAGATCCGGACAGTGAGACAGACCTCGGAGCCGCCCTCAAAGATGCCCGATCGGTCACAACTTACACAGCCCTTCCTTTCATGCCCGCTCCACTCGGGAACCGAGAAGGCCTCCATCATCAAACGGGCAGCGCAGGCGCATTCTACGACGCAATGTGAAGTAGAGCATCTGTCCTCTCATGTATACGCTTATATATTTTCATGTATACACGGTACTTATAGCTGGTTCGCGCGTTGGAAGCCTAAACGTAGCCTCTCGGCCATGGGTCCCATGCGCTTGTACCAGCAGGAAAAAGAAAAGGGAACATATGATTTCTCAAACCCCACTTCGGGATTAGATCGTATTAACATGCTTGCTGGCAGATAAATTGCTTATCTGCCGCTGTAGTCATGGATAGCACAGAGATGGTCAGGGGACATCGGCAGCGGGGAACCATTTTGAGAAGGCGATCGGGGGGAAGAAATGAAAAGAGGGGAAGGAGTAGAGAAAACGCCTACTTGCAGCGCTTTTCCACAATATTTGGGCCATGTTCATCGAACTCCTTCTTAGAGATCCACATCTGGTGGAAGGTCCCCAGACTGGCGAGAATACTTCCACCGATCCAGGAACCAAACTTCCGCTCCGCAGTGTTTCCCGGGGCCGATATCCGCACGCGCGGACCTGGAAACATCTGCATGAGCTCCTGGTTCAAACGGTCCGTGAAACCATAGAGTAAGCTCGAGGCACCCGTCACAACGACGTTCGCCAATAAGTGCGGGCGGATGTCGACGTCGACACCGTTCAGCGCGTTCTTTATGAGCTCCGGCACGGTTTGGGCCGGCGTCGGTGCGATAAACACCGATTCGGGGTCCGGAATCGCAGCTTTGGCGTCAAATAGGGATTCCACCACTCTATAGCGATCGACTCCGAAGACTTGGTTATAGCCATCGGGGAACTCGAAAGGCCGACCAGGATTGCTCTTTGCAAGTTCTTCGTTCGAGACACCGTTGGGGCCTGCGGCAGACAGTTTATTGGGGCCAGGCCAGACCTGAACGACACATTCCTTGAACTCGGACAGTGTCCGTTCTTCCAGGAGGGTTCTGTAGGATGCATCAGGCGCCCGTTCTGGAGAGAAGGTCTTGTATTTGGCTTGCGGGGGTTGGCCAGCGTCGACCGCCGTCTTCGACGAAATCAGATAATGAGGTGTGATCGATATCGGCTGCGGTGTGTTTGACTTGAAGAGTGCGCGAATCTGAGATGAGACATAATCGCCTCCGAGGGGAGAATGTTGCACTCCCCGCTTCAGTATCATGCCGTCGTGGACCGGGGTCACGGAGATATTAGAAGCGCCAATGTCAATCACCAAAGCGGATGCTTTGCCGGCCGCAAAGCTTCAACCCAAATAATCAAGCATGTTAGCGGGGTATGCAGGGACAACCGGCGCGTCATATTGGATTGTGGGCAACTTACGCTGCGAGAACTCCATTCCTGGCCAGATAGAAGGCCGGGGTTCCCCATTTTTCCATGGCAATCTCAATAGTCTTCTCGCGCGCTTTCGTAGGATTCCAGCCGGGCTCCGACATCAGCAATGGGCTATCGGCAAGCAGCTTCTCCTCGGATTCCACCCCTTCCATCTCTGTGGGCAACTCGCCTTCCGGTGCATCATTCAGCCCGTTATGTAGAGGGTTGCCAGGCTTTGGGCCCGTTAGGCGCGAAGTAAAGGCGTATTCCCACACTTTCTCGGCCATATCCCAGTCCTCCACGATGCCGTCCCGACCCATTGGGTTGTGGATCGACAGACCGGGTCGGGGCGTAACAAAGACATCGTCACCGAAAATCAAGTTTTCCTGTCCCTCCGAGGAATATTTGCCATAGTATGTTGGAATCAAGGATTTGGGTGTGTCCTCCCCTGCAAAACCAGCCCGTGTCGTCGAGAAGCCGGGATCGAGCACAATCGCCGAGACCTCATCTAGGCGTAGAGCTATCAGTACTGCGATTGAAAAGGCGCACGCAAAGAGGTATCTCAACTGCGTGAAAAGGAGGAATTGACATACCCCCACCATATTCAGCCGTTGAGGGTGCGACGGAGGGATTCATGTCGACGTAGGCGAGCACGACAAGGTTTTAGGATAGCTAAGAGTCCAATGCGGGGAAAAGAGGAGGGAGAAAGTCAACCACGACGAGGGAGTTGGGGGCAGTAGCTACTAGCCAAACAGGTTCGCGGGGTAGTTGGGAGGGGGGAAAGGCGAATGGAGCTGGTGATGATGGTGAAGGAGGATGGAAGGATGGAAGGATGGAGGGATGAATGAATGAATGAATAATCGCGCCGGCGGGAAGCACGCGCCGGCCGAGTCGAGCTACCGTCATCTATCTACTCCCGTACCTTGTTTCTACTGACGATCTGCAATTTTCCGCTTGATCTATTGCCGCATAAACCCCGACCCTCTCTCTGTACACTCACTTGTCTTTCCAGTCGCCAGGTACGATTTCGTGTTGGGGCTTATGGATCCGGTGATTGACCCAGCCTGCCTCTTTCGACCGGGGAAGAGGCGAAAGTTCCAGCGACGCCGGCCGGAGAGCACCGATGAGGAGCCCCAACTTACCACAGAAGGGGCTGCTCGTATCTCTGAGTCATCTACGCCTTCACCGTGGCAGGAATCTTCAGGTTTTATATCCCCGTCAGAGGTCCTTCGTTCGCGACGGCTTCACCGAGCTCGAAAGGGCGGCATCGAGTTCTCCGCTACCGCGCCGTCGTCGGCAGGTAATAGACAAGCTACCGTCTCAACTGTGGCGGCGGAGGATCTGGACAGTGAAAGAATGCGAGCAATGTGTGATCGGTTCACCGCGCATACTGGCCAGACGGTGGATGTCGACAAGCATATGTAAGATTCTCCGCCCATGTTTGTGTGCTTCCGGTGCGCTCTGTCTGCAATGGAGACTAACAAGATAAGGATGGCCTATATAGAGTCTGAAATGGCTAAGCGACACCGGCGCAATATGTCAGCCGAAGTTGCGACTGTCGATACACCCCAAAAGCCGGAACCGGACACCACTACTTTATCTTCCACCGACCTTCCACAACGCGAACCGGCCTCTTTAGGGAAGCTACACGAGATCGATCTGGGTCACGAGGCCAAATTACAGAACATTGCTCGTACAGAAGCGGCAACTAGAAGGCTTGCGGGGGATGATGACCAAATCCTCATCGCCGGTCAGGAGTCCAGCTCTAAGATGGACCCTGGAGGCGGGGATCATAGACCATGGCGCAACCAGAAACGGCGAACAAGCGAGGATATTGAACGAGATCGGCTGGTGGAGGAAGTTCTGCGGGAGAGTAAATGTGAGCCTTTCTTACGGTCCTTGGTCTTGTCCATGAATCATGGCCTTTTTCCTTGGCTAACATGTGTGCGGATCCAGTGGACGTCTACGAGGGACCCGAAGTCGAGGAAGGATATGACGCAGGAGGTGGAGATGGACAAGCGGCCGACGATAGGGTGGCAGAGCAATTCAGAAGAGACTTTCTCGATGCTATTCAATCACGACGTCGTGTTGCACGAACGAAGAACACGAAGGCGGCCAAGCCCGATGCTCCGCGAGGGCCGAAACTGGGAGGCAGCAGGAGTGCGAGAGCTGCGATGCGGGAGATGCAAGAGAGGTCTGGCCGGAAATGAGCATTTGGGCGTGGTGGTGTTTATGTAAGGACTTCGGGGGTGCGACTTGGGTGAAAGGAGCGACTGTTAAGTATTTCCTGATGAAATAAGTCTGGAAAGTCGGTTTTAATGAATGATGGGAGTGGCAGGAAAAGAAAGATGACTCGAGAATGACTGGTATTCTCGGTCGGGGCGCTTTGGATATCTATTAAGGTAGTGTACGCGGCAGTAGTGGAGAATACCAGAATTTCTCACCTCTTCCCCGTTCTTTTTCCCTCTCCCTTTCCGTCATCTACATTCACTTTTTGTAATTCCCTGTGTAAATCATGGCCACGCTGAAAGCTGCCCAGTGGGCTGCATCTCTATCATATTCCTCGATCCCCCCCGAGGCCACGCAAGCGGCCATCCGGAGCTTTTACAACTGGGTCGGCTGCACTCTCGGGGGCAGCAATCACCCGGCTGCTTGCATTGCCCGGAACTCGTTGTCCCGTTTCTTCGGGGCTCCGACTTCGACCTTGCTAGGGACTAATGGAGCCCAGGCTGATGCGCAGCATGCTGCGTTGATCAACGGGATCGCGTCGCACGTCCATGACTACGATGACACGCACCTGGACACCATCATACATCCAACCGGGCCCGTCGCAGCAGCCCTTCTAAGCCTTGCGCAGTCGCTGGATCGATCCGTATCTGGCCGAGAATTCCTCACGGCTCTCGCTGCCGGGATAGAGCTGGAGTGCAGGACGGGACTGGCTGTCTGGCCGAGCCATTATGATGTGGGCTGGTATGATTGTCCTTCTTCTCGCGCCGGGACGCCTAGCGAGGATCGGTATAAGTAACTTACTTCACCCTCAGGCATATAACTAGTACGACAGGGTCCATTGGGGCCGCGGTGGCGGTGTCTCGCCTCCTAGGCCTGACCCCGGAGAAGACGGCCCATGCAATCGGTATTGCCGCTACCCAAGTGACCGGTCTTCGTGAGATGTTTGGCTCGCACACCAAGTCCTTTCATCCGGGACGCGCAGCCCAGAACGGTCTCCTAGCGGCTGTCCTTGCTGCAGATGGCTATACCAGTTCTCTGCAGGCTCTGGAGGCCAAGCGGGGCTGGGTGAAGGTCGTCAGTAATGACGACAAACTAACGCACGAAATTGTTAGATTGGAATCCGGAGGGAAATGGGAACTGGCGAAGAATTCCTTCAAGCCTTTCCCCTGTGGTATTGTGATCCACCCAGTCATCGATGGCTGTATTTGGTTACACGGCGAGCTGCAACGGAAGGGCCTACGACTACAAGATATCAAGACTATCCACGTTACAGTACACCCGCTGGTCTTGGAGCTAACCGGGAAAGCAAGGCCCAGAGATGGACTGGAAGCCAAGTTCAGCGTTTATCACGGCGGTGCAATTGGATTGATTTACGGAAAGGCAACACCGGCACAATATGAAGACGCCATCGTCACCAATCCGGAAACGATAGAGGTGCGAGACAAGATCATCGCAACAGCGGTGGAGAATCTCCGGGCCGATGAATGTCAGATCCTGGTTGAGTTCGAAACCCCAGCGGTCAGGATTGAGAGGCATGTGCACCATGCAGTTGGCAGTCTCGACTCGCCCATGACGGACAGCCAGCTTATGGAAAAGTTCATTGACCAATGTGGTCCAGTCATTGGGCCAGAACAGGCAAAGAAAATCAGCGACTGGTGTTGGAGCTTGGAAACAAAGAATGATATCCGACAGATCGGCAAGCTCCTATAGGGCCACGCATGGAGATGGCGGGGAATGATCCTCCGTTAGGCCCAACAGAAGTGCGGAGAAATGACAGTTCCCTTCTTATAGTAATAACGATATAACAATAAGCCATGTAGACAGGCTGGTTTATTTGGTACCGCCGTGCGGGGAACGATGGATGCCACTCTCAATAGGGGTGATTTGATCCCGGGAAGAAAAGCGCGGTCGACGGAACTGCGATCTGAATCTAGATGATCAGCAAGCAAGAAGCCACAAGGAAGCGCGCAGAAAGCGAACTTGGAAACCTTGACATGAAAACAGCCTTATCAGAAATGGAAGATCTGAAGGACACCGGTCCCGGAAACGCTCAGGAGCTCGTCCACCCTGGTCCACCCTTCACCAGAGAAGATGAAATCAACGTATACCGCAAACTGGATTGGAACCTGATGCCCCTAGTTTTTGTTCTCTATAGCCTCTCAGTTCTTGATCGATCGAATTTTGGAAATTCCAAGATCGCAGGCATGGAAGACGATATTGATTGAGCGGGAGGCTACCCCTTCATCGTGTGTGGAGCTCTGGTAGCTGCTGTCGGGTACAATGTCCTAGCTACGCAAACCACTGTGGCAGCCAGGTACTTTGGACTGTTCCTCGCGACCCAGGTCTTTGTGTCTATAGCTCTAATTCTCACTTGGGTCGGTAACACGCATGCCACGGACTCCAAACGCGCAGGTGCCTTCGCCATCTTAGCCACCGGTGGACAATGTGGACCGATTCTAGGGACAAACATCTTCCCTTACAGCGACAAACCTTATTATCGCAAAGGGATGTGGATTTCATGCTGTGCATGCCTGGCAGTGGTCGTCATGGGATGCTGTCAGATGTTTCTGCTATGGCGGGCGAACCAGCGTCTGGACGGGGAGTCGCAGCGGAATGGGGGCGATTTGAATGTGAACCAGTCAGAGATTAGGGACGGAACCGACAAAAAGGTCCGGTATGTCTTATGAACGACAAAATGTCCATTTCTTGGGTTGGAAAATACAGTGACGCTTACGGAAGACGTGAAGGGAGGTTTACGGTCAACATGAAACTGATGTGCGTACCTTGGAGTGTAACCCGAGAGCGCGTGTACTTACGTGCTCTGCTGGGCTTGCAGATGTATCTGGACTGTTTCTAGAACCATGGTTCAGCACTAGGCTGCAGTCCGGGTATATACTGTTCGTTAGAGATCAAGGACGGCCATGGACCGGTCTGGAAGGGCCTTGGGCGGGAAGACGGCATATGTATCATATTCTGTAAACCCACTGAACTGTGGAGTCGGGGACAAACGCCCACAGCCTTGGAGGACAGGTAATACTAGATATTTCCGAGGTCGACGAGGTCTGCCATACCTTCAGCCTGTCAAACCAGTCATCGCGACTTGGCGTACCTATGGGAGAAGACGACTCGGACCATAAGCACGAGGAGCCGAGTCCATGTGATAAGTATGCCAGGGCCATTCCGGCATACCAATTCCGCCCCACTTGCGCCTCGAGGAATCAGACGTCGGCAAACTACCTAGGTACGTCTGGATGTTTGAGACTACTAGTAGGTAAAGCCTGGGCGAAGTGAGGTGAGAGACAACAATCGTCTCAGAAAAGGGGCAGATGGGAATCGACTGAGTGATGGATTGATAGTTGAAATAACGCCATGTACCTACCGATCGATAGCAAGACTGACCTGATGGGTGAGACGGGATGGAAGGAGGTAGGTAACTCGATGGTTTATTCAATCCATTCAGTCTTCAGATTCTAGAATCCCGCTGGGAAGCTTAGGTAGACATCCCAGGTAGTACGTCTGGAGTAGAATGAGGTAATCAGAACCAGGCAGTCCTTGCAATTTTACTTTGGAGTGGAAAATGATGATAACTATTTGAAGGGACGGGAGGTGAAGTCAACCGTCGACTACCTATCGTTCGGCCCACTGCGGAGTACAGTGTAGTCCTACATAGATAGTAGTCTACATGTGAGTTGTGAAGTCTTCTAGGGCAGCCGCTAGTATCATAGAAACTAGAAAGCTTAAAAAGTAAGAGCGCGATGTCATGTACCTATCGGTAGTCTGTAGCTGAGGTAGTTACGTATCCTTTTTCGAGGTTTCACAGAGACTTCCGCATGGCGCGTGTCGGTAGTAGATAGATAGTGCAAAGCTTCCTCTCTGATGGTGCCTGGCGGTGGCACCAAAGCGATCGGGCCCAGAAATAAAACAAACTAGCTCCTCTAGCGGGAGTCTACACAGTAGATTGGCCCCAACCACGCGCCGGTGACCAACCCTGGGCCGTTCCTGCGGCGGGGCCCAGGCTCACTGCCAATCAGAGGCCCCGAGGGGGCCAATTTCGAGACACTCAGGGGCAACTGAGGTGAGAGTCTCGAACCACTCGTGTGGGCGATTATAATTAGACTCGGCCTCTAGCCATTAGCCAACAATAATAATACGGACGGAACCTGGTACCTGACAGTAATCTGTAAGGATGTCAGTACTTAGTATCTATCTACTAGTACTAGTAGGTACCGTCAGATACCCGTTCCCCAGAGATGTGTCAGTGATCCATCTTTCTCGCTCCCTCCCTCTCTCTCTCTCACACACACACCTACACATACACACACCACACCCCTCCCCCCCTTTGACCACGGAGTCTGGTTGTCTCCATCAACATTCATTTTGTATGACTCTCTCTCTCGTCCATCTTTATCGCACATTGGTCTGAAACCAGTTTGCCATCATCAATCCTTCTTTCGCGGGCTCTCGTTTCTTCCACCACTGCTTAGCCGCGCTCGCTCCTCAACCCCCCCTTTTTTCCCGGTCTTTAGAGAGTCAACCGACAATCTCCCTTTCCTACCGGCAATTGATTGCCAGACTGTCCTTCCTTCCTTCAATACTTTCTGCTTTCCCCATGAAACGGGCTCTCTTGCTCTCACTCTCTTGAGATCTGCGACGGAACGTGAGTAACAGGAGACAGTGAGAGGGTGTGGGTGCGGTCTTCACACATTCTCTCAAGAGCATCCCTTCGGTGTGCTTGGAAATATTGTTCTTTCACGCTCCCTCAATACTCTGTTTGCAGCTACAGTCTGATATACTTTCTTTAAGCGTTTCTGTTTCACACAGGTTGATCCTGTCGTTTCTCCCGATTGAATCAAGTAAGCCTAGTTGCTGCTAGATTTTAACCAGGGTCTTTTTTTTTTTCGCACAAATATATCCTCATAATTGTTGCCGAGTTCATCGAGCCCCGCACCAGCCACTTATTCGAAAAGGAAGGGGCTTTATCTGCATGATCTCTGTGAAGATTTTCTTGATGCTGGCACCTTGAATTCCACCATGGTCAACATGCGAGCTATTCCTTCTCTGCCGACACTGATCGCGCTCGGCCTTTTCGCCCCTCGAGTTCTTGCAGCCGATACCCTCAGCACCCAAGGTCTGACGACTTGCCTGTCAGATTCCGCTATCCAGGTCGATAAATTAGATGTCACTTACACCCGTTCCACCAGAGAAATCGTGTTCGATGTTGCTGGCACCAACGCGAAGGAACAGAACGTCACTGCGGCATTGACCATCTATGCCTACGGCAGCCAAATATACTCCGAATCATTCGACCCATGTAGCAGCGAATACTATGTGGAGCAACTCTGTCCTGTTGCTGCCGGTAGTTTCTCGGCGATAGGAACGCAAACGTTACCCGAGTCATTCGCCAGCGAGGTTCCCTCTATCGCTTTTGCTATCCCCGACCTGGATGGGCAAGTGAAACTTCAATTAAAATCAAAGACGGATAACGATGAGCTAGCATGCATCCAGTCCGACCTGACCAATGGCAATACCATGCAAATTGCGGGTGTCTCATATGCTGCCGCTGGCGTGGCAGGAGCGGCATTGGCCGTGAGCGGACTCTCCGCTCTAGGTGCTGTTGGCCACCCTGGAGCAGCTGGTTCATCCAGTCCCAACTTCGGTGATGTCGTGACTTGGTTTCACACCATGGCGACCAATGGAATGCTTAGCGTCAGCTACCCGACCGTGTACCGCAGTTTTTCGAAGAACTTTGCCTTCAGCACGGGCTTGATTTCATGGGGCAAGATGCAGGAGGCTATCGATAACTTCCGACAATCCACCGGCGGGAACCTCACCGACAACAACTACCAGTACCTTCTCAATGCTACTCTCGTGTATTCTGGGGACTCATCATCAAATTTTAGCTCGAATTCTAAGCGGGGACTGAATTTGGTTGTCGGCGCTGTCAATGTAGCCGCGCGCGAGGTTTCGACTTCATACAGCAATAACACAACTTCGACCAATAGCACCACCGCCAGTGACGACAGCGATAGTTTCGAACACTTTGTTTCAGGCATTGAGGCCTATGTGGAACAGCTTACTGTCCCCCAAGCAAATACTTTCATGACCGTCCTGCTAATATTTGCTATCCTTATTGCTGCCATCACTGTGGGGATCTTGCTCCTCAAGGTCATCCTTGAAGTGTGGGCTCTCTACGGCTCTTTCCCCCAAAAACTCACGAACTTTCGCAAAGACTACTGGGGTTTGTTGGGCCGGACAATAACTAACTTGATTCTCCTTCTCTACGGAGTTTGGGTAATCTGGTGTGTCTACCAGCTCAGCGGCGGGGACTCATGGGCTGCAAAACTTTTGGCCGCTGTCGCGCTCACTGTTTTCACTGGTGTCTTGCTGTTCTTCGGTCTCCGGATCGCATTTCTGGCCCGGAAGTACAAGCAGTCCGAAGGTGACGCTTCCCATTTGTACGACGACCACGAAACCTGGCGCAAGTACAGTCTTTTCTATGACAACTATAAAAAGGATTACTGGTGGGCCTTCGTCCCCGCCATTGTGTACATGTTTGCGAAGGGATGTGTAATCGCCGCTGCCGATGGTCATGGGCTTGTCCAAAGCGCTGGTCAACTAATCGTGGAGGCTCTCATGCTTACGCTTCTGCTGTGGAATCGCCCTTACGTCGCCAAGTCAAGCCAGTGGATCAACATTACAGTCCAAGTAGTGCGTGTTTTGTCCATTGCTTGTGTCTTGATCTTCGTCGACGAACTCGGACTCTCGGAGACCACTAAAACCGTCACCGGCATTGTCCTTATCGCTATCCAGTCGGGGCTCAGTGGTGTCTTGGCAATCCTTATCGCCACCAACGCTATTATTCTTTGCATTCGTGAGAACCCTCATGCAAAGCGGAAGAGGGAAGCTAGTAAGTGCTATGGACGTTACATTCCACCAACGGCCCGGTTGCTGACATCTCTGTTTCTAGACAAAATGAATCGTGATATTGACGATTTGACACCTCTCGACGCACGCGAGTCTCTTCTTATGGAGCATCCCCCTCGCAAAGAGTACTCGGAAATGAGCAACTTCAATTTCACCGGCCCTTATGAGCCCTACCGCGATCAACACGATTCGAAGTCGCGACAAAGCACAGGTAGCACGGAACGCTTGGTTGATCCAGGATACCCTTTAGATGATCGACATGGTCGAAGTATAAGCCGAGAGAGCCGGCGAAGCCATGAGAGCCATGGCAGCCACGACTCCCCTGAAGGGCGCCATGCCACGACCCCCGGGTATGGGTTCGCTTATTGAAGCCTTCGCGCTGGATGGGACTGACGACGTACCAAATTTTTCTTGAATTGCATTTCATCTTCCTTTTGGACATATTTTTGTCAGGCAAATTTGACGACTTTAGCGCACTTGATTTGATTGAGGGACGTTGTTGGCATTTGTTCCCCCCCCCTGTTTCGCTCTCCTTTTCAAATGTGACTCTTACTTTCTTTTACTCCTGTCACTATTTGACTCCCATCATCCCATTACCAGTCACCTATATAGTTGTTCCACTCGTAAAACGCTGCAGATTTCGACTCCCCTCACTGGCCGGGGCGGGGTCAAGATCATATTAGAAGACCAGTGGATTGTATACTCTGCCCTGAGAGAAACATGAGTTGCGTTGTTATAGTTTGTGAAAATCCTTGCTAGAGGGGAGGGGAAGCACAACCCCTTGTTCCATGATAAAGAAGGAAGCCGCAACTACGATACAAGGATTGTCATGTCATCTGACCATTCATTTTCATTACATTACATTCATTATTGACTACACGAGGCCCAGACGTTACTCTATATAGAGCGTAAGGCAGAATGGGGGAGATGATTCCAGACCGAGAATCATGTAAGCAGTGCTGATGGTAACACCAATTTGTATTATATGCAACATGAACTCTTGTTTTTTAGTTCGACTTGTTACCTTCTTCCAGGGAGATTACAGACTCCAGCCACCCGAGGAAACGAATGAGAGCATCACTCGAACAGTACGTTAGACATCATCATTGCTGGCAAGACGTCACCTCGCCCCCCAGGGTTGCAGTGGCCAAATCATGAGGTAAGTAGTTCAGGGTGTATGAAGTGAACTGCAACAGGGAGACAGATAACTTGGACGGAAAGAAAACCAAAACTATGGAAGGAATAAGAGAAAGGACAAAAGGACGACAGCAAGATACACCGGTACACACACAGGAAATCAGCCTATCCCCGGGCATAGGGATGGAAGCCCCGATGTCCTCCCCTTCCGCCTCCACGATAGTTGGCGCCGGGCTTGCCAGCGTTCTTAGGCCCGGTTGGAGCGTTCGCTGGGGCAGCACTTTGAGGTTGTGGTGTAGGTCCTGAACGAAAGTCAGCTGGAGGGCAAAGTTTACAAGAGAAAGACACTGAGGGGTTCAAATTACATACCACGTCCCATGCTCCCAGCACGGTTCATGGCCTGGGGTCCCGTAGGGATGTTAGGCTGAGGTACTTCATCATACATGCCTTCCCATGATGTTGGTCCGCCCTGATGATATGGGGAAAAGGCCCGGGTTTCCATGGCTCGGCGCACCTGTTGCTGCTCATACTTTTGCTGCTCAAAGGCGATCTGTTCTTGGGCGTTGTAGCCAGGTCTAGCACCACCTGCCGCTGCTCCTCCCATGGAATTCCCCATTTGGGCCGGCATGCCTCCAACATTATTACCCTGTCCTTGAGTCTGCATCTGTTGCATCTGTTGCATCTGCTGCATCATAGCGGGGTTCATCATGTTCGGCATTGCCTGGGGAGTTGCACTCTGTGAAGGGGGGCTGAGACTCCTTTGGGGTTGGTTGTTACCCATTTGCATCTGTTGCATCTGCTTCATTTGCATTTGCTGCATCATGGCAGGGCTCATTCCACCCATCCCCATGCCGCCCATCCCTTGACCTTGAGCGGCGGCGACAGCCATTTGCTGTTGCATCAAGGCAAAATATTGCTGCATCCTTTGCCAATACTGTGCCATCATTTGTGGTGTCAGACCACCAGCCATGTTAGCTTGCCCTTGAGCACCCGCCTGCTGTTGGGATCCATCGCTGCCCATCTGACCACCTTCTCGGAAAGCGTCCCTGCCCCGGCGGTACCTGCGGTCTTCTTCATCACGCAGATTGCCTCTTGGCTGGGCTTTCTTGACCTCAATGGGCTTGCCGAGGATCTCCAGGGGGCGCGAGAGAGCAGCCTCTACAGCGGCTTCGCTATCGAAAGTCACGAATCCAAAACCACGGGGGCGACCGGTATCCTTGTCAATCATCAGGGTAGCATCAATCACGCGACCAAATTGAGTGAAGAAGTCTTTGAAATCATGTTCATTTGCCTCTTGACTGACACCACCAACGAAGATTTTGCTGGTCTTCTCCTGCTCGTCACGTGGGATCGCACGCTTGGGGTCGATCTTGCAAAATGCCGTCAGCGTATGCTTTGCTAGTGGTCTGGATTAATGGGGACAAGCATCAAGAGGCTTCTTACAATTTTCCCGTCTAGATAGTGCTCTTTGACCATCACCGTGTTCACAGTTTTAGGATCTCGGAAAGTCAAGAACCCGAACCCTCTGGAGCGTCCCGTAGCACTGTCTCGCATTACAGTACATTCCTGCACCTCCCCAAACTGAGAGAAGTAGTCCTTCAAAGATTCTAGTCCATTTGGTTAGACAAGCCCTGCTTGATGTGGACAGGCCTGCGGTAACGCCCGGGATATACATACGATCCGTGGTTTCCCAGTTCAATCCCCCGATGAACATTTTCCTATCCCACAATTCAATCAGTAAAGGAGGCCAGCTCGCGAGGGGCGAAGAATAGCAGCAGACAAAACGAGAGACCGCAAAGAACAAAGAGAAACAAAATTAACACCAAAAGAGGGGAAGGTGGAGATGAACGAGATAGACAGGTTCTAAATCTTCGCGGCTGGGAGCTGAGCGCCGATGGTCCATGATTTTGTTGAGACAGGCATTTGGTTTTGGTTGCTATTTGCGCGTGGTTTTAAGTTGAACCTGTAACGCGGGTCTCCTGGACATAAAGGTATCTATTTCCCTTGCTCTGATTCAGCAGTGGCTGTGGCGCGAAAAGTATGGTTGCCCTTTGAGCATGGCTGATCGTCGAAAGATCGTGGTGGCCAGTCATTCAGCGGACTCCAGGTCTCTCCCAAGGGGCCGATTTCTGTGCCATGTATACATCGACAGGGACGGCCAATGGGCGGCTTCTTGGTCATGGGGGCAGACATATCTCTAGTCAGACAACCACTGGTTTACAGGGCGACCCAGTGGAAATAAAGGCCAGGCGAGATATATTCCACGACCGAAGGTTTGCGCGTGGTGACATAAGACAACGAGTTGGAGCATGCCCGGCGGATTAAGTCAACTTTCTTTTGTTCTCTTCTTGTTTCCCTGGACCAAGGATCCTTTGCCTGTCTGTCTAATCATGTCCGAAGCTAGGTAATCTGATCGACATTGCCCAACCAGACAGCCAAGGCTGTTACTCCTTGCTGTGCTCTATCAAGCTATATCGACAAGAAGCTATATAGTATCGGCTGTACTATAGTCGCTTGCGACAAGGGTTCGCAGTGTCAGGAATCCGGAATATGTCTCACCGCAAAATTCATACCGGAGGTGGATTGCTGACATGTAAACCATTCGAGCATTGTACGGCTGAGGTGGATTTGCCTTCGCCCGACTTCTCTTGACATTCAAGCCCAAGAAAGAACCTGAAAGCTGTATGTTCAAGGTTGTCCGAGAATTCGTCCATCTAGTAACAACGATGACCCAACCGGAGAAGACCTCGACTTAGATAATAGAACCTTATCCTTCTGCCCATGACGCCAAGCCCGTATATCTCAATGGAGCCCATCCCATGAACCATCAGTCCAGCTGCAGAAGACGTCGCTGCGCAGCTCCCAGCACCAACTCGCTAGTTACGTTCACAGTGCACGGCAATGGGACCGCGAGCGGACATCACCAACCCAACCTGAACCACCGCCCCATCGGTTTCGAAGAAACACCCGGAGGATCGAGAGAACCACATAATATTGTGAAACGGTGTCGGTTTGGATTGCGCATAGACACTCATTCGTCCAGCCGCAATCGAATACAGAGAATGAAAATGCATAATGTCCTCAATGGAAGTAGCACTTACCCATCTTCTTTTATACCAGTCCCCTGAGGCTCAGACTCACTACCAGGCATTACAGCATGGTGTGCACGTCCGGTACCTACATTGTCTGCACCGTTCTGGTGAAATCCTTGATGTGAGTATTGGTATGCAGCACCCGTGTCCATCTCGATCGGTCCAGTTTCAACAGATTGAATAGGAATCTGAGCAGGGTGGACAGGCGCATTTGGGACCACAGAATCGGGAAATTTTGGAGCTTCAGCACTGGATAGAGTATGGGTTGTATTTTCGTCGGCATCATACCTAGGTGAAACGCATGAAGTTTAGAAGTTGCCTAGTCAATTCTGGTAAACAAGAGCATCCTACAGATCCGCGAAAAGGTCTTCCTCAACATCCTCGGGTTCAGCCATGGCGATCCGATGACCAGAAAGGTAGAAAAGAGAAGCAAGAGGCTGTGCTGTGAGCGGAGGAAATGATTATAATCACAGTGACCAACTCCAAGAGGAGGTAAATCAGGTCAGTATCAACCAACTGATGGCGAGGCTCTAGCACCAGGGTATTACCTCCGGTCAAAATGGTCAGAGGAAATGAAAGAAGGTAAAATGGTAGAACGGAAGCAACCGGGGTAAGAGTGTAGTGCGCGAGAGAGAAAGGAAAAAGAGACTGAAAACAGGATGAAGGGAGAAGGAGAGAAGGAGGAGGAGGAGGAGGAGGAGGAGGAGGAGGAGGAGGAGGAAAGCAGCTGCACGGCGGAAGTTGAGGCGAGAACAACTGGGAGTGAGACTGCAAGTGACTTGACAGGCTGACTGGCCATGTCCGAAAGAATACGGTATCATATATGAAACCTGTCGGTACGGTACGGTACCCTACACTTGCTGACTGTAAGGAGACCTGCAAGTAGAAGATCATAGGAAGTGAACAGTAAGGCATGCATCTAGCTGTATAAGCATCCTGGAATCATCTGAGATATATATGTTTCTACCTAGATAGGTAGGGCTGATCTGGCTTAGAAGTAGGGACTGATGCCTACGGAGCACCTACGGAGTACATATCGCCTGTCTCCCAAGGTATGGTACATTCTGGTAAGTACCAATAGTAGGTGGGTAGGTATCATATGTAAGGGCCAGGTACTTACTACTACTCTCCATACCGCCGCTAGATAGGACTAGTCGTACGGAGTAGTCCATACACATTACCTTATCGAGAGATACCATGGCATGACAAGCCACCACTCTCAACTCCATTATTCTGCATTCTCCCCGCTCCAAAAGACTGATTCAATAAGAGGTTCGCCTCTATTCAAGTAGGGTACAAACAGGCCCTTGAGACTATTCACACGTGGTCGTTGTTGGGAACTACCGATCAAGTAGCTCCAGACGGAGCACCGAACCCACGTGCCACTTCTTCTCCTCCCCGCACTCGGGCTTCTGCTCTCTCCATGCTATTCGATCCGATGACCTGTTCGATTGATCCTATCGTTGCCTCCGCATTACCTTGACGCAATGGCTGCGAGGAAGAGCCAACAGGTGAGTTCTGACCCCAGTTTCCTCAAGCCTATATATTGTTCATTCGTAGGCAATCGACAGCTAATTAAATCTCTTGCCGACACCCTCAAGGAGATGGTCCAGGTTGGTTCGTACCTCTTCTTCCACCCAGTGATTTTGGGATCCAGATCCAGTGGCTGATATAGCTCCCCCACATCCCATTGACAGACCGTGCTGAGTATGTTTTGTCCTCAATGCGTTGATTTCTATTCGTGAACCCTTCAAGGCTCTTAACATCCTCTTGTCTCGAACTCCTCGCGCTAATTCCCCTGGAAGGCGGGTGAATTCGCCGTTTTGGAAGGGTAGATCGGTATCCCATAATCAAGTGGCTTCTGCACAACATGACCAAAATACGGTTGTTGGTGCCTCATACTCTCACGCTAACATCATGAAGTTAGTATATCCAGCACTTATCGGGTACTTTTTGAAATCGAGCTGGGTTGATCTAATTGACTGATCTGTGTGTACTTCCAATAGAGGGATCTCGCAGCAGCATGCGCGCCCGCGAACCCCACCTCGGTCATCGTCTACCAATACCCAACGCACATCTTTATCACCCCATCGATCAAGTGGATGGTCCACGTCCCCCCATACTTCATATTCCGATATCATGAACCGCGGGATTGAATCATGGGGTCGTGATCGGTTGGGAGAAGACGACGAGGATGAAGAGGAAGAGGAAGAGGACATTGTCTATGATGATGATGAGGACGAATTTGGACTCCCTAGTATTACCAGCATGCGGAAAAAACAGTCACAGAGTGTTGGCACTTCTCAGCCCAAGCCTGTTGACCCGGGTGGAGGGTTTGCTAGCAATGCCTCAACCCTCGGTGTTGGCCTGGGAAACAATCGGCAACGCGCAAATAGCTCGGATATTGCTGAAGAACGAGGTGTTCCTATGTACCCGACGGCTGGAACTGGAGAGGGCAAGATACTGCGACCTCAGTATAAAGAAATTTTGAAAGGTATGGATTACGCCTTCCAACGTTCGAAGATGCTGACCTCTTCCTTCGAGACCCTGCCAATGCCTTGAATCTCATAAACCACGCACCGCCTCCTAAAAATTCATCTCCCAAGGAGATGGACATATATTCCAGTCGCATCTCGCGAATCAACAAATTCAAACGTCTTCTACAAACAAGCACCGTTCCTCTGCTTGAACTGAGAAATCTTGCCTGGTCAGGGGTCCCTGATGAAGTTCGAGCAATGACCTGGCAATTGCTCCTCGGTTATCTCCCTACAAACAGTGAAAGGCGTATTCCAACGCTTGAAAGAAAGCGCAAGGAATATTTGGACGGGGTTCGACAAGCCTTTGAGCGTGGGAGTGCCACCAGTTCTGGAAACGCACCTTCGTCTGGCGCTGGACGCAGCAGAGGCCTGGACGAGGCGGTATGGCATCAGATCAGCATTGATGTCCCCCGGACTAGCCCTCATATTCAGCTCTACAGTTATGAGGCTACCCAGCGGTCCCTAGAGAAGATTCTTTATGTCTGGGCTATTCGGCATCCTGCCAGCGGATACGTGCAAGGTATCAATGACCTTGTAACACCCTTCTGGCAGGTATTCCTGGGCACTTACGTCACTGACCTCAATGTTGAGAGAGGTATGGATCCTGGCCAACTACCCAGGAGCGTGCTGGATGCTGTGGAAGCGGATACATTCTGGTGCCTCACCAAGTTACTTGACGGTATCCAAGACAATTATATCTATGCTCAACCGGGGATTCACAGACAAGTTAGGGCCCTACGCGAGTTGACAATGCGTATTGATTCTACGCTTGCTAAGCATCTGGAGCAAGAGGGAGTGGAGTTCATGCAGTTCAGTTTTCGATGGATGAACTGCCTCCTCATGCGGGAAATGAGTGTACAGAACACCATACGGATGTGGGACACATATATGGTAAGGAAAATCACACTTCTGTCCTGGCACTAGATAAGGGTATACTGATCAGTTACCAGGCAGAGGAGCAGGGTTTCTCGCGATTCCACTTGTATGTCTGTGCGGCCTTTCTCGTGAAATGGTCGGACCAGTTGGTCAAGATGGACTTCCAGGTGGGTATATTCCTGACTAGTTCTGGACACCGTATGGTATATGCTAAATGACAATAGGAGGTAATGATGTTTCTGCAAGCTCTTCCCACGAAGGATTGGACGGATAAGGATGTCGAACTTTTGCTAAGCGAAGCATTCATCTGGCAAAGTCTATTCCAGGACTCTCGGGCTCATCTCCGTCCGGCTGGAGACCGATCCCCAGAGAATGACCTGCAGTGACGACAGTCATGATTCATTAATAATAGCACCTGTTTCATTAGTATATGGCGTTCTAAACGGGAGGCATAGTCGGTCTTGAACCCCATGCTGCCAGCCTCAGCTGAAATGGAAGCCCTTCTGGTTGAAGGCCCACAATAACTTCAGGAAGTCGTTCTCATCACACATCCTTGCGCGTTTATCTGCGAGACCTGTATCATCCTCCAACACTTGCCGTACTTTCTCCCGGACGAGCTCTGCTACCTTTCCTCTCTTCTTACGACTGGGCCGACTCTTGAGAGCTTCTTGGATACGAGCGCTCGTCTGTTCCTTGAAAAAGTCGGGCACGTCATCATCATCATCCACCTCCATGCCCTCATCGGGCTCATCATCGCCCTCGTCTTCTTCATCAGCCTGTGCGGTGCCAATGTCCATTGCGTCAGGTTCGGTGTCATCTGCGGGGCCATCTTCAACTGGAACATCGTTCTGCGCACACCATGTTCGATAGTTGGCTTCTAACATGTCCATCACGGTAGACTTGCCAAGGAAACTCGACCGAATGGTTTTGTTCTTCCGGACAAACACGATTCGCAGGAGTCCATCCCACTCATCGTAGTTGATTTGTGGCCTTGGATTCTTGGGTACTAGACGAACAACGCTGGACTCGACCAGTGGAGGTGGCTTGAAATTGTTCTTTCCCACCTTCATGATGTGATCGATTTTGGCCCACATCTGGGCATTGACGGAGAGTCTGCTATAGAGTTTATCGCCGGGTTTCGCGAAGAGTCTCAGAGCAAACTCTCGCTGAAACATGAGGATACACACTCGGGGCGCTGGCGAGGTCGCAAGAAGTTTAAATGTGAGAGGTGAAGAAATCTAGCAGGGGGCGCATTAGGTTTCTCTCCGCCGCGAAGATATAGATAGATATAGAGCGTACCTGGTACGGAGTGTTGCTAATGCAGACGTCGAAATACGGGAGGTCTGTCTTGATCACGTCTCCAAGTATAACGTCGAGGCGTTTCTGGGCAGGGGTGCCCTGAACACGCTTAGTGACCTCAGCCGCCATTCGAGGATCGAGCTCCACGGCGATGACCTTTTTCGCCTTCTCGAGGATTTTCACGGTAAGGTTACCGGTACCGGGACCGATTTCCAGCACAACCTATACCAGTAGGGACCCCGCCGACCAGGTTAGGCAGGCTAGAAGGCAAGGCGAGGGGAGGGGAGACTCACGTCGCTCTGTTTCAGCTCGGCCTTGTCGACAATCCGCTGAGCCACGCCAGGGTTCTTGAGGATGTGCTGACCGAGATCGGTGTTCATCTTGAAGATGCTGTTGGCGGCCTTGGTCTTGGCCGCCGCATCGGCATAGGGACTCGCTTTCGAGGCGCTATTGCGCTTCTGCTGTTTGACCTTGGGCATCGTGGCGGGAGCGGTCGGAAGAACAAGTACGGGATCAGACCTGGCAAGTTCGACTACGACCGACAACGTCCTTCAGGGGGGAAAGGCAGGGAAAATCCGAGTGACGGCTTGGGCCCGCTTCAGGAAACGGGCAAAAAAAAGTGCGGAGAGTTGGTTTCTGTTCTGATAAGATTACCGGCCCGGAACTACGTTTCTGCGGGGGGCCCGGCGAGAGTCGCCTGTCGCCGCTGCCATCTGCGTCGTTCGCGACAGCTTCCCAGCTCCTCCCATTTCCCTCTCTACGGTACGCCTCGATCACCATGGCTTCCGGGCGGAAGGACTTTCTGAGCCAGCAGGCGCCTGAGAATTATGTCGCCGGTCTTGGTCGAGGTGCGACTGGGTTTACCACCCGTTCAGATCTAGGACCCGCGCGAGAAGGCCCCACGCCAGAACAGATTCAGGCCGCACTTGCAAAGCGAGCCCAGCTTCTTGGGGCGGCACCTCCCACGGCTTACGGCGCAGGGCGTGAGAAGGGTGGCAAGGATGAAAAGGCAGATGAAGAGGAGGATGACGATCGGTTCCAGGACCCGGACAATGAAGTCGGGCTGTTCGCATACGGGCAGTTCGACCAGGAAGATGACGAGGCCGACCGCATCTATAGAGAGGTGGATGAAAAAATGGACAAGCGCCGCAAGATGAGAAGGTTAGTACCCCCCCGCCCTTGTCTCCCCTCCTTTGTTTCTATGAAGCGATTTGTTCATCCGCTTCGTATCCGGTCGTTCTGGACAGATTACCGACGTAATTTCTCCATCACTCACAGGGAAGCCCGCGAACGGCAAGAACGAGAAGATTACGAGCGCAAAAACCCCAAGATCCAGCAGCAATTCGCCGACTTGAAACGATCCTTGGCCTCGGTCTCCGAGGATGACTGGGCTAACCTCCCGGAGGTGGGAGACCTTACAGGCAAGAACCGACGGGCAAAGCAAAACCTTCGCCAGCGATTTTACGCAGTACCGGACAGTGTGATTGCCAGCGCAAGAGACTCAACCCAGTTTGAAACCACGATTGCAGATGACGGTGCCCAAACCGCTGTCGACGGAGGGGAGGGAGCGGATGGAACAATCACCAACTTTGCCGATATCAGTGCTGCCCGCGATAAGGTTCTTAAAGTTAGACTTGACCAGGCGGCGATGGGATCGTCTGGGGATTCCGCGTCTGGGAGTGCTACCAACATTGATCCCAAGGGGTATCTTACGAGCCTTACCCAGTCGGAGCTTAAGGCTGGAGAGGTAGAGATTGGAGACATCAAGCGCGTCCGGGTTCTGTTAGAGTCTGTGACGAAAACGAATCCAAAACACGCCCCTGGGTGGATTGCGCTTGCGCGTCTAGAAGAATTAGCCGGTAAAATCGTGACCGCTAGGAATGTAATCGCCAAGGGTTGCGAGTTGTGCCCGAAGAGTGAGGATGCCTGGCTCGAAAATATCCGGCTTAACGAGGGCCACAATGCCAAGGTTATCGCCGCCAATGCCATTAAAAACAATGACCGGTCTACGAGGCTCTGGATTGAAGCGATGAGGTTAGAATCGGAACCTCGAGCCAGAAAAAACGTTCTCAGACAGGCTATTCTTCACATTCCTCAGTCCGTCACTATCTGGAAAGAGGCCGTCAATTTGGAGGACGACCCTGCGGATGCACGCCTGCTCCTGGCAAAGGCAGTCGAGATGATCCCCCTATCGGTCGAGCTCTGGTTGGCTCTGGCGCGCCTAGAGTCTCCTGAGAACGCTCAGAAGGTTCTTAATGCTGCCCGAAAAGCCGTTCCCACCAGTCATGAAGTCTGGGTTGCAGCTGCACGACTACAAGAGCAGATGGGTACTTTCGAGAAGGTCAATGTGATGAAGAGAGCAGTCCAATCCCTCGCGCGCGAGAATGCTATGCTTAAGAGGGAAGAGTGGATAGCCGAGGCAGAAAAGTGTGAAGAAGAGGGTGCTATCCTTACTTGTAGTGCAATCATTCGCGAGACTCTTGGATGGGGCTTGGACGAGGACGATGATCGCAAGGATATCTGGATGGATGATGCGAAGGCCAGCATTGCTAGAGGCAAGTATGAGACTGCGAGAGCGATCTATGCCTATGCACTGCGTGTTTTCGTTAACCGTCGGTCAATCTGGCTCGCGGCGGCTGAACTGGAGCGTAACCATGGGGGCAAAGAAGCGCTCTGGCAAGTGCTCGCAAAGGCCGTGGAAGCTTGCCCGCAAAGTGAAGAACTATGGTTGCAGCTCGCCAAAGAGAAATGGCAGTCCGGGGAAATTGATGATGCCCGGAGAGTGCTCGGTCGGGCCTTCAACCAGAACCCTAACAACGAGGATATTTGGCTGGCCGCTGTCAAGCTGGAAGCCGATGCGGACCAGACGGACCAGGCCAGAGAGCTTCTCGCAACTGCTCGGCGCGAAGCAGGAACCGATCGGGTGTGGATTAAGAGCGTCGCGTTTGAGCGCCAACTCGGCAACGTTGACGAGGCGCTCGATCTCGTCAATCAAGGGCTACAGCTCTATCCCAAAGCCGATAAGCTCTGGATGATGAAGGGGCAAATCTACGAAGTCCAGAGGAAGTACCCGCAGGCTCGGGAGGCCTACGGAACTGGAACCAGAGCTTGCACCAAGTCCGTTCCACTATGGCTCCTGGCTTCGAGGCTGGAAGAAAAGGCCGGCGCGGTTGTCAAAGCTCGCTCCGTGTTGGACCGAGCCCGACTCGCGGTGCCCAAGAGCCCGGAGCTGTGGACCGAAAGCGTGCGCGTGGAACGCCGTGCGAACAACATTGCCCAAGCCAAGGTCCTGATGGCCCGGGCTCTGCAAGAAGTTCCCACCTCCGGGTTATTGTGGAGTGAAAGCATTTGGCACCTGGAGCCACGAGCGCAACGGAAGGCCCGGAGCTTGGAAGCGATCAAGAAGGCCGACAACGATCCCGTGCTCTTCATCACTGTCGCACGAATCTTCTGGGGCGAGCGCCGATTGGAAAAAGCACTCACCTGGTTCGAGAAAGCCATTGTTTCGAATAGCGACTTGGGCGACGGATGGGCTTGGTACTACAAGTTCTTGTTGCAGCATGGCACAGAGGTATGTTCGAAGTCCTTCCACCCATTTTTATAAGTTCATATCCGCGAGCACAACGACTGATGGTTGATCCTACGCAGGAAAAACGCGCCGACGTGGTGGCCAAGTGCATTTCGACCGAACCCAAACATGGCGAGATATGGCAATCGGTAGCTAAAGACCCGGCTAACGGGCGCAAGTCGACCGAAGAGATACTCAAGATGGTTGCAGACCGTCTGACCTGATGGAGAAAGGAGGTCGCGTCGCTTTTTCGACGTCACGCACTTTCTTACGACATCCGGTCTCCCGAATTCTGGGTTCGGCGTTCGGGCGAAGTAGAGGATTAGCGGCATTATACAATCGGCACCCGGAATGCATACAGTCAATAGGCCTTCACCTTCGCCTTGGCATGAAGCGGTTCACAGATTACCATTTGAATTGGTCCTGCAAGGTTTGAGGGTCTTCTCTCTCAGCATGTATCTATCATGATCAGCCCCTCCAACGGTCCACCAAGGATATGCCAAGAATGGAAAAAGTAATGTATAGTACATAGCACAACGAGAATCTCATCGTCCCCCGATCAAAACGAGCCACCGAGTAAATAAATCGCTGGCGCTTACTCATTTGAGATAATATATAGATCGCAAAGATTGCGTGGGTCACCCTCGCTCCCGTATTCTGGTTATATTGTCCTCCAGTAGATAGCCCAGAGAACCGTCCGTTAATCCAATCGAGCCATGGGTATCCGTAGAATTTGTTCGGCTTGTGTTCTTTTTGGAAATTGGTGTCGTCGTTCTCTTCCACTAGGGGTTCTCCCTACCTCCACATATCAATCCTGGGCGTTAGGAATCCCATACCACTGGGTGCCTTGAATGAATTGTAAAGCGTCAGCTCCGGGCGTGTCCATCACGCCTAGGGAGCTCATAAGAGAATGGCCACGTATGCGACCGCCAGGAAAAATGCGAACGATAAGGGGAATATGATCGGACAGAAAGCAAATAAGGACAAGGTAGGGGGAAGGAACTTCCAAAGAAAAAGAAGCAAAAAAAAAACAGACAATCAACTCTTCGAACTCCACGCCAGATGCAAAATGACGATGTCACGCCGATGATGGCTTTCCCGATTACCCCCCAAGACGCCTGCTCACCTTCTCCACCACACCGGAATGTTGCAATCTCTGGCCCTATTCGGGTCAAGAAACGTGTTATCGGAATATAGGGAAGGGGAACGTAAACAACAGGAGAAGGACATATGCTTGCAAATATAAAAGCCAACCAGGGCCGCAGAAGAGCGGGAAATGCTCATGAGGCCATGGACAGGCACTCATCCAACAAGGCACCCAGTTGCTCTCGATCGGTGACTGCACCCCCTTCCCAGTCCAGTTCTGTCTCGTCCACTTCCATTTCGTCCACAAATCTGTCGGGCTTCGCCCCAGCGTGCGTGATCTCCACCACCTCGTCAATGCGGTCTTGCTTGTCTGTTTCTAACTCATCCTCAAGATACCCACCCATGATTTGATCAACAAGTAAGGGCATATGACTGAGAACTCCGCCGCCGAGCTCCAAAGATAATCGAAGGTCCCGAACACCCAAGGGTTTCCGAGTGCTTGCCTCCTTGGCCTCGACAGGGAGCAGACCGGTCGCGCTATCTTTGACAATTTCTCCTCGCGTGAATGCCAGTTCTTCACTTTCGAGTTGTTGCCGATACTTTCGCATCATCATGCCGTTGATGGTTCCCGAGGGGCCATTCGACCTGGTCCGGGAGAACACCACGGACAGAACTTCTTTCACAAAGGTCTCGGTTGCAATTGCCATGAATTCGGCACAAGGAAGGCTTGCGCCGCTAACAATGGACTCCTCGTAACAAATGGGAACCATGCGTGCGTGTATTGATTCGGCATCCGGGAACTCACCGGTCTCCGATGCCAGGGGTTGCGCATAACGTTTCCGGATCTCCAATTCCCAGTCTACCGTAAACCCAGATGGTAAGCGTCATTCAATGGGGGATAAACGAAAAGAGGAGAATGCCAGGCATGGGCCTACTTGTCTTATTCAACCCGCCTGCACTGGCTGGCACCTGACTGGGCAACTTGATCTGTTTTGCCAGATTGTATTCCTCCAATTCATTGGGCGCAAGCTCGTTGGGGTCACGCTGGTCAGAAGTGCGCTGTTAGCCTTGCCTGCACAACCAAAGGGAGTGGTCGCATCCCGGTAGCAGTATATAGCATACCTCTGGAATGGCCTTGATTCTTCGACGATCCCTGGGAGGGAGTTGCATAACCTCCGTCTTGAGCCTTTGTTCTGCTGCATCGCCCGAGGTTGGCTTTGACACCACCGACGGCTTATCGTTCGCCGACACCCAACTTGCGACCCCATGATCCGGAAGATCCCTCGTAAGGTTCCCGATGATCGCGCATATGAAATTGTTATGCAGATGCTCGGTTTTCTGATCAGCGCATATTATATGATCGACCCGCGACGATAGTTCGCCCTGGTTCAGTTGTCCTGTCGTTAGGGAAGGGTATCAGCGTACGAGTCAGGTCAAGTAGAAGGAAGCCGGGGCTTGTAAGATGGGCCGAGATAGCAATCGAACAGGAATATAGCCCCCAGGTTAATCCGAAAAGCATGCGTACCTAACAGGAAGAGGGTGGTAGCTTCTTTATACTCGGCCCAGTTGTCGCCGATGGCGGCCTTCAGTTCTGTGTAGATGGGCTCGAGATCCAGGCGCGGCACGGAAATGAGCGCCTTGGTAGACTTCTGGGTTGGCGGAGCACTTGGGGCTGTGCTTTTGGACGAGGCTATAGCGGTCGACGCCGAGTCTGTCCGACTCAGAGCCGCCGGATCGATCTGCATGGTTGCGAGGCTCGCGGGAGCGCGACGGGCTGCGCGAAGCCGGGAGTGGGGAGAACTAGGCCTTCATGAAGCGCGAGTCATGCCAATCCAAGGAGCGAGACGGTCGGGGCAGGCGTGGCAGACGATGGGGAGCAGACGAGAAGGAGATCAATGCGCGATGGGGGACGCGGCGGATGGGATGGGCGGCGGTGGAGAAGGAAAAGGAAGGAGAAGGAGAGAAGGAGGGAGTGGTGGTTGGAAGTCGTGGTCGAATGAATCCCTCAATCCGTCCATCAAGTCATCACCCACGACGTCGACTCGACCGACGGCAATCCCCGCCATCTGCTTGCTCGCTTCGGTTTCCGCCCCCCTCTGGCTGCTTTCCTCCCCGTCTCTCTCGCCTTCATTCTTTTCTACGTGTTCTAGGCTACCGGCTACGACAATAAATCTCCCCGCCTCTTGGACCACTCCAGTTCTCAGCCTGGGTCGGACAAGAGCTCCGCTCTATCAAGACTATCAAGAACCACCATAGTACTTGAAATAATCTACAGGTAAGTTAATTGTTACAGGCAAACCCCCCCCCACGGGGGCAACCGCTAGGAATGCAGCTTCACGGCATCCTCATCCAGAACTCCAAAGAGTCGGCCGATCTCGCTGATGATCGCTTCAATCTCGACCGATAATTGCCCCGTCACCAGAACTGAATCACGCCTGCAGTTAGCCATGCCTTATCGCATCAACCAAACCAAGGGGGTTATAGCATACTATATGCATAAAGCAGGGCATAGTCCTCGTCCGTCGACGGCCGGGACACCTTGGGATCCTTGCGATAGTGGAAGAGCCGGGCGAGAAGCCGGTCCCGGGCATGCTCCACGCTGGGAAGAACGTCGCTCAGCGGATACTCCAGCTTCATTGAGGAGGCCATGACTGTTCCCCCGCGTCAGCGGCGTACAGTCAATTGAATCATGCAGATTGGAATCTCACCAGATAACAGGTGGCTGATACGGGAAGATAGCTGCTGTCTTTCTTTTACCGTGTATCGAAGGATAGCAAGTTCTCCTTCGGACGCGGTCATATTCTTGACTAGCTCCAGGTTGATGGCAACGAAAGCATCCACCATGCTCCTGGTGCGACGCAGGATGTTACCGTAGCTGGCATCGGGAAACTCACTTTTTAGCTCGAACTCAGACCGCGCAGATGCTTGGAGGGACTCCAGATGCGACAGGAATCGCTCAACCTCCAACTTCTCCCGGGGGCTCATGAAGCCTGCAGACTCCTTGGGGAAAGACATCGTGGACAGGGGACCGCGCTTCCAGATCAAACTCATCCGGAGCCACAACAGGCTCAACCCGTCTTTCAGTCTTTCCCTGGCGCTGATCGGCCAGATGACTCGCGTGATAATGATGCCCCAAACACAGCCGGACAAGACAGCAGCCACTCGATGAAGGGCGATCTCAGTAATTATTGGACTATCGCCTCCTTCGTCTTGGTCGTCCCTGCCTTCCTTCTGGGTAAGTGAGTAGGCGTACAGCACCGAAAGGTTGTATGTGAGCATGATGAACCGGCCCATTGGGCCTTGGCCTCGGACAATAATAAGGTAGAAATTCCAAGTCGCCATGAGCAAGCCCAGGAATGCGAGAGCGAACACGTTTCCTGCGCTCATGTACCACGAGAGGATGGCACAGATGGCCCCCAAACAGGTACCGAGGAACCGAGCATAACCGGTAGTGTTTGAGGCCCCAATAGTCATGGAACAGACCAACATGTAGGATAAAAGCCCCCATTCACCTCGCCAATGGGAATAAAAGGGTCTTGTTGATTGGAGAAATGAGGGCAGGGCGTATATCGCAGCGCCGGCCCCAACTTTGACCGCGAACTTGGTATCGTCGCGGCGGAAAACCCCGAGTGACCTCCAAATACGATAGCCCAGCCGCTGTTCAGGGGTGTCTCCTCCGATCTTGGTCAGAGAAGGGCTGTTATGTGACTCCGGCGGGTTGGGCATATCCCGCTGGGATACTGTGCCACTGGGCTCAGGTAACATCTGCTCCGTGTTTGGGGCAATCCCCTTCCCTGTTTCAACACCTCCCCAGCGCCAAAACTTAAGCCAGCTCCAGGACCTTCCAGTCGGTTTTTCCTCGCTTTCAAGTTGTAGTTCATCCAATATCATCAAAAGCTCTTTCAGCTGCTCACCAAATTCGAGCAAGGAGAAACTGAAGTGTCCACAGCTAGCAGACACCTCCTCAAGATCAGCTTCAACTTCCAATGTTTGCACCCCTATAACCTCACGTTGTCGATATATAGTATTGAGCGCTTCTTCGCGGGAATTCCGATATAGCTCAAGCGCCCGATCAAGACTGGTGCGATATCTACTGTTGACGGAGACCCTGAGATCAGGCGCAGGCTTGAAAGGGATATCTCTGAATATTTCTTTCAGTGTGAAAGCAAGCGAGCGCTGCAGACCATTAGCGTTGATCTCTCAAGTTGGGCTTCCTCCTTAATTCACTCACCATAGACGGACCTAGATGACTGATAAAGAGTGCAAAGATATCTGCCGGGTGAAGAGAATGCTCAGCCGTCATTTCGGTGCCATCTGCCAGGCCAATGTTGGTAGTTTCGAGCCTTTCCTCTTGGTCTGGTTGCTCATCTATCCGTCCCAAGAACGGGACGTCTTCATGTAGTGACCAAGGGCTCGGCAACGGCACAGCGGCAGGTTCCGAGCCATGGCTTTGTAATTGGGCAAGCTTTGTCTGTTTAAGTAGCTGAAATTGCAAGTGAGCAGCACTGCGCAACCCTCCCATATTATGAGTAATGTCTTGCACCCAGCGAGCCAGCTTCTTCTCCAGCCTATATTCTTTTTCCGTGCCTGCCACAAAATGCTCGAGCTTGGCTTCTCTCACAAGTTTATCCAGCTGCCCGTATGCTTTCTTATGGCGCGCAGCCGTATTGATGAACTCGGTGGTCTGGAGTTCCTCTTCGGAGCCACTGAGAAAGCTTTCGGTGATCAGAGCCAACATGGTCGCCAAGCTTTCGGTGACAGTGGTCAGGTTCGTTCGAAGCTGCTTGCGCGCAGAGATAGGGAAAATCAGGAAAGACACGGCCATGGTAATGGTGACACCCATAACGACCATTTTCAAGACCTGGGAGATTTTCGCGAACGACAGATCCCCACTTTGCACTGCGCCCTCCTTCGTCAAGACCGTGATCGTCGCCAGTGAAGCCAAGGAGCATGCAACATTAACAAGCGGGTCGCCGAGTCTCTGCTTCGTCCATCCAATGAACCCTAGCCCACCACCACAGAACACAATGAGCACAAGGGCATGCCCCACAGGGAGCATATCTAAGGTATCCTGGAAGAACATCGAGACACACATGCTCGTGACGGAGATGAAGGCCGCATAGAGGAAAGCGAGGAGAGCACAAATCAAAGCTTTGTACATGCTGCCCTGCGATCTCGCTGGATGAAAGTAGACCGTGACAGTAGCAACCATATGCTTGCCATCTTGGTGGCCCAGAAACGACGCAATGGCAGGGACAAAGGTTGCGAGGGAGCCGAGTAGGTAAGCTAAACTGCACTTCAAGACGCCTATTCCTAGCTCCGACGAGAGAGACTGGTGCATCCAAGGCCATGTATTTTTGGCTCGAAACCAGAGCCATGATGGAAGGGAGTTGGGGGCCCTCTCGACTTCCCCAGTGAGCAGGGCGCGTCGCTCGTCGTCATCACTATTCTCACGTGGGTCGGGATATGGGATTCGTAGATTCACGAGACCTTTAAGTCGCTGGCCCGTTCTCGGGAGGACGAAAGTTGCGTACCGTAACTGCGACGAAGAGAAAGAGCATCAGCAACATTCCGGCCGGGAAGAGGTTCCTCTATCAGTACTTATCCGGACTGTTCCGGGGCTGAAGGGAAGGGAGGGAGGGGGGGGTCTCATTGGCACGTTGTAAGGGTTCAGGCAAGGGAGGAAGAGCAACACTAGGCCAGGGACCTATCTAGATACCTAGGTAGATAGATAGATATGCTTACCTTCTTCGGGCGCAAAAAGCGCCGGGAACGGCTGCTCGACGAGTCCCCCGATAGAGACATGTTGTCACCTCATTTTCCCTCCCGGTCTCCTCGCGATGGTCTAGGAGTCGTCCTTGTGGGTGGAAGGTCAGTCAGTCGTCAGCCATAACAAAGGCTGTGGGACTAAGAACACGAACCAGAACTTGTTCCACTTCCACTAGATAGATATGATATGATCTTGAGCGCCGGTGGAGAGCTTGAAAGGTCTGGTGACCAATACGAGTGGATTCTCCAACACCACGCACGGGACACGCACGCGCCATCACATCACCTAATCTATATCTAGAATCTACATAGTATGCTTTACCTACTATTGAGTACGGAGTGCTGGAAAGTGATGTACAACCGAACCCGACAAACTCAGAAGAAATTCAGAAAGCAGTACGCTATGGATGGACCAGCTTTGAACATACTATCTCCGTCCTAGTTGAGCCCTTCCATCTTCCACACTTTGACTGCCGCATCAGCACCAGCTGAGGCAATCTTGGATCCGCCGGCTATCCAGGCCACGCTGTTCACGCCTTCTTTGTGTGCATTCGATACCTGCAGCCAGTCCCCTGGGTTAATCAAGCTCCATACGAAGATATTGGTATCCAGTGACCCGCTGGTCAGGTGGGCGTTGTCTTCGTTCCAGGCAAGTGAGGTAATGCGGGAGGTGTGGGCGGTCCATCGGTCGGTGACTAGGCTGCCATCGGCGACCTTGTACACCAACACACGACCCCGGGAGTCGCCTACCGCCAGGTAAAAACCATCGGAGGAGAAAGTCAAGGCAGACACCGCATTCCGCGTAGCCTTGATGTCCGCCTTCGGGGAGAGGCTCGACCCCGAAATGTCCAAGATCTGAACAGACGAATCTTCCCCCCCAACAGCTGCAAGGTTGGCATGGGCTGCAACCGCGGTGACCGGGAATTTGGGCTTGAAGTCGCCAGTCTTTTGTCCGTCTCTGTAGATCTCAACGCTCTCCGACGTTCCCACCAACACCAAGTCATTCGCGACTTCGACACCCTTCGGCTGTCCCGGCAGTTTGGAGGAGATTCCGGTATACGTCTTCGCGCCAATGTCCACGGATCGGATAGTGTCATCCCAGGCGACACTGTAGATTCTACCGTTCCCTTCTTGGGTGGGCGTGAGCCCTACAATATATGTAGTGTGGCCGTCGCCTTCCACTTCCTCCGCAGCCCCCGTTGGAACATCCCAGCTGCAGACCCGGCCATCAAAGCTCCCGGACCACAAAGTTTCAGTAACACTGCCAGAGCGAGACTGGGTCAAAGAAGTGATACTCTTCTGGTGTCCCTGGATGACCTGTCTGGGCTTGGGGGTGCCTTCGACTAGGTAGTTAAGGTCGCCGCTCAACGAAAGACTGATCACCAGGCCGTCGCTTCTGCCCAGAGGCCAGACCACTCCGACCTGCTGGTCTCTAATATTCGCAGCCCCTTCATCTCCCAAATCCCAACTCTGGGTGACCTTGCCCACTTCCACGTCCCATATCTTAACGGTTCTGTCTGCACTAGCCGTAGCGAATTTCCGCGAGTCTTTGGACCAGGAAACGCCGAAGATACTGCCGTTGTGCTCACCTTCGCCGATCTGGCCTCTGGTTTCTCCCGTCTTGCCATCATACAACCAGATTTTGCGATCCGCGCCAACACTGACCAAAGTGGAGCCATCTGGGCTGAAGCCGACGCCGTAGATATAGTTGGTGTGCTTATCACGAATGCCGGTGTTGAACTTGAACGGCGCGCCGTGGTAGAAGACTAGGTTCTTGTCGTCGCCGGCGGCCGCGGCCCGCAGAGGTCTCTGCTGCCTGATGGAAACGGAATTGATTTGTTGTGTGTGGCCATAAATCTCCCCGACCGTGTTACCGCTGTCCCAGGTGATGCAGTGCCCGTATCGTTGTTTTCCATCACCAACGGCAATGATGCGCTGAGAATCACCGTCCCATGCAAGATCATTGATCCGGCCATTCACGATGCTGTATTCGCCCTTGGTGAGACCTTCGCCCACACAGTCCCAGACTCTTACTATACCGCTAGCATCACCACTAGCAACATAAAAGCCCGAAGGTGAGAAGCGGGCCACTGTGGTCTGCGTCTTATGCTCGGTATACTGCCGGGCGATGGCAGGGTTGTCGATTGAGCGGAGAAAGATCGATTTATTTGCCTGTACATTGCATGGGATGCCGATAAACACGGATTAGCCTTCTACGTCTTCGCATTAGGGCGGGGAAGGGCCCAATATTGTACCGCGTATGCGAGCCGTTCACCTTTGGCGTCTGAGGAGAGTTGGGTAGGCTGTCCCCTGGTGGTGGAGGGGCTGGCGGCCCAGATGGACTCTACAGGTGGCCAGTTAGCATGGATCATTTGGGAATCAGCGGGAGAAGTCGCGGGACTGTACCATTTACAATAGACATGGCTGGTTGGTTCTATATGCAATGTCCGTTCGCTAAGCAGAGAAACAGAAAAACTTCAACCAAAGCGAAAGCGAGGGGAGGGAGAGAACAGGGCAAGGCAGCAGCCGGCCGATGTTTGGGGCTGTTGACGTACCTATGGGTGGGGGAGGGCACGGATGCTGCCGTGGTTGACCCAGCCAGCGCTTATCAGGTCCGGATTAGATGCAAAGCCCAACTGCTGTTGCGCTGTCGGCGCACTGTAGATACGATGTGGATAGGATTGGATTGGAATGATAACAGTGGTGGTAATAGTAATCGTAGTTATACATACTCCATCCCGTCAAGATCATCTGGCTAACAGAAAAGACAAGAACAAGGCACCAGGTGAATCTGAAAGCTGGGGGTAAAACATATAAAAGCAAACCGAGTCCAGTCCATGACCGAAACTAATGTTATACAGGGAACTCTATTCAATAACCACCTCCTCCCTCCATCCTGGCCTTTGCCTCGGCCGCCAGAATTTCCGGGTGTCGGTGAACACTGGGCATGAGACCAAGGCCAATCGCCCTCCGGATGGCCTTGGAAATTTTGCGCTGGTTGACCGGTCGCAGACCAGTGGTGTTTCTGTTCTTTATCCGTCCCATCGAAGTGACGTATTCCGACATGATGGAGAAGTTCTGTGGAGCATAAATCGCAAATGATCAGCAACCATTGGGGTATATGATTTTTTGCCAGGGCTATAGTGCGTCAACACACCTTATACAGATGTAGAGGGTTCAGATTCAGAGCATCAAACGCATCAGTAGATGGGCTGTTGCGCTTCTTCCATTTCTTCATCTCTGTCGGGCTAAGATCATGAGGGGAGTAGACATCACCCGCGCTCCAGTCACGCGTCTGAAACTTCTCCAGGGCCCTGCCTTCATTCTGAGCCCTCTGATCCTCTAGGAATTGTTGACGGGACGGTTTACGGCGGTTGTGGTACATTTTATTCGCTGTATCGAAGTCACAGTCAGCGAACAGTCAATCGAAGGAGACAAGGAGGCGAAAGCCCCAGCCCACATCAACCCTCGATGATAAATCGAGAGAATAGAGTGGAAAGGGCCATCACATCACCTACTCTGAGGTCGAAGTCCCCGTCGAGGCGCAGGGGCGTTCGGAGCAACCGTCGAATTCCAGCGACAAGCAGCGGTAGCAACAGCGGACACCGACCCAAGTGTCGAGCCAACGGTGCGCAAAGGCGACCACGAGAAGAGATGGAGTGCCATAATGGGTGAAGGATCTGGCCAAGAGGGAGGAGGAGAGGGGGAGGAAAGTCGTGGATGAAGCCGAGCCGGCGATGCGGTCGATTTCTTTTTCGGCACGCGCCAAGAGCCGCCTTGGAACTTCCAACTTCCGCCCGCAACTCCGTCTGCTCCATGATCCATTCCTCGATCCCTCTTTCTCTCCCCTCGGTGACGTGCCGTCAATTGGGTTGACTTCCCTTTCCTCCCTACGTCTCAGCTGAGTGGGAACCAAACAAACCTCTCCACCAACAGTGGCTTCTCACCTCCTCAGATCGTGTCTGCCAACAATGCAATCCCACCTGACCAGGAGGGTCTTCCGGGCCATCCTGAATAACGAGCCTCTTCCCTCTTCGCGCTGTCACTATCGCTTCCTGCATTCCGCCCGTAGCCATCGATCCCGCAAGCTAGGGGCCCTCTGTCCGTACCATATCCAGCGTCGCGGGCTTTTCGCCTTTAACGCGGTCCCGAATGCTGGTCCTCAAACTGCAATCCTGCCGTCCGAAACCGGCTTGAAGCCAATGAGAGACTTGTTGAGGTCACTGAGTGACCAAAGCAGAGGCCCTGCCAATGGAATCCTGGCAAAAGCTTTCCAGGACTTCATCGTTGCACGTGCGGAGGCCCCCGGGGTCATTACGAGCTTCCATGCGAAGTTGCTGGTCACTACTTGGAAATACCTCCGAGCTCGCGAGGAAGAGTTGGAACCCGAGGAGTGGCAGAAGGTCTTTTCAACTGAGAATCTCGAGAACGTTCTCTACGTCCTGTCGGAAGCGAAATGTCTGCCCGAGTCGCACGAGATCGTGCGAAAAGTGGCCCGCCTGGCTTTTTTGGAGCTCTGTGACGATCATGGATTTGGGCACAACCACATCAGCCGGTCTGCACTTCTTTCTTATATCCACATTCAGGCAATGCATGGAAATCCGGATGAAGCCCGCCATGTGGTCGAGAATTTCTGGAGTAGACTGAGCAAGACCAGCCCTTCCCCTTGGCTTACCGTCATGAGAGGGTTTGCCATTATCAATGATAGGTCTGAACTCAGACGCACTACAGAAAAACTTCATGAACATGGCATTGAGTTTGACCAACATGCCCATGAAGAATTGGTCAACATCCTTGTTGAACAAGACCTGTTAGTAGCCGTGGAAACAGTCTATGAGTGTCTTTCGTCTTCTGGGCAAGAGCCCTCTGCCAAGGCAAAAGAAACTGTGATCCGATACGCCATCCTGAATGGTGAGATAGCTTGGGCAGCATCTATCTATGAATCCCTTTTGCAGTCCCAGGTTACTGAGACCATAGGTATCACGCTGCTTTGGGAAGCGGTCCAAACTAATAGTGCTGCTGCCGTCCTGGAGAAGGCCAAAATAGTAACAGCTGGAAATCAAGATGCAAGAGATTCACTGAACATTGCGTGTGTAAACGACCTGATCGAGTACGCAAATTCCGTGAAGAATCCTGAATTGGCCGCCGATCTTGCTTCTCTAGCTACCCAGTGGGGCCTGCAGCCGGATATGCACACGCAGCTATTGCGACTGGAATCCTACATTCAGGCGGGCGATGTGAAGACGGCATTGAGTTTCATGGAAGATATGCAGGACCCAGAGACGATAATGCTTGAGAACATGCCGTTGATGAACAAGTTGATTACAGTGCTCTGCTTGTCAAGTCAGGAGGATGCCGTGATGGATAAAGTAACCTCTCTTCTTGATCCTTTATTCGAAAATAGCGTTCGGTTGGAAGCGGACACCTTGGCAGCGTTGACGCACATGCTATTATACCGTCATGACTGGGAGGGCGTCTCCGAGCTACTTCGGCCCCGTCTAGGCTCCTACGACTCGGAAGAAAGGACAAAGATCCGCAATGCTCTTACCAATTTCATAGCTGATCTGAACCAAGAGAGCGACAACGTTTGGGAAATGTACAATCTGCTACAACTCGCTTTCCCCGAAGCCGGGGTGAGCCTGCGAACTGAGATCATGACATCGTTCTTCAAGCGGAACCGGAGTGACTTGGCCTTCTTAGTTTTCGGACACATGCGACAGGCGGAGGATTTCGCACGACGGCCGAAGCCCGACACGTATGCCCGGTGTTTCCAGGGCCTGGCCCGGACCCAGGATGCCAAGAACGTAGAGCTAGTTCACAACATGCTCAAGCTGGATGTGGAGGTTGATCTCAACACGCGCTTGCTGAACGGGCTCATGCTCGCGTATGCAGCCTGCGATATGCCGGAGAAAGCCTTGGACGTCTTCCGCGACATTCTCCAATCGGACGAAGGACCGTCGCAGAAAACCATTGCCATTTTCTTCAAGATGTGCGAGAAACACCACAACGGGGTCCAGGAGGCGATAAGGATGATGAGCAAGGTCAAGCGTCTGGAGATCAGCGTCGATCGTCAGTTATACATGGCGTATGTCGAGGCTCTGGCTGCGCAGTGCGAGTTTGGCCTCGCCACTGAAGCGCTGGACAAGATGTATAGCGAAACCGGCTATCAAGTCACCCGCAACTCGTACGCCCCCTCGTCCTGTCACCCACCCACATGTTATACATTGCTAACATAGTCAACTAGTATCGGGTTACTCTACAACGCTATCCCCTACCAATACTGGAAAGACGAAGTTGAAAAATGGGCCAAGGCCACCTACCCGGAGCAGTGGGCACAACTGGAACAGATCGAACGCACCGAATTCGAAGAGGGGCCGAAATTCAACATCAAAGATAACGAAGTCATTGTCTAATAGACAGTCAGTCCGTCAATCTACACCAAAGAACGGGAGGAACCCCAGGTACTTGTACTTAACCTACCTTGTTGTACCAATTAGGATATACTTCCCGAAGCCAAACATCTATTTCAACATGTACACTTTTGCTGCTTCAACAAACGTAGCATGCATGCCGAAACCACATGCTCTAGCAAATCAATATGTCCTTCTATTATCTTTACAGACTACGGTTCTAATGCCGTTGGATATCGGGGGCAATACCACCGGCTTAGCGAAACTGGGATAAACATATCAGATTAGTTGTGGCAGATTGATAGATAGTAGATAGATAGATAGAGCTTGCCACGTAGTCATGTTTGGCCAATGATGGAGGAGCTTGTACTATGCAAAGTTGACGCGGACGTAGTGGGCGAGGAAACTTATTGTCTTTCCTGCCGGCAGAGTCTCGATCACAGGTTGACAAGCTACGGAAGATTCACAACAGTGAAGCCAGGCAGATTCTATTTGGAATTGGATGTAAAGCAGACGCGAACTAGTCAGATCTCTCGGGCCAAAAGAGAAAAGAAAATGCTGTATTAGGTCTTTAGTAGTCATGTCTTTTCTGTATCTCATGCAATGGACATCGATCGTAATTAATGTATCCGTAACACTGCGTATGTGCAGTCGGTATTACCCGGAAAATGCATATCTTGAGAAATGATGAAAACAGGTGTATCCATCTAAGAGTCGTGACTCGCCTCGAGTTGCGCAAGTCGCTTGGTCATGCTAGAGTCGACGTTAGAGGAGGCACGACAACAATGCAGCCGGGAGTAAAACCACTTACAAGTTGAAGAAGGAGAATTGGCTGGGGCTGCTACCATACTGATACACAAACCGGCTCGCAAGATAGCTGCCAAAGATGGCTCGCAGATAGTTCTCGGGCACCTATTACATTGTTAGCATCATACCGATAACGAAAATCAAACTGCAAATACTGACCCGCTGCAGAATGGTGTCAAGGCCAATCTTTTCCAGAAGGAGTTTCGGCAGAGCATCATGGAGTACTGAGCGACGAAGCTCAACGTTATCCCACAGCTCGGTCTTCTGAAGCTCCTCATCCAATTTGGTGATAGCAACACTTAGACGGTCGCTGAGAACGCTGCGGAGCAGCCCTGTTTGCTCATGTTCACGCCAGATGGCTTCAAATTCCAGAGTAGCATTATGCTTGATGACCTCTTGCACCTGCTTGACATATTCACCATAAAATGTCGGAACAGTGCCATCCTCACGGATGCACATGTTTTCCACGAACTCCTCGTCATTGAAAGACAGGGAAGCCAGAACTTCCAACGACGAAGACGTCACGCCTCCTTTGTTAGCAGACGCGTCCTTGAACAGGATGCAACCAGCCCTCTCGAGACGGAGCTTGCTGTCCTGCGTGATGAACAGGTTAGCGCCCTCAACAATATACGGGATGGTGGCTTTTCCATTCTGGATCAGCTTCCCGACAGTGGAGAGGTCAATAGATTCCGGTCGTCCACCGCAAGGCACAAACGTATCGTACTGTTGGTCGCTGCGCAGATGGAACAGATTGCGGAAGATCATACCATTGTGGACCAGCTCGCCGCTTGGCAGATGAATGTTGCTTTCATCCACTAGAACCCGATATCCCTGGGGCGAGAGTTTCGACAGCTCGAATTCAGAAATGGTTGCCCGCTTCTTGGCGAGTCGAACTAGCTCCTCCTGCTCCAGACCTTGAGGATCAACGATCACGCCGGAGCCATCAACGATGGCCGTATACTTCTCGTTGGCAAGGAGGATTTCGTTGGAGCCCAGATCACCGTCAGGCCCACCAGTCTGCAGCTTACGTATCGTGCTCGGGTCGATCTTCAGCTTGCGGTAGATACCAAGCACATACTGGCGCACCGACAAGGTCGTCATGCCGTAGGTATCATGAGGGATACCGCCCAGTCTTGGGCTTTTACCCGTGAAGAATGACTTCCACCAGGGGGCACCCCGGTTCCTGGCATGCTCCGTGGCCCAGTCCACCAGCTCGGCCGTGTTCTCATCGGGACCCATAAACAGGATCTCGTCCTTACCATGCAAGTCCACGATCGGGTCCTTGATACCCGGGCTCACGGGAGGCAACAACAGGTCCAAGATGCTGTCGATGTACTTTTCGAAAGCCACGCGGGCTTTGTCCTGGTGGTTTACGTCAAGGAGGATCACGCCCTTTGCTCCACCTTCGGGAATGTCCTTGTTTTTACGCTGCTGCGTGTTGGCGAGGTTGTAATTCTCATCGAACAGTGAGCGGGCGTTGATACTGTAGGCCTCCTTATTCCGGCTCTTGACAATGCGAATACCCCCACGGGCAATATCCCGGAATCGCAAATGGAATCCACGAAACTCGGAGCTGATGACCAAGAACATGCCATAGAGGCGCTGGGGGTATTCATGTTCCGGGAGGAAGTCGGGATTGAGCCGGAAGCTGAGTGCAACCTTGGTCGGCGTGAAGAAATTGGTCTTGAGGATGGAGGCATTGAAAACACGGAAGGCGCTCATGACCATCTCATCATGTTCATTGGCCGCGCTACTCGAGATGAGCTGCTTCAGCTTGGGCCCGTCCAAAACCTCGTCGACCTGCAGACGCAGGTAACTTAGCGTTGGAAGGAAGTCATCCTCAGCAGGACCACGCGTCTGCACGTAATGCGTGTTGGCGAAGTCCAAATAGAGCTTGTGAATGAGCTCCGGGTACTTATTGACAATCTCTGAGATATAATCCGATGTGAATGTCTCGGTACGCAGCCTCTTCTTGATCTTCGCCAACAGCTCCGCGTGAACGCTGTTGTTCGAGTCCAAAAGATCAGTCAGAGAGGTATATTCGGAGCCCAACCGGTTGAGGAACTGCTGGACAAACACCCAGGCGCAATGAGCGTAGATCGTCTCTTGCAAGCTGAGACGTCCGCTGGCGAAATGGTGCTGGAATCTGTTTTGAGGAATGCAGTACAAAAGGGAGACTTCCTTGATAATCTGGTGAATGGCGGCCTCGATGGGGGGATACTTTTGGACGATCTCCTTGCCGGGCAGAGGACGCAGATAGAGCGATATAACCGAGATACCATTGGAGAAGTTCTCCAAATACTTCCGCGAGCTAGTCAGACGGTAGTAGTGGTACAAATCAGACAGCGCGCTGAAGAGACCCATTGCAGAGCCTTGACGATAGGCAATGACTAGTCTCTTTTCGCGGCTCTTCTCAATCTCAAACATTTCGATGACCGGACCGGACCGGCTGACCGCATTACTGATGATTTCTTGGTAGATGGCCTTCGTATTGGGCGTGGCTTTTTGCAGGAATCTCTTTTCACCGATAATATCAATGTTGGTCTCGTTCGGGTCAGGGTTAGGATTGGCAAACTGGCATTTGTAAACAAAATAACAACGGAGCTGTTGCCCATCATCTCCGGGGATTGGTGTTGGCGAACGGAAGGTCTCAACGCGGTAGCTGTTTTCGTGAGTGGAGCTGTTGATATATTTCTTATCAATCCGTTGCTCGTATCCAGGACCTTCCACTGTCGAAACGCCAGGCTTGCTGGTATCGATGTAGACAGCATGGTCTTCTGCTTCCTTGTCCAGCCGGATCTCGAGCTTCTTGTCATCACGAGCGTACGCTGCGACCTTTGCGGCGTATAGCGAGAGAATCTGGGTGACGATTGCGTCGACGGACTCGGTTTGGAAGTAAGTGTCGTCAATTCCGAGCTGATTGTAGAACCACTCGGTTTCCCCAAGTACAAACTCAAGGGGGAGGAAGCCCTTCTTCTCCAGCTGATCCATGACTAACGACGAGATAAAGAGTCAGAATGGCTACTACTGACTAATCTAGGCCCCTTTTGCAAGGCCGCTACAGGGGCACTCACCTTGCTCCATTTGTTTTTCCTTCCCTTCGAACTTTGCCGCCACGTAACCGGGGTCTTCTTCTGACAGAATGCGATGCTGGCCACCTCCGGGTATCCCAAGGTGAGTCGGCTGGGGCGAAGGTTGACGCACGCTGGACCCAGCTACATTGTCAAAGAACTTGTTGTGTGGGTGCCTTTGGAAGCCAATGGGAGTGCCAGCTCCTGACTGGGAGCCATCATTGCTACCGTAGAGCTTAGGACCCGTTCGCATGGGGAGGGTGTTGTTGCCATTGATGTGGCCGTCTGAAAGAGGAGACGAAGAGGGAGCGGGAGAGACCATGTTTGAAAGGGGTGTGGCAAGTCACGCTCAGAAGCTCAATGGAACGCGAGCAAAAGAGGATGCACTATGGGGTTTATTATCTGGTAAGTCATGCACGGGTAACTGAGTAAGAGCAGAGCTCGGTCCTGACAGAGTCGGGGGTTTTCTTAAGAAGCTGGGAGAGATAAGGCAGATCCGCGAATACAGGATGGTAGATGTAGATGTAGAAACACAAGAAAAAAAAAATCGGGGAGAATTCTAGACCGCAGACGCCAAACCTACCTCGATGGGATAGCCCAAGGGTTTGAGGAGAATTCGTGATGTATTTGCAATGGCCAGGGCAATGACGAAAGCTCGAAGCTTATCGGGGGGGGGAAGCCAGAGAGCAAGAGAGCAAGAAACGGATGGGTTTACTTGTTGGTACCAGCCATTCACTGACACGTCACCAACAATGCCCTGGGGAGGGGAGGGATGCAGGAGAAGAGGATAAGAAGAAGAAAATGAAGAAGAAGGGGAATCAAGGAGTTCAAGAAGGAAAGAGGGAAAGATCAGAGGATGGAATGGGATGGGCAGAACAAAGCAGTGCCAGGCGTGACGAACTAGCAGGCAGGCAGGAACTGGGCTCTTTATAACAACCGGACCTGAAGCCAAACGAGGAACAATGATCAGAAAATGTCGATAATGCTCGAATGGGAATTTAATAATAACAATTATTATTATTTCCGGTTATCCTAATCATTAAGTCATACCCGACACAAGAACAGGCGCGGCCAGTCCGTAACCACGAACCAGATAGCCGGTGCTATGCGATCGGCCAGGAACGGGGCCCGGTCCGGGGCAGTCGTTGGACGACGGCCTGGTCCTGCCTGAGGATCATTGCTGGCCCGCCCTGCTGCATGGGTCTCCACGTTGTTCCAACTGTCAGATTATTGATGATGGTGATGGTGGTGGTGGTGGTGGTGATGATGATGGTGATGATGCACGGACTAGCTACTTGACCTGTCCTGCATCTACCTAAAAGGAAGCAGATTAATCAGGCCGTCTAGGTAGGTCAATTCCCTCTCGGAAGCCTAATGCCACTCTCCGTATCTTTCGGATGGTTCCAGCTTTCCCCATGTCTTCTCGTCGAGCATCACTCGATTCTCGATGCCAAGGGCAGTGGGTCCCAGATGCCTGTTTGGGCATCGCTGGTAATGATAGCGCGAATGAGGCAAGAGCGAAAAATACCGCATCAGAACGGCGTGATTGGTAGCCGGAGGGCTAAAATTGGAATAATTGCCTCAACGGGAACTAGAGGCACTGTGGCTGGTTGCCGGTTATACAAGGTACCTACTCCGTACTTCTCACGCCCTTCAGCTGGTCGGGGGCGTCCGTCCAGGCACATGTTTAGAACAGAGAGAAAGACATCGTGTGAGACTGATACGGAGCAGAGCGAGTGAGTTCTATTCTCCACTGCCTATAGATAGATAGTGTGCCTAATGCAGGGCCTTTACAGTTTACCCATAGTACGGCGGACAGTGGTGGTGTCACAGGCTCGCAGCAGACTCGTCAGATACTCCACACGGTCGATACTGTACTGGAACTAAGAAAGCCGCCAAATTCCTGGATTAGTCAGCTGACCGGACCGGCTGGGCTCTCTCTCCACTTAGTAGGGCTGTAGGTTTCGAAAGGGGGTTTTGGTGTGTCATGGTGGCTAGTGACCTGCAAATCATCGCCGGCGATGCTGTCCTGCGACGGATTTGCAGGTTTTCCCTGCGTAATGGCAGGCATCGCGAGGGAAAAATGCCGCATTTTTTGGTGCCGGGCTTATCAACCGGGTCGGCTCTTATCAATGGGATGTAGATAGCAGTAGTACTACTAATGGTTGATAGTGATCGGAGGGTTGCTTCTGCTGGGGTTGAGGGAGTTTCTCGAGACCGGGAGATCTATCAACATGGCGCTGATTCATTGGGCTCTGTCAGGACCGGACTTGGACTGGACTGCTCAGGGACCGCCTGATAACCCCCCGGCGCCGGCGGATAAAACCTAAAGCACGCGGCCAGGGATCACACACATACACACACACCGCCAGTATCTACATAACCTCCATTCTCAAATGAAGTCATCTCTGTCGAAACTTCCTCACGCGTCTAGACTGCGGGGGTGGCCGATCGGTACCTGGATGATGGCCCGTCGCTATCCTCAATTCATTCCTAGTGACTTGCGGGGGTTGAGGAATTCCGCCTAGTCTCCAACGAATAGTCAAATGAGATGTGCCGGAACGGCCAGCCGGAATTTCCATTATTAAAATGGCTCACACCCAACCCGTGCTATTACCCCATAGAATGTCGACCCGGAACCGCGCCCCCCCTCCGTTTTCTTTTTCCCCAAAGTTCCAAACATTCCCCTCCCTCGTCCCCTCATCATTCGAGGCGGGGGGTGGATAAGTCATCCTTCTCCCTGGACGTTCATCGAATGGGGTTCGGACTCCAGAGTTTCAGGCGAGAGTGGTTTTTGCTCCAACCCACCAGGGGCTCCACTCCCTCGCCGTCTCGAAGGGTCCATATGAAGTAATGGGAAGTCGTCGCAATACTTCCGGGCCATGCTCGAGCCCCGATCGCTCCCATTCGCTCCAGTCCTGCTCGTTGGTTGCCGTGATTCCTGGACGCGATGACGTACACCGTCCTTTGCTACTATGGCCATGCACCGCAAGACTAATCGAGGCAAGGCAACGTCCAGACGGTGTTGCGCATCATGCACCTTGTGACTCCTATTCACCGCATTAGCTAGACAGTTGACAGTGGTTATTTGCTTGGGCTCTGCTGCCTGGAGTTGATAGGCGGTTGGCGTTTAGACTCGTATCAAGGGAGCTCAGCTGGATAGTGTCTCGGACAGCTTTGCATGAAGATACAGCGGCTGCTAGGAAAATTTAATCTCGGCGGCATTTCTATTGATAAGAGCCCGATTCCGACAGGTCACATACCAAGGTCGACTCTGTCACCTGCCGACTAGAAATCCAAGAGGTCCAATTCAATCAATGGCTCTGGTCAGCAAAGCGCTGCGGACGAGTCCCCAGAGAGCCTGAGTCTACTTACTTGATGCGGCTGGCCTTGTGCATAGGAAGGCTATTGATCATAGGTACTGTGTAGTCGATAAGGCGTGGCCATGTATCATCTACAGTCTGCAGCATCTGCATGCAAACCCGCTGATCAGCACCCGCTGGGCTTGCTCTCGCTTGCATGGGTGTAAGCTGCAACGGAGTCGGCTAGAGAGCCATGAACGCGGACTCCCGGTAGCAATAGAATAGGTAGTGTTCCGATCAGGTCTCTTCCGTACTGTTGGATACTGTTCAGACATCGGGTGACCTACATGAGCATTGCAGGTAATAGAGTATAATCCTCTGGCTTTCGAGGAAGCAACGTGTCAGTCAAGCAATTCCTTGCCCTGCAAGGTATACCACAGATACAGGTAACAGTGGGGTGGACGGTCTTCGGTATTATTGCAAGTTCTTGAAACCGCTGTAGAGCATCTGTCATGCAACCATTCTTGAACTTTTTGCGCCTCTTCGCTAGCTCTCAACTCGGGACTTCTGGAGGACCCTGTCCAAGGCATACTTAATAGCTTACGCGATAATGCAAGGGGCATAGGACATCGGAATGTGCATGTGATCAGTAAGTGGTCTCTCTATCATTAGCAACCCTAGATAGAGCCGATAAGCAGACATGCCATAGATATGCAGCTAATCCACTTTCACCTCGTCCTCGTCAGGTGACGCATGTAATCGTTTGTGTTTGCCTGGGACTTCAAGAGAACTTACGATAAGATGAATAGAGGTGGGACCAAGTAACAAATTTTTATTCTGGAAGACTCTCTCTCTACGTAGTTGAAATCGTCTCGCAAGCAGCTCCTATTTAAGGCTGGTCTGGTATAATTGAAACATATGATACATCCACCTCCCACCTACCGCTTCTTGATACTCACGTCAATGTTTCCAATAGCCCACGCCGCAACGAATACGGTAAACAGGCCAGCCGTGATGGTTACCGGCTTGCGCAGTCCATCCCACAGGGAGTAATCATACGTGATCTGTATCCCAGGATGAGTACCAGGCAATCAATGCGGGGAAAGTAGTTGCTTACCACTAATTGAGAGTCACGAGCCTCGTCTGTGAGATCCTCCACGGTCAATGTCAGCGCCGTGCGTCCCAGGGTATCCATGAAAGTCTTGTGGCTAGACAGTTGGGACTCGATCTGACTGGCACTGGGAAGACCATTGCTGGAGGCCTTCTCGATAAGCTCATAATGGACGTTCCGGGCACCTTCGGGGAGAACCACCCGCACGACGACCTTCTCGTACTGGATTCCCTCGGAAACTTTGGGTCCCTCGATGAAGGGAACCTTCAGCACGTACGAATCGGCGCCTGTGACAGCCCGGCGAAGAAACGCGGAAAGCTCGTTGTTCCACCCAATACGGAAGCTGTAGTTCCATCCTCCGAAGATCGGGTACCTGGGGCGAAGCTCCAAGGATCCCTCTCGATTCGGGACCTTTCCGGGGCGGTAACGGCTCGTGGAGACGTTGCCAATGTCGTCGGTAAAATACGGGTCCACGGAGCCGGGCTTCAGCGGGTACTTCAGCTCGCGAATAGCGGAGGACGGTAACTGCTGGTATGTACTGAGAGTCCACTCCACGCGGTTGAAGTTATTCGTGAGCTGGGAGCCGTTGTTGCGCAGCCAGTAGCGCTCTTCCGTCGCCAGGTTACCGCCCCAGTGGGACACTTCCAAGTCCCGCTCCAGCAACGAGGCAGTTAATACGGGCTTGGTGAACTCATAGCGGACACTGATCGGGTAGGTCGTCCCGGGGGCGACATTTGCCGTGTCGTAGGGCCCATACGTGTAGCTGGTACCCTGGCGCTCCGGATCCGTGCCCGAGGTGAGATCAGTGGTTGTATAATCGGGAACGTTCGTGCTGGGGAACTTGAGCTTGGTCTTTTGTGCTACCGTCGTATAAGCCGAGGGGGCGTAGGCGGAGAAGGAGTGGGCGAGGTACTGGCGATCATTCTGGTTGATGGTTGCAGGACGCGGGCTCAGGCTGTTGAGAGCAGAGTAGGAGATTCCCAGAGTGATCTGCGATGAAGGGGCCAGAGGTTGGGGAAAATGTACAACAAAGTACTGGAAGTCACTGCGAATTCGTGAAGACAGGAGATCAGCGACTGGCCGGATCAAGCAACCGTGGCTTCGGCCTCATACCATTTAACGAGCCATTGGTTGTCATTGGGGCCGACTTACCTGTTCGAGTCAAACTCAGTAGCTTCTACATCAAATCTCCCCTGCTCCGGGGCCGACTTGTCGCGGACTTCCAGCGCTCCGACCTTGTCGTAGAGGTTGGATGGGAAGGACAAGTAGTAGTCGCTCTGCGGCTGTTTGTCCACGTTCTCGACGACCACATTGACCGTTTCACGCAGATATCCCTTCTCCAGATTGGTGTTCCGGACGAGATTTACGTTCTTGAACACTTGGGGGGCCTTGAACTCGCGAGGAAGAGCCACTCGCGAGCTAGGCGCTGTCGACTCAGCATTGGCCAAGCTGGTGCTGGATAGGAACAGCCCGCACAGGGCAGTGAGTGCGGTAAAAGGCCTCATTGGGACGATGGGCGGTCTCTCGACGACCGCGCCTAGGACCAGTTACGCTCACCAGGAGATAGTCCCTAGAAGAAGTAAAAAATGAAAGGATGGGGGTGTGAGGCGGAGGAATTGCGAGGGGGAAGGACGCGCGGACTAGATGCTGATGTGTCCCGACTGGGGATTACGAATTACGTACGGAGGAAGTACAGCGACCGCCGCGGCCAAAAGTTCGTGCTTTCTTATCGCCGATAACCCGCGGTCTCCTCGCTTCGCTCACTTCCCTCTTCTCTCAGTCTCCGGGTCTCTACTTAGCTACATATCCCTCAATTCCCTCAATTCTCACTCCATCGTGGCCTTCCATGCTCGCTTCTCGGGCGGCAGCTCGATCCTGCTGCAGATCAGCTAGAGCCCTAGCAGCTTGTCGCCGTTATCACGGTCTCGCTCAGAGCAACCTCTTCAAGGTATCCGAGGAAGTCCGCGATGCAGTGGCCACCGGGAAGCCCGTCGTGGCTCTCGAGTCGACCATCTATACTCATGGTACGATCGTCTCTTTCCAGTCTGGCAAGGTTCAGCTGACATTGGCAGGATTCCCGTATCCCGAGAGCGTCGCTCTTGCATCATTACTGGAGTCGGTCGTCCGAGTCAATGGCGCCGTGCCTGCTACAATCGGAATCCTCAGTGGTGAGGCCCGCGTCGGATTGAATACAGAGGAGCTCGTCGAGCTGGCATCTACCGCGGAGAAGAAGAATGCGATGAAAGTCTCCCGGCGAGACCTCGGCTACATCTGCGGCCTGGTGGGTGGTTGTCACGCGCTTCATATGGATACCCGTCTGACAACAGTAGGGACTGGCCGGTAAGCGCCTTCATGGTGGTACAACCGTGTCTGGCACCATGGTACTTGCACACTTGGCCGGAATCAAGGTATTTGGAACCGGCGGATTAGGTGGGTGCTTCAGCTCTTGCCATACTTAGTGGTGCTGATCGGTCATAGGTGGTGTACATCGCGGGGGCGAAAACTCTATGGATATCTCGGGTACGTCAACCGAGTAATGGAATGGGTCACCGGCTAACCGTAGCAGCTGATCTGACTGAACTGGGACGAACGCCGGTGGCGGTTGTCAGCTCCGGGTGCAAGAGCTTCCTAGACATCCCACGTACGCTTGAGTACCTTGAAACGGAGGGCGTCTGCGTGGGAACATTTGCAGATGACCGTCAAGGCTCTGTGGATTTCCCTGCCTTCTACACGCGGGACAGCGGGCTCAAGAGTCCAAAGGTCATCCAAAACGAGGCAGAAGCAGCGGCTATTGTCTGTAAGTGATACCTCCCGGTTTGCAGATACTTCTTCGTGATGAGTTTTTTTTTTGGAGCCGGCTTCTTGAGGAAAGGCGTGGATGGCCTTGGTTCTTGCCATTAACCATGCTGCAGATGCCCAGTCGCAAATCCCTGTCTCATCGGGAATTCTTCTCGCCAATCCCGTGCCTCTTGAGCACTCCGTTCCGAAGAATGAGATGGACGATATCATTGACGAAGCCCTTCGCCTTGCAGAGGTTGAGGGCTACCATGGAAGTGACAACACGCCATTTGTGCTGTCCAAGATCAAGGAACTCAGCGGGGGAAAGAGTGTGATCGCCAACCGAGCTCTAGTGGAGGCGAACGTGAAGCGTGCAACCAACGTGGCCGTGGAACTCTCCAAACTGGAGCGGTCAGGGGGGTCGCTCAATGAACGGTGAGCTGCCCCTCGTGCGTCTCAGACTCGGGATATCCTAATTTTAAGATGGTCTGCGCAGACACATGCCAGCTATCTCAGTGACCAGCAGGGCTGACCAAGCGACTTCAGAAACAGATCTGGAGCATTCGCCCAGTCAAGATTCGCTTAAGCATCTTGCGAAGGCCGATGTCCTTGTGGCTGGCTCCCTGGCAATTGATCTTTCCTGCGACTTTGCCCCTGCGGAAGTAACCAGCACCACGCCCGCTCTGCAAACATCGAATCGCGCCGTCATCGGACAGAGCCTAGGGGGCGTTGGACATAACGTGGCCATTGCGGCCAAGTATCTCGACAGCTCCGTGCTTTTCTGTAGCGTTGTTGGCGACGACCTAAGTGGCCAAACCGCGCTGACCAGTCTTCAGCAAGAGGGTCTCTCCACGAGCGGCATCAAGATCCTCCCGGCATCATCCGGGGCGCGTACGGCCCAGTATGTAGCGGTCAACGATGCGAAGAAAGACCTGGTAGTGGCCATGGCAGACATGGGGATCATGGAGCTACCGGAGCAGACACTGGACTTTGACGGGTTCTGGGAGCCGATGATGTCCCGTGCGCAACCTCAGTGGGCGGTGGTGGACGCCAACTGGAATGCGGAGATTCTGGGAAAGTGGGTAGCCCTAACCAAGAAGCACGGTGCCCGGGTGGCCTTTGAGCCGGTCTCGACCGCGAAAAGCAGGCGTCTTTTCGGGTCGGCCATCGGGCCGTCGGACTGTGTCCCCAACCACAGCATCAACCTGGCGGCGCCGAACCAACTTGAACTGGCGGCGATGTACATGACGGCGCGGGAGGGCGGGCTCTTTGACTCGGAGGGATGGTGGCACATCATCGACGCCATGGGGATGTCGGCGTCGGGCTCGCGGGAGCGGCTCGTGGCGATGACGTCGGCAATGCTGGTGGACCAGGGGATTCCGCAGCAAAGCATCCAGCTGCTCCCGTTCATCCCGTGCATAGTCACGAAGCTGGGGCCCCAGGGGGTGCTGCTGACACAACTGCTACGGCCGGGGGATGCGCGGCTGACGAGCCCGGAGTCGGCGCCATACATTCTGTCGCGGGCGTCGACAGCGGAGGGTGGAGTCGGGGGCGTGTACCTGCGGCTGTTCCCCCCGGCGGCAGTGCTGGAGGAGGCGGAGATCGTGAGTGTAAACGGGGCAGGGGACACGCTTCTGGGGGCGGTGGTGACGGGGCTGGCACGGGGACGGGCGGTGGAGGAGGTGATTCCGGGGGCGCAGAAAGCCAGTTTGTTGACGCTGCAGCAGGCGGGGGGGGTGAGCGAAGCGATTAGCCAGGTGGTGTTTGACTAGAAGTTCTAGCTAGAGCAGGTACGGAGTACTGTGTCAGGATACAAACATACGCACTCTAACAAGACAGCACATATTCCAGTAACATATGATGCCGTTCGATTCATTCATGCATGCAATCCAAATCAACATAACCCGCCCACCATCAGACTACCATCCAAATATATATTTTACGTACGTACCCTTACGACAAAACCCTCTCGACCCCTTCCCCCCCAACAACCGGTAACCTTTCCACGGTCCTCCTGCCCAACAAATTCTCACCCGTAGCCACGAACCCCGGCGGCACATACATCGGGTCCAACAAGCCAATCTGGAGCAGCACGCTGGCCTGATCCCAGTATACATTCAAGCGGGCAAGCTTCCCGGCACAGAAACTGGCGGTCATGACGAGGGCGATACGCACTGGGCGATCGGTGGGCGGGACATGTGGAAGCAGCCATGGTATTTCGTGCGTGTGGGTGAAGGAAAGGAGGAGTTCGTCGACGATGCGGTCTGGTCCGGTGGTGCGGGAGAGGAGGCGGATGGTTAGGGTGGGAGGCGAGAGGGGGAGAAATTGAGAGGTGTAGAATTTGGTAAGGGATTTGGGAGTGTTTGCTATATCTATTAGTATGTACATGTGCGTGGGTGTATGGTATAGAGAGAAGAGGTAGGTGGGTTTTGGGGGGTGGGGGTTGAAAGGGTATGTATGGGTTGTGTACATACCACCAGCACAAGTAGGCACACAATTCACCATGGGATTCTCCTCCACTGTGTACGTCTCAGTGGCATTCCCAGTACTATTATTGATACCACCTGGCGATCTTCCACTTCCACTTCCACTTCCGGGTCCGCTTCCGCTTCCACTTCCACTTCCACTGTAATTGTTATCAAGAGCGAGACTCTCCAGCTGCACGCCCATCCCACTACCCACCATTAACCCCACGATTTCCGCCGCGCGACGACTGCGCTCATCTTCCTCATCTCGTGCCCTGGTATCAGGATCAGCATCATCGCCCGCAGACGAGGTCGAAGCCGGGGTTGATAAACACCGCCAGTACTCCTCCCAGACGGCTTCGACCTCGGCCACGCGCCACCGCGTGCCGGGCCACCCGAACCCGCGCTTCAGGGATTCCAGAGCGCGCGACCAGGCCAGCCGCGCGGAGAGGCGGTCGTAGGAGGGTGAGCCCGGTTCGGCGAAGCGGGCGGACGACTCCGGGTAGAAGAAGAAGTGGCAGCGGTGGCGTTTGCGGGTATGGATGGCATCGGTGGAGGGGTTTGTCTTGGAGGATGCGCCGGCGAGGTGAACTTGGATGGACAGAAGGGGCACCGAGGGGGGATAGGTGGTTGGGGTGGTGGTCGAGGAGGTGGTCGAGGCATCCGGGGAGGTGGTGGAGGTTATGGAAGTGGAGATGTACTTGGAAGGGGTTGGGCCGTCGGGGTAGTATGCGACTAGGGCGCAGAGACGGGGAAAGGGGTTGGTGGCGGTGGAGGATTGGTGATGGGATTCGAGGAGGAGGTGGGCGGGTTTGTTGTATGCTGGATGGATGGTATTCAGGCTTAGTATGATGGATGGATGGATGGATGGATGGGGTTGGGGATGATGGCATGAACATACCAACCACCGCGTATCGCTCCCCCGGCTCGAGATCATCTTCTCGTTCGTGCAGCAGATTCTCAAGCTCTTTGCGATCGCGGTCCAGGTCATCATGACTGCCCCCGGGGAAAGGCAGATACTCGACGTTGAAGCCCTCGGCGCGGAAACGCGACAGGATGCCGGGATCGAAGTCGGGGGAGTCGGAGGTCAGGTACAGGCGCCGGGGCGGGCAGGCCTCAGCCTCGCGACGACGCTTCTCGCTGGCGGACAGGGTCGGCGGGGATTGCAGCGGCGTGGTGCTGGAGGCGCTGCTGCGGCGACGACGAAGGTGCTGGCGGAGACGTTCCATGCTGGACAGATGGATGTCCCCCGGCCGTCCATGGTCGGACGCCCCAGCATCCCGATTTTAAATACTCGGATACTCGGGCAGGCATTCTGGGCTGACGTCGACGAGTTGCCTGGTCTTGGACGACGTGGATCCAGCCAGGGGTGCGAGAGACTTCTGTCCGGTTGGCTTGGAGATCAGCCCATTCATTGGCAGCATCATGCATGCATTGCATTCTATCGCATCTATCGTGACGTCGGTTCTATGTACAAACGCCCCTCTCGTCGTCTATCGCGGGCAATAGATATAACACAAAAGCAGCAGCAGCAGCAGCAGCAGCAGCAGCGCCACCCTCACGACTCAAACCGGGTCAGCCAGCGAATCTGCCCCCTTACATCCTCCGGACATGCCTCATCCTCCTTGCCGGCCAGATAACAGGCATACGCCGGGCGCTGCAGGCTGCGGCGCGCCACCTCGCAGTCGACGCGGATGTCCTCGACTAGGGCCTCCAGCGACACATAGTCAAACTCAGGGCGGATGTAGCCCAGGAGGAGGAGATTAAGGGGGGTGCCATAGAAATCGGGCAGTTTGTGGAAGGTGACGGGGCCATCGACGGTGGCAGTCGGTGAGGGCGCCGACAGCGGCGGCATGAGGTGGATTTCCTATATCCAGCAAGAGGAATCAATCAACCAGTCCGGAACTCACGCCCGAGCGACAAGGTGGGGGAGGGGGGGGGGCAGCAGACGTACAATCGACTTGGTCTCGTTCTTGTAGAAGGGGTTGTATCCAATGCTCAGCACGGCGGGCAGGATGGGCTCCTGGGAGGCGAATCGGGAGGGATCCAGGGCCACCACGCCGTAGTACACGCCCACCGGCAGATTCGGATACTTGGCCAGCTCGTCGGCCGGGATATTGGCGGTAGGGATGCCCAACTGCGGCCATTAGCGAGACGGGGTGGTGGTGGTGGTGGTGGTGGTGTCGCAGCCTCACCTCTTTGCTGCCCCGCCCAAACCCTTTGATCACCGGGCCGGACAGGCGGATGGGATACGGGGACGACGGCCCGGAGTCGGGGCCGGTGACCGGGGCGCGGGGAGTGTCTGGTCGCATGGTGATGGCGAGGCAAGTTGGTCTGGGGAAGGAGAGCAATTGATGGCGGAGGGAAGTGGAGAGATTGGCAGGGTAGAAAGAAGACAGACCGACGGCAGACAGAATGCGATGGAACGGAGATCGGCCGTATCGATAAGGCCATGCGGGGTACCTCCGGGCAGCCACCAACTGGCCAGTTCCCATGCCACTCTACATACAATGAATCATGGAGAACTATAACGTAGTATGCCTCAAGGGCAGTGGTGCATGCATTATATCGCTCAGCTCGTCTCGCTCTACGGCCATCCCCGAACATTTTGGTAACCATAACTCCTTTCCTCTAAATGTATCAGACTCGTAACGGAACTCCGCATTTACTCCATCTCAATCGTCGCCGGAGGCTTGCTGGAAATGTCATACAGAACACGGGACACTAAACTCGTCAGTACGCCTCTACCCAGAGGGGTCAGCCAGAAACTTACCGCCGTGGACCTCGTTGATGATCCGGGTCGAGCACCGGCTCAGAAACTCGTTGTCGAAGGGGAATGCCCTGGCAGTCATGACTACAGTGGGTTAGTCTAGCTCTCAATCAGATGCCCATAGTCACTTACAATCGGTCGTCTCAACCGCACGCAGAATGATGATCTCGGCGTAGACACGCTTGTCGCCCATGACACCGACAGCCTTGCTGGGGTCAAGGGCGGCGTAGGCCTGCGCAATCTGGTCGTACAGACCAGCCTCACGGATCATGGAGATGAAGATGTGGTCCGCCTTGCGGGCAATCTCCACCCGCTCCGGAGTAACCTCGCCCAGCACACGGATGGCAATACCCGGGCCGGGGAAGGGGTGGCGCATCACCAGCTCGTGCGCAATGCCCAGCTGGCGGCCCAGAGCCCGGACCTCATCCTTGAACAGCTCGCGGAGAGGCTCGATCAGCTTCATGCCCTGACCGTCAATCATGCGCTCTGGTCCAAATTAGCACACGTATCACAGCAAGGAGGAAAATGATCACTCACGAGGCAGACCACCAACGTTGTGGTGGGTCTTGATGGTCGCCGAGGGACCCTTGAAGGAGATGCTCTCGATAACATCTGGGTACAGGGTGCCCTGGAGGAACCACTTGATCTTGGCACCCTCGTGCTCGGCCTTGGCCTCGATCTTCAGGGCTTCCTCCTCGAAGACGTCAATGAAGGTGTTACCGATAAACTTGCGCTTCTTCTCGGGCTCAGTCACGCCCTTGAGGCCGTCCAAGAAACGCTTGGACGCGTCGACAACGGTCAGGTTGATGCCCAGGTGCTTGTTCAGGGTCTCCTCGACGATGTCGCACTCGTTCAGACGCATGCAACCGTTGTTGACGAGCACGGCATGGAAGCGGTCGCCAATGGCCTCCTTCATCAGCTTGGCGGCCACGGTGGAGTCGACACCACCGCTGACGGCACCCAGGACGTGATCGGTCTCACCCACCAGCTTGCGGATACGAGAGATCTCCTGGTCGACGAAACGGGACATGGTCCAGTTCTGTTGGGCATCGCAGATGTCGACAGCGAAGTTCTTCAGGATGGTGGCACCCAGGGGAGTGTGAGTGACCTCGGGGTGGAACTGGACACCGTAGAGGGGCTTGGACATGTGGGCAATACCGGCATACTCGGAGTTGGAGGTGGTGGCAATGGTGTGGAAGCCCTCGGGGAGCTTGACCAACTTATCACCGTGACTCATCCAGACCTTGATCTGTCCCTCGAGGCCGGCGAAGAGCTTGTCGACGTGACCCTGGTCGTCGAGTTTCTTGGCGTGCAAATCGGCGTGGCCATATTCACGCGCGGTACCGGCGGAGACGTTGTCCTTGCTCAGGCGGTAGGCAATCTCCTGGAGACCGTAGCAGATTCCGAGAATGGGAACGCCGAGGTCGAAGACGGCGGGGTCGACGTGGGGAGCTACCAGCGAATTGATGAGTCTGAGGGGATTTCCCGAGGGTGTGGAGAGATTCGCTTACCGCCGTCCTCGTAGACACTGTAGGGGCCACCGGAGAGGATGATACCCTTGGGCTTGAAGGGGAGGTCGGCCACCTTCTGGGTGCATGGCAGCATCTCACTGTAAACATTGATCTCTCGCAGTCTCCGGGTCAGGAGATGCGTCTGGGAGGGGAAGTCAGTAAGGGTGACTCAGGGCGGGGTAATTGATGCTGGGGAGGGGAGGGGAGGGGAGGGAAGGCGTACGTATTGAGAACCAAAGTCAAGAATGAGGATGGTGTCAAAGGTGGCATGGGGAACCTCCTGGTCGGCCATGGTGACGGTATGGGCAGTCAGAACGACCAATTGCTTGAATGGAGAGGAGACAGCTGAGAAGACGGAACTGCTGCTGAACCCAAGAGATGATCTTGTTTCCGCCTCGCCCCCCCGAAATTTTTTCCTGCCGGGCGGTGAGCGCGCCGAACGCGAGCAGCCATAGAAGCCTGCCAATCAGATCTAGTAAACTTCAGGGCGGTCAGAGAGATAACGCTAACTGTTATCGGGTGCTCACGTGCCGGTGAAGAAAGAAACCGTCCAGCCCTAAATTCTTGCGCCAACCTGCAGTGCCCTTGATCCGTTCGTATACCACCATTGACCATCTCTAAAAAGATTCTCATGTGACTGTACTCTATACCTATAGGTCGATAGCCTCCTGGGCAGACCTCGGACTGAAAACTTATCTAACCCGATTCAAGTAAGACTATCCACCAGCGCAGCAGAATACGAGGCCCAAATTAGCCATCCAGTGAAGCAGCGAGTCCAGTGGAGCCATCTTCCGAACCCCTGGGACTAACTTTGACTAGCGGGGGGCTAACTCCGGCTAAAAGTCGAGTTTATTCGGGCAGGGTTCTGCAACGCGCCCTCTTGAGCCTGAGCCAGTGAGCCTAAACCGGGGCAAGTAACATGCCCACGCCACCTCATTTCCCGGTGCTGAGAGGAGCCAATAATATTGGGGGATGCAGGAGATGCAGGAAATGCAGGAGCGTCGAGGACTGGTTTCTCCGATGGAATGAGGCCAATGTAGAGCCTCATGTTGGTTTTGTGGAAACTGGAAGGGTCTTCAGGGGTCCAAATGTTGGCTACTAACTATTAGGTAGTTGGTCTTGGTCTCTTGGAAGCCTGCAGTGGCCTGGTGCCTGAGACTGAAAGATGAACTTTGGGGGGGGGGCGGTGTTTGCTTTAAAGGAGTGTTTTCGCCCACTCTTTCCTTCTTCTTCTTCTTCTTCTTCTTCTTCTTCTGCTTCTTCTTCTTTTCCTTGTCTTAGTGATTCCATCCACATTCGGTATACAGTAATAGGTACCTACTCCTAGGTACTACTACATACCATTTCTCCTATTGCTATCATTAGTACTAGTACTTCCTCACAACCAACCTATCAAAATGCCCACTCTAATCACCAACCTCGTCACCCTCCTCACCCTCACCCTCCCCTTCACCACCGCCTCCACCACCACCCTCTCCCTCTTCAACCCCGGCACCACCAGCACCATCCCCCTCACCTCCATGCAAGCCAGCGTCGTTGCCGCCAACCCCACCGCCACCACCCTGGCCGTTACCTGCGCCACCTCCTGCATCTTGCCCTCGCCATTCACCATCACCGAAGGCCCATCCACCTTCACTCTCAGCGCCGTCTACACCATCAGCACCCAAGGAGTGCAAGAGAAAATCACCCTTGTCGAGGACTGTGCCATCACGGGCAGTACGCAGGGCGCGTCGTGCTCCGTGTCTTATGGCGTGGAGGCTACCTATAAGGGAGTAAGCACGAGTACGAGCTATGCGACGGTGACTCAAATACCGGCCAGTGAGATCTTTTATGAGGCGATAGAGGTTACTGGGGGTGTGGACAAGTTGGATAGTTCCGCGAGTTCGACTGAGACTGGGACTGGGACTGCAACAGCGACTGGGGCTGCGACTGGGGCTACGACTGGGGCTACGACTGGGACTGCAACTGGGACTGCAACTGGGACTGGGGGTGCGAGTGCGAGTGGGACGGGGGCTGTGGCTGTGGCTGAGGGAGCTGCAGGGAGAGGAGTTGTCGTGGGCGGGAAGGGGCTTTGGGGAATGGTTGTGGGGGTTGTGAGTGTGGGGATGGGGATGGTGTTGTTGTAGATGGAGTATTTCGTTGTCTTGGATGATTGGATCCTGCCGGAGATATTTAGAGTAAATGGATATCAGTCCATGTACGTATACATCATGAACAGTGGTATCTTCAAAATCTCTGATAGATTCGTATTAAAGGCTGCTGCAATCCCCTAATCCATGCTCATCAACACGTAGCAGAACATACATTCACTATTTACAGCCCTGAACGCCAGACGTCCAGGCTCTATGGCAATCAAAGCTCCATGGGAATCATACAACACGTATGTACCAATACAAACATCCGGCTCCGCAAAGAGGGCCCTTTGGAATCCGGCCCGGGTATGAACTGAAGGCTGAAATCAAAACAAATCCTGTGGGTCATGACAGGATCAAATGCACGGTAAGAACTACTCCTCGTTAGCGCATCCACACCACAGGGCACAGACATCCCAGGCACACTCACATTCATCACAATCAACATTGGAATGTCGAACACGTCTCGCTTGACTGTCCAGCAGTATGCACATTCGACCTTCCCATCCTTGAACCCCAGCTGGTTCATCCCCGCCTCGCTGGCAATGCCCCCCTTGCGCAGGTGGCTATTCCACCGGTGCCCGTCCTCCGCCGCCGCCCCCTCCATGTCCTCCTTTGTCTTGTACTTCAGCAGCTTGCACGTCGTCATCACGCTGCCGCGCGAGTCCCCGAATGCCAGCCGCGCAAAATCCTCGTAGAACTGCACCACACTGTCATCATCCAGCAGCTCCGCCAGGAACACTGGCTGTGGCCGCCCGGGCGTCGGATTATCCACCGTCGACCGTGGCGTGAAGCTGCGAGACGAGGCCCCGGAGGTCGGCATTGCAGAGCCCCCCGTGTTGACGTTAAGATTCGGCTCTTTGCCAAGGAGGACATCTTTCTTCCACCCCGTCAGGATACTGAACTCCTTGCCCACGGCGGCGATCTCGCCCGTCCGTCGGCATACAATGGTTGGTGTGCCGCACGCGTTAATGAAGTCCTCGTACTCCCACAACGTCCGCTGGAAGCACTTCTCCATGAAAATCAGGTCGTCTCGGTTGAGCGTCTTGGTCGTCGCAATGAAGGACGGCCGGATCGACGCCAGCGCCTTGGCAATCTGTAGCGTCTTCTGGGGCGGGAAGCGCCGCTGGATGAAGGCTGTGAGGTTGTGGAACCGACTCGTGTAGGCGTACGGCTCCTTGACGCTTTCGTAGATGGCCGACGGGTTGCGTTGGCGCCGCCGCGCGCCGACCTGCAAGTGCTGATGCTTCAAGCTCGGCGTCGTGATCATCGGCCGTTGTGCGTGAGGAGCCAACCCATTCGACTTGCTGACGACCACACTGTGAAATGGGGAGTCCTCGAGTGGGGTAGGCAGCTGCGGGCTGGTGGTCGCTCCGGGGCTATTGAAACTGCCGGGCCCGCTTTCAATGGCAAAGGCATGCGGTGCATCGGCCTTGGTCAGATGCCCGGGTATCGCGCTGCCTTGCCCAGATGGAGGATAGACCCCCGGCAGATGCGGCTGTCCCGGAGCCTGCCCGCTGGGCCATTCGTTCAGGAGCGGGTCCCCAAACATAAATGGCTGCTGGTTACCCGGGCTTTCGCCAAAGCCAGGGGCACCGGTGATCGGAGTCGAGGCGAATTGCGCCGAGCCACTGCGCCCCATGGACCCTCGCTGGGTGGCAGAATCGCTCGGGGAGTCCCCTGCACCAGTCGCCATGTGTCCCAGCATGCCAAACTCCAACGCACCGTATCGGTTCTCGAAGTTCATACTGGAAAGGTCGAAGTTGAAGAGCGCGGGGTCGCTGGGGTCAAAGAACGGACCGGCGAACGGATTCTGGCCTTGGCCCGGTGGCCCGGAGACGCCCGTGGTAGGCGGTTGCGGGTTGACCGAGGATGACAGGCTATTCGCTCGCGCGGTCGGGGTGGGCTTGAGGTTGAATGTTGGGGAAACCGGCGATTGAGAAGGGAACGAGACCGGGTTGATGGGAGTCTCTTGGTAGACAAAGGTCGTCGACTGGGGCGTGGAATAGAACGTTGCGCCGCCCTGCGGAGCATTGGCGCCGTTTCGGGGCAGCGGCATGCCGTTTCGCATGGCATTATTGTAGAAGCCTCCACCAATCCCAGGCATCAATGCCCCGTCCGGCGCATCGTGGAGGTACTTGGCCTTTTTCCGGACCCCGTCGTGACACGCATCTTGAAGACCGCGCTTAATGCACCGCTGACATGGTCGCTCATCACCTATGCGGAAAGATCGATTAGTTGCAAGTTCTCAGTCAGGCGCACGTGTGACACTGTGTGTCATTTCGACAGCGCAAGTAGAGGTGCTGGACAGATGGTTACTGGAAGAAAACGGGGGGTCGTGAAACGCAAGCAAAGCTGGAGGCAAGGTCAGTCGTACCGCAAGTCAAATGCGCCCTCTGGCAAGCAAAGCAAGCCCGTCGCGCCTTCTTCCTCCGGGGTCTTGACGGGTCTTTCGGGTTGGGTTTCTGGCCGTTCGCTGGGGTCCCATTCGCAGCTCCATCGCCGTTGGCCTCGGTCTTCGGCTTCTCGGGCTGGTCTCCGGCAGCGCTAATCTCCTGGCTGGCTTCCGTGCGCTCGGCCGACGGAGCTGGAGAACCTTGATCCCTCGCGTCCACGTTCATATCGACAGCCAATTTCAACCGAGGCATGAGCGAAGCGACCGTTGTCAATCCGTTCGACCGTGTGCTGCTCCGCGTCGTAGTCCGAAACGACGGCGAAACGACGAAGCAGCTGCAGAGTCGACGCGCGCGTGCCTTGCCACTTTATCCTTCGAGCAAGACGGACGTTGTCGCGTTGCGAGCCCGCCAGTCGACTGTGCCGCTGGCCAATCTCACCAGGCTTTACTCTGGGAGTCGCAAATAGATCGTCCCTTGGCGGATCGGGCGCATAGAATCCACACGACGACGGCTAGGAATCGGTAGGAGTAATAGTAGGGACGGAACGAACAGCGGAACCGACCACGAAGGACCTTGCTTGCGTGCTCAGTCAGCACCAGTCAGGAAGGACGACTTTTGCGAATTGCGCCGAGAAGTATTCCTGGGAAATAGTCTCGTAAAATGCGGACGGGGTCAAGATTTTGCCCTTCTTTTCTTTTCCTTTTTTCTTCTTTATTTTTTTATGTCACGCGGCAAGTAGTGGCACTGTGGCAGTGAGTAGCGCAGGTGGAGCGAACGACTTGCCGGGGCTGCGGGGAAAACCTGTTGTGTTAAAGGGTCGAGATGGAGCGGATCCGATGATGGGCAGAAGAGGCGCAATGCGAGCGCAACTCGAGGAGGGGAGATATATACGGAAGAGGGGACAACAGGAGGGCATGAAAGGAGGGGAGAGGTGAAGATCAGATGCGAGTCGAGGGAAACGCGGGGAAGGATTGGAAGAGAGGAGAGGAGAGGAGGAGAGAGGAGGAAGAACACAAGAGGCCCGTGGTGATTGATTGACTGACTGGACGGACAAACCGACAAGGAAAAAAGCCAGCAGAAAAAATAGAAAGAGGGAATTTGCCCGGGTCGCAAAAGGCACAAAATAGAGCGATTACGATTACCGTTCGGTATCGTTGTGTAAGATGCGATACGATACCGGACAGGACGCCCTGAGCTGCCCTGAGCCTCGCCAGCGGTCGTGTGTCTCTTTCTCTCCACCGCTGCTGGGCGATGACTTGGTCTGACTCACCTCGCATGAGCCGTGCAGGTTGGGTCGGTTGATACCTATGTCTCAAACTTCCACCTACCTACCTCCCTGCTGACTGCGAACTACGAACTGCTCCGGGTTGGTCGACTCGGGCCGGCCTCGGGGACCATCAAATTTGAAGCGCTCAACTGCCAGGCCTCGTCGGTACGGAAATAACGACGGCACTCGAACGGGTTTTACATGTGCTTCCTTCCAGCGGAACGACCGCATGTGACGGCAGGCAGATGCAGATACCCTTCGGTTGGGCTTCTCCCGAGTATGTATCTATGTAAGTAGCCATCATGAAACTGCTGGCCTGTTAAGCTCGAGGGAGTTCGGCTGTGTAATCGGTCCGCCATTCATTCTGCATAGCACCCGCGGGAGGGGAAAGCAGGTAGCCGACCCCAGAGGGAAGATTCTCCAGACCCCTCCATCTACTTGAGTCTACTCCGTACGGAGTAGGCAGTATGCCATGAGAGCATATGCAGTTATGCACACACCATCCACCTCCGTCGGCATTGACTGGTTCGGCCCGTTCCGATCACAAAAAAGCAATGTCTATCTACATACAATATACGGAGTAGACAGAGAAGGACTCGATTCCATATTATTCATGACATACCACGCTCTAGCAGTGGGCATCGAATCCACCGGCCACGCGAGATGCTACTGACTATGGCTATGCACTAGTCCCAGCCTTATTTAACCACTACCATCAAGCAATGATGGGAGCGGCTGGTGCACCCAAGATCCCGAGTTGTCTGGGCAAAGAATACTAAGTACTCCAATAGGCAACACAGTGCGGGCCTCGTTTGATTTTGACCTACTAAGTACGTACTACTAAGAAGGGCATTTCACGGTTTCACCCCCACGGTGTCAGTCCGCCTGTCGCTAGCCTAAGGCTAAAACATACTGTCCCTCTCAACCGTCATTACCATACCGGTATAAGCCACCGTCTACTAGATAGTATCTAAGTAGTAATTATGTCCTAGAAGTAGTATCTAGTACATACCTAGTAGTAAGTAAATAGGTTCTTCCCTCCCACGTGTATCTCCACGCTGCCGGCAACTCTCAAACTTCCAAACAAATCCCTCAACATTCACCCGACTCACCAATCACAACCCTCGCCGCCATCGCCATTCAAACTTCGCAATCCAGGCGCCATTTTCGAGGCCCTGATTTGCGTGTGGCCACGAGCCATTTCTCCTGTCCGTCCGGGGTCTCCCGGCTATGTCGTCGCGAGCCCCGGATTTTTCCGACAAATAGTATGAAGCCCTCGTATCGTCCAGTGTGACTGTTCAGAGATTGCCTCGGTTAGTGTGGGACACTGTGCCATGCTTTGGTTTCATGTTGGATCGGGCATATGGCCAGCGACGTCGTGTCGCGAAGGATGCCATGGGCTCGGCGAGGTTCCTGCCTACTACTAATGGGACGCAATGTATACTTACTCCGTATGGCGGTGTCTTTCTAGCAGTCGTATGGCCTTGCACAAATGTGGATCATTATTATTGACGTCCCCGGTGGCTTTTCCGCATACTACTAATTACTCCGTAATTCTCTAGCTTATAACTCTTGCTCGACAGCTCGAGACGTCCTTCTGCTGCCACCATCCGTTCGTCTTGCGAGCCTGCCATCGGTCCAACATTTGGCGGGTGCCACCCCTTGCCCGTGTATGCATGTCTATTATGATGAATGTCGCTGTGGCTATCGTTGACCGACTCTTGAGCACGTGCCCCTCAAGGGTTTGGGGATTGTACAAAGTGAAAGAGTATGCGCTGCATCATAGGTATGTATACCTTGGTCGCAATGGGGTGGGTATCTACCGCGCAGCAAATCGGCTCTTCTGCCGGATCCGATTACCGTAGCGGAAAAAGATATACCTGCCCGGCAAAACCGTCATCAGCGCTCGTGCCCACCTACCATACCCCACAATTTATCACTCTCAAGGGGGGTGTTCGAGGTAGAATCCGATCAGACTGCAACGGGTGTGCCATGCCACCACAGCTGCAGAGCGACCGCGCGGAAAGTACCTTGTTCAACGGTGCACAGATGACGGTTACACGCAGGAAATCGAGCACTTACGGGAATGGAGCCATGACAAGCGTCAGAAATGCAAGCAGGGAGGTTGCCCAGTGATATCCGAGATTATTGTACACTAGAGCCAACAGTTAGCATCTGGCGGTCACGGTCTGATGTGCCATGTCTAGCCGTATCACTGGGGTCGACGTAACGAGCGGTATGTCTTCGAATAGACCCGCAGTGCATCCTCGCAACTCCACGCAGTACATGCCAGCTATCAATGAGACCGAAGAACTTACTCTGTATCCCGAAAAGAGGGAAAACACCGCCAAAAATGGAACGAGCGAAGCTGTTGGCCGCCAGAGCACTTGCAGCATAGGTTGGGTACGCATCAACCAAGAACGTGAAGACTCCCGAGAACACCAGAATGGTCCTATGAGGGTCAGTCAGGAAGGCCCACGGCACGTAGCATGAGCTTTAACATGGCGCCCAGAGTCATTGGAAGTCGCGGCACTCACCCCGCTCCAAAGAACGCACTGCCGATGAGCGGTACAATCCAGTGCACACGAGAATAGATTGTCCAGGCAAAGATGAACAACCCTATGGTGACAAGCGGCCCCCCAGCAATCGCTGCATTGAGTCGGTTAGAGCCACCGTCCTGAGCTATGCACGGACTAGACATACCTGGGGGTAGCCGCCACTCGGGTTGAAAATCGTCAGACCTTCCCACAGCCTTTTCGTGTTCCAGTTCCAGGAGAACGTAATTGCGGCGCCATAGGGGGTCGGAGAAGATGGCAAAAAGCATGCCGACGAACAGACCGAGGAAGCAAAGACCACGTTGCCACAGCTCGAAGCCGTACACAGTGTCAAAGACTAGTTGGAACGCACCGAAGAAGAGATAGAGTATACCCAACAGGATGGCCGAGAATATGCAGAGGTTCAGACACATCGGTTCCAACGTCAGAAGAAGCAAAGGTCTGTATATCGACCGCAAGACGGTCTGCGCTACCGAACGATGCAACTTCTCAATAGGAGCCTGCCATCTATCATCACCAGTCTCCTTGCGAAGCTTCCGTGCTTTGCGTCTCAAAAGCCTAAACCGAGTCAGTCCATTTAAATTCTCATGAAGTGTGAACACCCTTACACTGGATGATATGTTTCGGGGACGAGGAAGACAATCAAGACTAGCAAAATGCCTGTCCAGATGAGAAGTACATAGAATGTCCACCTCCTGTTAACCATGAAGGTAGGTAGTCAGTTCTGACCAACTTCACAGGTGAATGGGAAGCATACCATGTGGTGAATTGATTGATGAATCCCCCGACCCTGCAACCTTTGTCAGCAGATGCAACAACAGGCTATAACGCTCAAGAAGCACCTACAGTGGGCCCACTTCGGGACCAATGAATGGAGAACTCGTGTAAAGCATCATCGGCGCACTCAGCTCATGACGAGCAAACAGATCACCCACTGTGCCACCGGCGACGCTGAGAAATGCGCTCCCGGCGATACCATTAAAAAACCGGCAGATGATTAGTGTCTGGATGTTTTTGGCCACGGCGCATGGTATCAACCATATCAAGAAGAATGTGAACGAGCAAATATAGATCCGTCTTCGGCCATAGAACTGGCAAGAGTCAGCATAGTTACCCCTCACTAAGAACGAGATGCTAGACGGATGTACAAACCTCCGACAAAGGCCCTAGGAAAAGCGGCCCGACCGCTTCGGAAAACCCATGTCAGTGTCTCTGATATTGGAGAAGGAGAGATTCATCACTTACCCAGGCCCCAGATGAAGAATGACAGGCCGAGGGTTGCGACCAACCGAGAGCAGTTGAATTCTTTGGTGATCTGATCGTAAGTGACGGTATACATTGATGAAGTACAAGTCCTTCGAGCAATAATCAATCAGCGCCAAGCAGGTAGCAGGAGTTCGGCCATCAGACACATACACGCATAGGGAGCCTGATGAGCAGATAATCACAACGAGCCACCGTCTTAACAAATTGAAATTGCGGGGGTTCATGGGGTCATTTTCGTCCCAACCGACTATCAAGTCATCTGTTTCATCAGTAGCACCTCCTTCTTTCCGACTAATGACTCTCTCCGCAGCGGCTTCTTCGTCGGTAGTATGGAAGCTGTATCCGTCGTTCAAGGACCAACTACGCTCGAGGGGATGTGATGAAGCGGACTGATGTCTGCGTAGTCGGTCTTCATGGGAAGGAACTCGAGCACTAATGGGAGCGAAAGTTCCATCGACATTGCCCTCCAACTTTTCCTCTTCCAGATCCTCACCATCACTTTGTTCAGTACTTGGGAAGCGCTCGCCCGAGCAGATGCCTATGCTTTCTCTCGAGCGTTCTGCCCGCTCAGTCGAAGACATGATTGACCAATCCACCGGAGAGATTTCACCACGCGCACTTTCTTTTAGTCTAGTGTCACCTATTCTGTGGGCTCCTTTTGAAATGGAGGACAACCAATGAGTCGACTCGGGAGATGTGAGCTGAGACCGGCCGATCTGCAGCGGAAGCTTAACGGTTGGGTCACTCGGGGAATTCTTTAAGAAAGCTTGACGAAGCCTGACGAGGGAGGGAAGTATAAGGGAGAACTAAGAGAAGCCAGAATATTTGAGGGCCGGTGGAGCGATGGAACAAAGCACAAGAGAGGGGGTACCTCGATCAACTTATAGATAGAGGGATCTCGGCCTCATAATCCCAACTAGATGAGACCAGTCCGGATGCAGACGCCGATCAGGTTCATGGAGCGTTCCTGAGTGGATTGGGGCACTTAGCGAGTTGCAGGTCTGGCGATGGAAAGCGAAAGTTGGTCGAGCTAAGCAGATTGGCTGATCTGGCTGATCGCTGGAGGGATTTAGTGTCGCCCTCGGCCTCGGGGGTGAGCCGAGTGACGGACTGAAGTGATAGATAACGTCCGAACCGCGATAAAGACACGAATCTGGACAGTTGGTCAGTCCAATCTCGCCATATTCCGGAACGGAATCGCAATTCCGGACGCAGACTTACTAATGCCTGCCTGACTGCCTGTAGTCTGTACTCTGGTCAGTTCATGATGGGTGCCGGGGAAGAACCACCCGAGGCGCGAGCATTCGGCAGCCGTGACGTGACGCCAGGAATCCACCCCCAGCCATGGAAGCTTTCCCCACATAAGTACATAAGACACTGAAGTATTGCCGATTACTAGATCTCGAAACAGTCGAATTAGCAGCAATTTACTCCAGGCACAAGACAGAGAACCATGGCATCAAAAGCAGAGATACGCCCCATGCGTATCGCTGGGCTAGATTAGTATTCGATAGACCTCTATTACACTAAGCTACCTATCGTCCAAACATGACGTTCGCCCAACGACCAACAGAGCAATAATCCCAGCCCTCCGGCCGAATCATGATAGCCGCCTTTTCAGTCCCTGAAAAGAGAGAAAGAACACATAATTCAAATCAAAGAACCCCGAAACTCCAATGGATTCACACAAGATAATCGCCCCCATACAAAAGCCCAAGATTCCCGGGGCAGCCTAGCCCGCACTAAAGCACAATCCAAAGAGAACGCAACTGTACATGAACCCGACGCCGGAGCCAAATCATCTAGGCCGCGGCCTCGACGGGCTGCTGCTCAGCCTCCTCATTGGCACCCTCTTCAGCCCAAGAGCCCCAGAGGGCACGCTTGCCCCGGATCTTGAGAGGCCCACCCACCGTCTCCGGTCGTTGTTCGACTTGAACGGCGTCTTTGGTGGCCAGCACAAGGACCTCGAAGAACATCTTAGTGGCGTCGGCCTTGGATGCCTTCTTCTCCGGGAGCAGATCCTGGAACTTCACGCTCTTCTTCTGTTCCGCGGCGGATTCGCCGAGGCGCTCCCGGAGGATATGGACGGCATGCTTCGTACCAAGCGAAACTGGCCCACTGTCTTGAACGGTTGTGTCGTCGACATCCTCCAATGGTTGGTTCATCCCTTCATCATCACTCAGGCGTAGGGCATGGTCCTCCTCGTCACCAGGAAACTCGATATCGGAGCGTTGGAGGAGTGTCGAGTCGAGGCCAACACCCTCATCGATTGGCATGATGGTCTCTTCTTCGCCCAGTTCCAGCGCAGGTGCGGTGGCGGCTTCCACATCCATGTCGGCAATTCCGCTGTCGCGCTTCCGCTTGAGCTCGCCGGCCTTGCGAATAGTATCGAATGAAAGCAGATCGCGCAATTCTGGGGCCCAGCCACGTCCCCGGCCAGCACCAAGCACGTTCGACACAAAGTCACCGTTCTTCTGCATGTTCATCAGGGTCAGTAGCACGGGATCCCGAGGAAGCCACGATGAGGGCTTCAAAATCTCAGAACGATTCAGGTGTTGATCCTTGACATCCTTTTGCTTCTTATCAGTCTGCTGGTCAAGGCCCATGAGGACGACCTTGCGGCGCTTTGCACGTTGAGTATGTTGAGCGCTGAGCTCCTCGGTACCTTCATCTTCCTCTGCCTCCTCATTTTCTTGCTGTGCATTTTCTAGCGCCTTGAAATGACCCTCTGAGATTTCGCTGAGGACGCTCTCGCGCTCCAGTCTGTCATCGACATCGGGCGCAATTATATCAAAGTCGCCACCGAGATCCATGGCGTCATCCGTTTGCAGAAGGTTATCGTGTAGGCCGTCGTCCCCCAAATCCATCTTATCCAGAGGAGCGTCATCTTCGCCAAGGTCCAGTTGCAGGTTATCGACATCGTTGAACTTGCCACCATCGCTGAAGAGATCTTCCTCGACGGGGCGGGGAGCCGGGGCATCTCGACCCACTTCCATACTGAAGTCATGGCCCAGGGGTATTTCATCCTCTCCCAAGTCCAGATCAACCAAAGTGTGATCCTCGAGGCGCGCGGGTTCTTGCGAGGTGGAGCGCCGCAAGCCGGTGTCTGGGAGAAGCTGACTTCCGAAATCCATCGAGGAACCAGGCCGCTTGCCCTCGGGCTCAAGGTTGAGCGTTTGCGGCAACAGAAGGGAAGAGTCCAAATTCATAAACAAGTCCGATTCGGTAAGGACATCGGGCAGCGTGATACCACCTGGGGCAACAACCGTGGTCGTCAGGTCGTTATTGTTCGTCAACCGGAAGGCCTACGTGAGGTTATGTCAGCGAGGGATGTGCCGGATAACGAGGGGCAGCGAGATATACCATTTTGATCTTCATCAGGGCCTCGTTGCAGTCATCCAGCAGATAGCGCGCCTTGCGGCTGTAGATGCGAACGACACCCAAAAGCAGTTGACCGCTCAATCGCAGCGCCATGGGCGCCTGTCCCTGATCAACAATAGCACTCACACTGCTTTCAATGTCTGATTGCAAGATGTGCGACTTGGAAAGCTTGCGCTCCAAGTTGGCCGACAGCCAAACGCGGGCCAGCGGCCCGGTTTTCGACAGCAGGGTCTCCGAGTAGAACATGGCGCGGGGGTAATCAGGATAAAGTCCAAAAGTGATAGCAATTAGGACCCAAGAAAGAAGAGCTAGTTCAAAAACAACCCACCAAGAGCGGTGGCTGTTTGTGGTGGAAGTCCCTGGCAACCGACGGCTGGTGACGCGCCGTATCCAGAAAACAAAAGGATCAGCGACTGGTGCTTCGGCCCCCTACGGGCAGCGGGCGAGGGAGTCCACAGTGTCTTGTGGGGTGGCAGACGACGGGTCAAGTGGGCGATAAAATAGGATCGCGTAAGTTGCGATCGAAAAAAACAAGCCCTACAACAGATGGTTGGAGGGGAAACAGGGAGCCAAAAAGGGATTGGCGATGGTGGGATGAAAGATGGAGATGGGGAGGGGGGGTTGGGACTGAATTCGCAAGGTGGGAGGGAAACAAGAGTGGAAGAGAGGGAAACGGACGGGGAGGGCGCGTCGACCGGCCCATCGCTTGCTTTCCTCTGCTTGGGTTTGGGCGCTGCCAGGTGAATGGCCCGTTACTAAGGCGGAATTGCGGCGGTTGCCCCCAGCCTCCTCAGTTCTTCTTTGATCCAACTGCCCGCGTTTAATTGGTGCGAATCGACGTGGCTGGGGTCACGTGCGGTGAATGCAGCTTAGGTAAGGCTGGATAGTGGATGGGTACGGGATCACCTGACAGAAGCCCTGTGACGGCACTAGACCCGATGTGGGTAACTCGGAACAACGCGTCATCCGACTGGCTAGGCCGCATTGGGAAAGGTATCATCAGCCGCCCCCCGGAAAGCCAGTGCCGTCAATAGAAAGAAGATCCAGGAGAAATCCGAAGCATGAAGGAACGAATGAATCGCGAACAGCCAACCGTACACACTCTTCAATAAGCCTCCGTTTCTTTGTGCCATCCGACCGACCTGGTGGGTGCCCTCTGTTTCTGAGTGCCCGGAGTCTGGCCAGTGCACGGCCCAGTTGGCCGAGTCCACTTAGCGACCCTCCCCATCTTGCCCGCTAACCAATTGACTACTATTGATGCAGTTACGGCCAGGTCGCGTCAACCACCAGGAGACTGGCTTTGCTCTTCGCCGGCCTTGTCGATTTTTCCCCAGCGCTTCTCAAACCCCCCTGAAAACCACCCTTTCTATTTCCTCCCTCTCATCCCGACGGGATGCTAGCAATTGGTGTCTGATCTGCCTGGGCCTATTTTCCGTTTCGACAAAGCATGAGAAATGTCAAGGTCCGCAACGCCCGCGCTACCTTTCCATAATGCCCAGATCCCCGATTCGAGACCTTGGTCGACAACCCCGGCGGACGTGCGCTCCAGCACTTCCCCCTCCGTAAGTTGCCTGCCTGCACCACCATCTCCTTCTTGCCACTTTCCTTTGCGATCGGTTCCCTCGGCGATTCTCCGGTTACTGACCTGGGCGCCATGCGCGGATAGACGTCCACCTCGACATATTCACTCCTAGACCCACAAGAGACCGCAGAGCGCTTACAGACCTCCCTCACCCATGGCCTCAGCCCTGCAGAAGCAGGGGTGCGACTCGCCCGGGATGGACCCAACGAATTACCCCATGAGGAGCCCGAGCCTATCTGGCTCCGTTTTCTCAAGCAGTTCAAGGAGACCCTGATTCTCCTTCTCCTGGCCTCCGCAGCGATCTCATTCTTTATGGGTAACTACGACGATGCAGTCAGCATTACTCTTGCCGTCACAATTGTTGTCACCGTCGGATTTGTCCAGGAATATCGGTCGGAAAAGTCTCTGGAAGCACTAAGTCGTCTGGTGCCGCATCATGCACACCTGATTCGCGATATTCCTGCAGATGGCCCTCCAGTGGTCAGCTCGATCCCACCGGCCCCGGGTGGGGAGATTGAGTTGCAGGAGCTACGAAACAAGAGTCCATCCATCTCCATCGCTGTCAAGGCCTCGAGTACCGTCCCGGCCACTGAACTGGTGCCGGGTGACCTGGTCCTCTTTACCGTTGGGGACCGCATTCCGGCAGATATCAGAATCACTGTGGCCACTGATCTGACAATCGATGAGTCCAACCTGACCGGAGAAAACGAACCGGTTGCCAAGTACCCCGACGCTATTCGCAGCCCGAAGCATCTTCCGTCACACTCC